ATAATTTGACTAATATTAATATACACTCACTCCTTTTACCAAGCACTGAATGACATTCATTTTTTTTAAGATTTATTTATTTTTATTGGAAAATCAGATATGTAGACAGGAAGAGAAACAAAGATCTTCCATCTGTTGATTCACTCCCCAAGCAGGCTAGACCACGGGTAGATGCCAAGGTAAGGTAGGCCATGCCAGTTTGGGGCTGGTGGGTGCCCTGTGAGGCTGGTGGGACTGTGAGTCCCAGGGGCGGGGGGATCGATGGAGTGGGGGTTGCCTGGCCCAGTCCTTGGGACCACCTGCACGATGCATGCTGGGTCCGTGAGCCCTAGGGGTAGGTGGTGTGATAGGGACCAGATTGCCCGGCTCAGGTCTTTGGACCTGCCTGTGTGCTGGGTGGTGGGTTTGTGAACTCAAGGGCTGGGGGTTCTGGCAGGGCCTGGATTGCCTGGCCCAGGTCCTTGGCCCACTTGAGAGGACTGGTCCTCCTCAGTGGAAAAGACAGAGTAGTGGATGGCTGGCCCTGATGCACATGGAGGATATGGCAGTCCATTGGGCCTACAGAAGACATCTGGTACTGTAGAAGAGGAAGGAGTACAAAACAAACTGGACAATTACCCCAACCAATCAATGACTGCAAAAATCTGGTCAAATGGAGACTCTAAGGTAGACTGTGTCAGCCAATGGACATTGGAAGGATTTCCTCATCCTCAGATAGTGAGATTAGCAGCATTTCAGAACTATTGAAACCACCTGATCAGAACCCTGAACACATGTGCCACATTGTGACCTTGAGATGACATCGGGTGGCTGTTCCCTATCCCCGAGCACTGGGGTGGTTGGTAGGCTGGGTATGGCTTCTCTCCTTATCTCTCCCCTTTCTCCCAGAAACAGGAAGAAAAAATAGAAAAATTTGGAAATAATTAGCCCTAACCCTCAATCATTCCCACACTGATCAACTACGTAAACATCATCAAAATTAAAAATTAAAAAGGTGGATGTTGTTTTTGTTTGTGGCTTTTCATTTAAGGGAAAGTACAGTAGCTCTGTAATGGAGACTATCATATCCAGATGTGAGGATACAAAACAGTATGCATCTGTACATCCAGATCAGGCATGGACTCACAATGAAATTGTTTACTATATCTTAACAATAGAATGCTGGATTGTCTGTCATTGTCCATGTCACAATGATGGACATATGACTATTTATGAAGAACTATACTATAGTAATAATATAGAAATCAGTGTGTGGAGCAAAGGGATTTGGGGGGGGGGAGATAAAGGAAATCCCAGAGCCAATGGAACTCTATCGTAAAATAACAATAATAATGGAGAAAAAAAGTGGAGTAGCCAGGACTCCAACCAGTGCTCATATGGGATGCCCACTGCCTCAAAAATGATCACTCTTTTCAGATAGTTCTGTTTTGTCACAGTACGAAGAACACTGGAGTGGGAAGACAAAGGATTTGATTCCAGCTGCTGTGTTTTCATCCCGTGACCTTGGCCAAGTCACATGGCTCCTCTTCAACAGGACACATGTCCTAAGAGAAAATGGTGCCGAGAACAACTGCAACGATGCATGTCTTGAAATATGTGCTGGCAGGAGACTAAGATGAAAGCGTGTGTCCTAGGAAAAGAAGTCCTGGAGCACAGTCCTCCATAAACTGAAGGCAGCTAAGGAGTGCAACTCAAGTTGTATTTGCTCAACAATTACTGTGCTATACTTGAAGGGCATTTGCAGAAACTTTTAAGACCAACAGGATGGTCTGTTGCAGTATCACCTTCACTCCGATACTAAGATAGGATTGTCAAGGATGGTTAATTTTATATGTCAACTTGATGAGGCCACAGGTGCCTAAGGGGGGGGGGGGAGGTTGTCTAGAGATGAAATTAACATTGCAACCTGGAGACTGAGTAAAGCAGACTGCCCTCTGAATGGCAGCGTCTTCATTCAAACAACTGAAGATCTGAGAGGAAGGGAACAGCTCCCAGGCCATTCCGTGGAGTGACTAGGAGACACGTCTTTTCTTGCCTTCCCATAAGGACCAGAGCAACTGCTTTTCTTTGCACTCCAGCCTGACACTGGAATTGACACCACAGCTCTCTCAGTTTTCCGCCTTTGGACTTAGTATGAAGCTGCGTGTTAGCTCTCCCGTCTCCTCCAGTGGGGGGTACTGCAAATCATGGCATGTCTCATGTCGATTGTTTTACAAGACAACTAGACATTCTATCCCTGCATACACCCTCTTGGTTCTGTTTTCTCTGGAAAATGCTGACTAATTAAATAACCTCCAAATGGCTCAGCATGGTCAAAATGCCCTACATGACCCCTCCAGCCACATGTCACACGGCGATGCAATCCCTCTGCCCCAACCTCATTGGCTTTCTTCTATTTCTTCACATACACCACAAGTTCCCTCTGTCACAGGGTTTTCATTCACTCAATTGTTCGCTGACACATTTAACAAAAATTGACTTCCTGCTGTGGGTCAAGCACTGTGTTAATACTGGAAAGATAATGTGAGTAAGTTATCAGGGGCCCAATTTCATGGAGACTATCAACCATAAAAGACAGATAAAGGGGCCTAGGATGGTAGCCTAGTGACTAAAGTCCTCACTTTGCAAGTGCTAGGATCCTAGCACTGGTTCATATCCCAAGAAGTCTAGTTTCCCTTCCAGCTCCCTGCCTGCAGCCTGGGAAAGCAGTGGAGAACAGCCCAAAGCCTTCAGACCCTGCACCTGCGTGGAAGACCCAGAGGAGCTTCCTGGCTCCTGGCTTTGGATCGGCTCAGCTCTGGTCATTGCGGCCACTTGGGGAGTGAACCAGCAGATGAAAAAGCTTTCTGTCTCGTCTTCTCTCTCTGTAAATTTGACTTTCCAATGAAAATAAATATTTATTTTAAAAAGACAGGAAAAAAAAACCAAATAGGTAAATAGGCTAATTTCAGAGAATGATATGAACTTCAAAGAAAACGAAAAAGAGTGATAGTATAGTGCTTTGGGGACTAGCAAAAGTCCCCGTCGGTAGGTGTGATAAGAAGGTGCCGGTCACTGAAGACCTGCAGAAGGAACACGTCAGACAGAGAGGAGCAGACACAAGCTGACACTGAGGTAGGCTTCCATGTGCCAGGATGAGAACTGAAGAAGTGCTAGAGCACCGCGGGGCGGCAGGAGAAGGCAGGTGGCAGGCAGGAAGGTGACGCAGTCTCAGCAGGCAGCGTTAGGATTTGCCATTCCCACACACTGCAAGGCCTTAAGGGGTGGGCGTGATCTCACGTACACGTTTGACTTGGCAGTCCAAGGTGCAATGTCAGCTACAGGGAGCCCAGCTGCAGAAGGCTTGCAGCGAGAATGAATGACAGGCATAAACTGGATGATGGGTTTGTAGAAGTGAAGAAGGGAGTGATTCCAGAGATACTCCAAAGGTGGAAGAGATGGGTATCGCTATAAGGGGGAAAGATTTCGTCCAGAGTCCTGGACTTTATTCTACAGAATTCTGGGTAGATATGGGAAGGGGGTGGATGGGGAACGAGGCCGTTTGCCTGCACTCTCCTTTCTAGACTGTTTCTCATTATGTCTTCATCAAGTTAATCCTTCACTATTCTTCAGATCTCAGCTCAAATACCACTTTCTCAATGAAGCCCTTCCCCAACTAGTTCAAACCCAAGCTCTATATTATGTATATGATCTCTCACAGCCATGTGGTTTCCCTTTAGGTTCCAAAAATAGCCAGAAATCTTCCCTTCCTTCTACTACCAACCATACCTAGCCAGAACAAGCCCAGCAGCCAGCCACTCAGACTCTGGGCAAGACCAGGAGACGAACACTGACCGAACCAGCAAACAAACCCAGGCACATAGATGCTGGGCTCCGGCCTGTTTCACTGTGGGAAACGTCTGGCCGGACCTGCAGGAGCCCGGGCCAACTGCAGCCCTGAGGGAGAGGCCAGGCTGGCTCCTCCAGCCACCAGCGACCCAGAGAGGCAGGAGACAGCCGCGCTGAGTACAATGAACTCAAAGAACCCAGGCAGTCCTTCAGAATCCTGAGCTAGCTGAACGGTAGCTGCAAGCTGCTGGGATCCCCAGTTACTTGTTACACAGCAGAAGCTGCTACAGTTGCCATTTTCACTCCTTTTTAAACAATTGTTATTATTATCCAGATCTATTCCTCCCCCCAAAACTGTGGAGGGGGGGGGCTCTCCAGGAGCCTGGAGAAAACACTTTGAGAACTTCAGGTTCCCGCTCCGGGCTGACAACCCAACACCGGCACACACCAGGCCTTCACCGGATGCCTTGCTGAAGGAACACAAGAACAGCGCAGACCGGTGTCATCACGGAAAATGGGAGAGGAGGGAAGAAAGAACGAACTGCTCAAAGCCAGCTATCAGAGGCACTGAGGACCCAGTACCACAGGATTTGGGTCCCAGCTCAGCCAGAGTTCACCTGAGGCCCGCAAAGATGGCTGATTCGCTCAGTGGGCTGTTCAGGCTAAACTCAACTTGGGTCCTTCAAACCGGGGACCCCAGCCTCGAATCCCTGTATTCTCTTTAATGACAAGTAAATCACTTCCACACACGGACGAACGGAATGCATATTTGCTGAATATTTAAAAACATAAAAATCAAGGAAGAGGCGGCAAGCACTTCCCTTCTGAAGGCCCACGGTGTGGGGCTGCAACCAGAGAAGTAATTGTAAAGCTCCCTGTGACCCAGGCGGACACACTTAACCCTGCCGACCTTGGATTTTCCGTCTCCTCCCTGGCAGCTTGCAGGCGGATGGCCTTCCCGGACTGAGCGCTGGGTAAAGTGCGGCTCTCACGCTGGGAGACGGCCGGGCAGCTGGCCGCGCGCTCCCGCGCTGTCCCGGGCCACTTGGTCCTTCCCGCGCGCCCGGGGCCGCGCGCCGCGTTTCCACGGCAACGCCCGGTCCGGCGTGGAGGCGGCGGCGCGCGCGGGGCGGGCTCTCGGCTCCCGGTGGCGGCTCGCGCCCTAGCGCGCGCCCCGGCGCCTCCCGGACCCCGTCGTTGGACCCTAAGCCAGGGTTCCCCAGCTGGTGCGCGAGGCAAGATGCTGAGGCGCAGCCTGGACAACCGGTAACAGCCCGGGGCTTGGCTGCCCACGCCGTCCACATGCGGGGGCTGGGGTGCTCTCCGTGGCGCTTCCGCACAGAATTCCGACCCAGGGCCGCACACCGCGCGGTCCCCGTGCGCAGGAGGCCTAACTCCCTGGGCTGCGCCGAGCTCCCGGCGGCGGAAAGGAGCCTGGGCCCGCCGGCCGTTCTGCTTCCCGCACAGCCGCGGAAGCCTGGGGCAGCCTGGCGCCCGAGCCGCGCAGCGCGGAGCACAGGCACAGCCGCCGAGCAGCGAGGCCTGGAGGCCCTGGGCCGCTGTGTGCCCGCGCCACGCTGTCCGGACGGGAGCCCCGGCCGTGCCTGTGCGCCTCCCGCTGCACAATGCCCCGGGAAGGTAGGAATGCTTAGCCAGTTATCATGGAAGTTGTCTCATCGCTTAACGAGAATCTTTTTTTTTTTAATGTCACCTTTTCCTCTAGGGACGCTCAAACCAGACAGCTGCAGGATGCTGTGACAAATGTGGAGAAGCATTTTGGAGAGCTGTGCCAAATCTTTGCTGCTTATGTGCGGAAGACTGCCCGATTGCGAGACAAGGCGGACCTGCTTGTGAACGAGATCAACATCTACGCCTCCACAGAGACCCCGCATTTAAAGCAAGGCCTGAAGAATTTTGCTGATGAGTTTGCCAAACTTCAGGATTATCGACAAGCAGAGGTACGGAGTGAGGTCACGGCGTCCTTGGGCCCTGACGAATCACCCATGGAGGTTTTCTGTTGTCTGTCGTGGCCAACACGCGCTGGATGGTGGACGTGCCGGCCTGTGCCTGGCTGTGTGAGGCTGTGCAAGGGAAGCTGGAGTGTGGCTGCAAGTCCTGAATCCCACCCCACCTCAGCCCGCTTGAATTGCCAACTGTGGCCCCTGGGTGGCAGAGAGCAGAGGGTGGCAACATAGTAACCATGGGGAAGATGGAGATGTTGGGAATGGCCATCTCAATGTGTCCGCTTCTTGCAGAGTGAGCCAATGGCTCACTGACCCCTTCCCCACCCCGCCTTGCAATTTACATCATGGAAGCAAACTGGTATTGGGAGGGCTAGGGGGACAACGGGACCCTTTTGGGTTTTTCTTTATCTTGTTTTGTTGCCGTAGTTGGCAAACGGAATGTTCTTGCGATTCTTCTTAAAAATGCATTTTTTTCTCATGCTTTTACTAGAACTTGGCATTTCTGCTTATAATAATTTTGCATGTTTTGAAACAGATTAGCTTGTCAGAAGTTGCCCAGGAAGCACTGCATTTCTTTTATGGAGTTCTTTCATTAGTACCTTTGGCTTTCTAAAAGCCTAAAACAAATCTTAATGATTAGAAAATGAGAATGATACAGTCTAAGCCTCTCATTGCTAGTCACATGTACACTGGAGTGGTAGTATGTTTAACGATACTTTTTATAAAAATGTCGCTCTGGGTATATAACAACTTGGTTATACATGATAAACAGGAATTTAGTATTTAGAGAATAATCTGAGGTCAATAATTTCTGTGTCCCTTTCTTGAAAAATCTTTATGCTGTTTATCCAGTAGCGAAGTGAATTGATCTACATGTGTTTGCCTTTGTTTTCCTTGCTTACCAAATGGTGGAGGTGGTATTGAACAGTGGCACAAGGTAGGCAGCTAGAGGAGAGGGGAAGCAAGACTGGGAGAGTCCTTACGCTGAATAAGCAGGGAGGTGGCGCAGCCTCTGCCATTTCAAATGGTCATGCTTTTATTTTAGGATTTCTAATGCTTACATGCTTTATGGAACGTTGTTTTTTTCTTTCACATAAAGCATAAACGTTTTGCTTACAGAAACTAAATGTGTAAGAAATGAACTACATTAATGGTTACTCAAATATGTGTCATAAAAAAACCCTTTTCCTGCTGTAAAAGTTACAGATATTACTTTAAGCAATTACATACTTACTTTGCCAGTTCTGAGGAAAAAACTTTTTTGAAATCTGTGTATTGAATTGACAGTTACAGAGAGAGGAAGGGACAGAGAGATGTCCCATCAACTGGTTGATTCTCCCACGTGACTGCAATGCCAGGACAGCAAACCCAGAGTTAGAATTGCATCTGGGTCTCCCACCTGAGTTCAGGGGGCCAGATGAGCTTGCTGCTGCTTTCCCAGGCACATGAGCAGGGAGCTACATTGAAAGTGGCAGAGCCAAGACTAGAACCAGTGCCCATATTAGATGCTGGCATAACTGGGTGCTTAACTTGCTGAGCCACAATCCTGGCCCCAGAGAAAAGTTTTTAGTGTCTAGGGCTTATTTTTCTTGTGCTTACCACATGTACCTGCCATTTTAAATATACGGGTTTTTTCAGTGCCTTCCAGGGGTGTTATCAAGACAAGTAGTAATTGCTCAAGTTCTTTCTTGTGATTTAACTAAAATGCAGGGATCAGTCATGTAGTTGAGAGCTCAACCACACTGCAATCATTTGTCTGCTTCTCCATTTGTGAGAATTTAGATAGCCCCCCAGGAAAAATAAAAGGCCACTAATACAATGATTCTTAAGCCTCTTTTCTTTAAATATTTCCAGTATGCCCTGTCTTTCAAGAATATCACACTGTGATAAACTGGAAACAGCAGCTGTGTTTGCATTTGAGATGTTTTAAGGTTTACCCAAAAACTACTGAGCTGAAGAAGTGCACTAGGAGGCAGCGCTGTGGTGGAGTGGGGTAAGCCATGGCGGACAGTGAGACTCGCATGCCTGCTGCTCCGTTTCTGCCCCAGCTCCCAGCGGATGTGCCTGTGAAGGCAGTAGGGGATGGCACCAGTCTTTGGGCCTGTGCACCCACATGGAGGCCCAGTGCCCCTGGCTCCCGGCTCTGGACTGGCCCAGCTGCAGCTGCTGTGAGCATGTGTGGAATGAAGCAGTGGATGGAAGAATCTCCATCCCCCTTCCTTTCCTTTCTTTCTCTCTCCCTCCCTCTTTCTACCCACCCCCCACCGTAAATCTGCCTTTCAAATAAATAAATAAAGCGTTAAAAGCAAATAAATAATATTAGGGTGATTGTGTAGAAAGATATTTTCTTGCCATACTTCATTCTGAACAAGTGCTTTTATTATAATTCAGCAGTTTAACAGTTCCTGATATGTTTGAGTTTAGATTCTGAGTCTTATTAGTTTCTGGTGATAAGCTTTTTATTTATAAAGATAAGGCAAAGTGACATTTTAACTTAAAATTTTTTATATAGTTTACCGAATGATTATATTCAGGTAAAACAACATAGTTTTTGTTTCAGAATTTAAATTTTGATTTGTCTATGTTTCTTTTCAGTTATGTTTTATGATAATTTTCAATAGGTTGAAAGACTTGAAGCCAAAGTAGTTGAACCTTTGAAAGCTTATGGCACAATTGTAAAAATGAAACGGGTAAGTAAATCTGCGTTTTTCTCCTTTTGTTAGGTGTTCTGGCAAAGGGTTTCATATTTCCTATTGTCCATTTAATACAAAGTACAAACTACTATGTAGTCATTCTTTTGATATGCTTTGAAAGATTGTTTCTGAGATCTCTGAGAGTCATGAAATATTTTATACTAAATTTACTAATTATTATAGAAATACTTAAATCTTTAATATGTGTAGTCATGAATATATGGACAGATTATTTTACTAAATGAATATATCTATACATAAAGCAGGTGTTGACATTTATATCTTTTAAATGAAGGTGACAAAGTTCTCTTTTAAATCAATTTTATAGAGGGATAATTTACATTTTAAAAAAATCTAATGAATGTCATGTAATTGCCAGCATAATAAAAATTATATATTTGTATATAGTTTTGCATTGCAGTGTTATTGCTGTTTTTAGATGGTACTGATGGACAAGCTTTCTCACATACTCATATAGGTACACACTAATTATTTAGTACTCCTAATCCCTGGGGTAATGGGACCCATGTCAGACATTTGTTCTTCCATTCTTAAAACGCAGCTTGTGTGTCATTTATGTTAAATCAGAAGCTTTTGGTAACAACAAACTAACCAATTTGCAGGATGATCTCAAGGCAACATTAACAGCAAGGAATCGAGAAGCTAAGCAGTTGACTCAGTTAGAAAGAACACGTCAGCGAAACCCATCTGATCGACACGTCATTGTATCCTTTGAAAGTTGGTCTTTTAGAAAATGTTTGTAAGGTATGTGGTACAGACTCAATGTGTATGGAGATGTGAATACAGAGGTTTAGCACACGAGCACGTGCCGTATCCGGGTACCTGGACTCTTCCCATTCCAGCTTCCTATTACTGTACATCTAGGAAGCAGCAGGTGGTGGCTCAGCTGGCTGGATGCCTGCTGTCTCTGGGAGAGGGCTAAGTTCTAGCATCCTGGATTCAGCTTTGCCTAGTCCTGGCTGTCGCAGGCTTTTGGAAAGTGAAGTGTGAGTTTCTATCTCTGACTCTCTTCCTTTTAAATAAAACTGAAGAGAAGATCGTTTTCAAAATGTTGAAAAGAAACACTTATGTTTAGCAATTATTACTATAAAAGTCAGTTAATTTTCTTTTTTATTTATTTTTATTGGAAAGACAGATATACAGAGAGGAAGAGATATAGAGAGGAAGGTCTTCGTCCAATGATTCACTCCACAAATGAGCACAATGGCCGGTACTGTGCCGATCCGGAGCCAGGAATTTCCTCCAGGTCTCCCACATGGGTGCAGGGTCCGAAAACATTGGACCGTCCTCAAAAATCAGTTAATTTTCAAGAGATGCAACCACCTATGTCAGTTCCCTTATACTCATATGTTTGCCCATGATGGACTTTCCAAAAAAGAAGGAAAGAAAAACTGTACTCAGTAGTGCAGATATTTTTGTCTTACATGGCGAGGACTGCTCATTAGACATGGATCATTAATGTTAGTGCATATACTGTTGGTAGTCTTCTTGCCCCACTTTTGAGAAAGAAAATTTCACATTTAAATCCCTCCATTTTTCCCCTAAAAAACCAAAAACCTGTGAAACCTGTGAAAAGTGCTGTAGATGGAGTCAGCCTAGAGCATAGCTGAAGCAGAGCTACGGTGTAATCACATAGGGCGAAATGTTAGCAGCAACAGGAGAGACTGCTGCAGATGCACTGAGGTGCTGCTTCGGTGGGATTCCCAGCTCTGCATCCTGAGAACCTGCATGGAAAATAAATAACAGTAAACACAAAAGTAGACATTTGTGGCAACATAAAATGTTTACCAGGATGGACCCTTAAGATCCATCTGCCTCTTTATTCAGAAGTGTTTTCATGCTCCACATGTAATAGACGCGGTCACTTTGATAGAAGAAGGTGGAACACAGACGTCCCCAGGGCTCTGCTTGCTCAGCGCCTTAGGAGACCTCCAAGAAACTTGTATTTTGTTTGTTCTGATGTTTATTGATTTATCTAAAGTTCAGGGTTACAGAGACAGCTTCCGTCCAGTGGGTCACTCCACAAATGGCCACAATGGCCAGAAATGGGCTGCACCAAAACCAGGAGTCAGGAGCTCCATCTGGGTCACACACATGGATGGCAGGGCCCCAACTACTTAGGCCATTTTCCGCTGCTTTCCAGGTACCTTAACAGGGAGCCCCGTTTGAAGAGAGGCAACTGGGAATGTGAACCAGGAGTGCCCCAGCCCACTACACCAGACCCCCTGGATAGCTGCTGAACAAGTTGCCTGTCATAATTAATACAGGCCTGCATAAATCATTTCAAACTCTTGATTAATTCCATTTAATTTATTGATATTCCTATTCAAATTGGCATATTATAGGATTTTGAAGAACTTCCAGGAAAAGGAAGAAATTGGAATTTTTAGGAATTCATATTCTCTGTGAAAACTGTGATTTTGGATTTTGCTCTGTTCAACCCAAAGAACTTGAGATTTGAATAAATAGTAGTTGTTGGAGGGGAATAGAAGGCTTGAGGTTCCTCCTTCCTGGTTTAGCCAACTCTGCTTACCCTCCAAAAGTATTAAACGAATATATCAATAAGTGGGGAAAAAAAGTAGTGGTCCCAAGAGTGACATCAGTCATGTGTAAGAATCTGTATTAGGAAAGAGCCTACTTGAATGTTCTTAGCAAAAGATTACCATTCAGCAGACAACTTAGGCATATTTTAACACTGGTAACTCGGACCCAGCACGGAGGCCTAGCGGCTAAAGTTCTCGCCTTGCACGCGCTGATTCTAAGCCTGGCAGCCCTGCTTGTGGCATGAGAAAGCAGTCTAGAATGCTCAAAGCCTTGAGACTCTGAGACCACGTGGGAGACCTGGAAGAGGCTCCTGGCTCCTGGCTTTGCATCGGTGCAGCTCTAGCTGTTGTGGCCGCTTGGGGAAGACCTTCCTCTCTGTCTTTCCACTTCTCTGTATAAATTAAATAAATAAATAAATAAATAAATATTACATATATATTATATATATATATACACACACACACATATATATAAGAAAAACTACAAAACAAAACAAAAATACTGGTAACTCTTCAAAGACACTCTAATTTTATTCTTGAATTTTCTGTTAAGAACTTATAATTTAAAGAATCCCAAGTCTGGCAGCATAGAAAAATACTTTTCATTTCTGGAAAATTTTAACTTGTTTCTGTAGCTTTACACATCTTTACATCCAAATGAATACACAAACATGCAGAATTCTAAACAAATGTGTATTTTAAGTGCTTAACACCTTGAAATTGTATAGTTGAATGAATCAAGTATATACCTGACATAATATAACTGACATAGAAGCTAATTACAAAAAGATAATATTATTGGGCCTGGCGTGGTGGCGCAGTGGTTAAGGTCCTTGCCTTGCATGCCCAGGATCCCATATGGGCGCCGGTTCTATCCCGGCGGCCCAGCTTCCCTTCCAGCTCCCTGCCTGTGGCCTGGGAAAGCAGTCGAGGACGGCCCGAAGCTTTGGGACCCTGCACCCGTTTGGGAGACCCGGAAGAGGCTCCTGGCTTCAGACCGGCATAGCATCGGCCGTTGCCCTCACTTGGGGAGTGAATCATCGGATGGAAGATCTTCCTCTCTGTCTCTCCTCTCTGTATATCTGCCTTTCCAATAAAAAAATAATAAAAATAAATCTTTAAAATAAAAAGAAGATAATATTATTAAGAGTATGATTTTAATTTATTCAAAAAATTGTTATATTGTCTTTGAAATGTGCTTTTTCCTTTATGAAAAATCACAGTCACAGGTGGGTAAAAAACTGGTGTGTCAAGAATTGGATCCTTTCAGCAAATCCTTTTGCTTGTTGCGGTTTATATATTTTCTAGAAAGTGTAAGGGCTAAATGTCATAATGTTCCATGTCACAGAACTTTGAATGCACGTACCTTCCTTGATTATGAAATGCTTCCTTGATTATATAAATGAGACTTTTGAGTAAATATAACAATAGTCTAGAAAACAAAACTATTAGGAAGCTGCTGAGAAAGTTGGCCAGTATATTTTAGAATTTCTGTGTTACAGATTTAAGACAGCATAGATCTTGTGCAACAACTATTGTCCTTAAAGGAGATGATGCTTTAAATACGATTTGCTTGGACATACACTGCACTTAACAAAGGTGCTGCCACCAGCTATCTGTGACTGCTGTGCTTGTGAAGGCCAACTAGTGGGATTTTGTGACAGTTTTAAGTTTTCTATTTAAGTAGCTTACATGTAAATGGCTATATGTGGCTGGTTGACACACTGGATTGCAGAGCAAGATTTAGATAGTATGAGTACATGAGGGAGTGTATGAATCAAGCATTAGATTGCTATCTAGTTGATTACTAGCACTTGCATTATCTCATTAGATATGGATATTTTAAAAAAGAAATAAGGGCCTGGCGTGGTGGCCTAGCAGCTGAAGTCCTCGCCTTGAACACGCCCCAGGATCCCATATGGGCACCGGTTCTAATCCTGGCAGCTCTACTTCCCATCCAGCTCCTTGCTTGTGGCCTGGGAAAGCAGTCGAGGACGGCCCAAAGCCTTGGACCCTGCACCTGTATGGGAGACCTGGAGGAGGTTCCTGGCTCCTGGCTTCAGATCGGCATAGCATGACCGTTGCGCTCACTTGGGGAGTGAATCATCGGACAAAAGATCTTCCTCTCTGTCTCTCCTCCTCTCTGTATATCTGACTTTGTAAAAAAAAATAAATACATAAAAAAAGAAATAAGATAGTATTGGCTTAGAAGCATCTCCAAGTAGAAATCCTATGCTTAAATATTTGTCATTTATATTCTACTCTTTTTTTTTTTTAGTAAGATATTAGAAACACCTAATGTATTTGGAAACCTAGGAAAAATAAAGAAGGTAACAAGAGAATGGAGTTAAATTTACTAGCCCAAAATGCCTTCTTGTTGTAACGGTTAAAGAAGAATCAGGTACTGAATGGGGAATCTGTCCCAGCTCTGTCTTTCTGCTGTGTGCCATCACTCTCTTTAGTATCTTACAAGGGTTATTTCATTTAATCCTGCATCCAGTAATCTGATGGGATATACATTATTTTACTGATTAAGACACAAGGTTTGAGAGAATTGAAAATACTTGTCGTAGTTCTTTCTTTTGGCGTGAGAAGGGCTCCAAGAGAAAAGACACAAGGGAAAAAAGACATGATAATGACACGGGCGGTGAAATGGAAACAACAGGAAGTATGGAAAACAGCTTTACATTAAATGATCATGGATAAGGAAAAATAATTTTGTAAAAAAGATGGATTTTTGCTTTATTGCATTTTAAGATTATGAAAGTTCTTTCAGATTATTAAAGTTCTTCATTCTGCATGTTCTTGTATATGGATTACTTTTTTTTTTAAAGATTTATTTATTTTCATTACAAAGTCAGATATACAGAGAGGAGAGACAGAGAGGAAGAGGAAGATCTTCTGTCAGTTGATTCACTCCCCAAGTGAGCACAACGGTCATGCTATGCCGATCTGAAGCCAGGAGCCAGGAACCTCCTCCAGGTCTCCCAAACGGGTGCAGGGTCCAAGGCTCTGGGCTGTCCTCCACTGCTTTCCCAGGCCACAAGCAGGGAGTTGGATGGGAAGCGGGGCTGCCAGGATTAGAACCGGTGCCCATATGGGATCCTGGCATGTTCAAGGCCAGGACTTCAGCTGCTAGGCCACGCCACTGGGCCCTTGTATGTAGATTACTTTATTATGTGTGGTGAAATATACTATTTGATAACTTCCACTGTGTTATGGCAAAAGCCAATACTACTGTTGCAGACTCAATTGGATTCTGACTTGATTTCTTATATATGTATATACCTTTGGTTGGGGAATAATTTTGTAGGCAGAAACCGAATTACAGAGAGCGACAATGGATGCTACGCGAACAACTCGTCATCTGGAGGAAACCATTGACAACTTTGAGAAGCAGAAAATAAGGGACATAAAGGTAATAAAATAATTGTTAACATCCAAAACATATTTTCTAATCCTACCTTATGAAAAGTTTAAATTATGCTTTTAACTCATGAATAGTTCTTATAAAAAATATTATAAACCAAAACGTAGGGGCTACATTCCAAATGAGACTCCAAGTAATAATAAATATGCATTTTGCACAGTATTATAATTATTGTCTAATCATTATTATGCTTTTATGTATCAGGTGCTAGTCCCAAATGCAAATTTAAATTATCTTTCAGTCTTCATAGAAACTCCGTGAGAATGAAATGGTTTTAAGAAATTCAGAAGTGATTCAGAGTAATTTACTGAAAAGCATAACAAGAAATATGAGCTATAAACCAGTTGTTTAGTGTGTGCCTTCTATTTAATTCATTGTCATTAACTTGTTGCATAAAAGTATCTAAGTTTTATACTATCAAATAAACAGGGTAATGGCAGCCAATGATCTTTGGGATCATGAAGTTCAGTTCTTCAAAGGCTTTATGGTAGGCATTTTGGAAAGATGTGAAGGATTGCATATGTTGTTCTTAGATACTTTAAAACTCACTTGAAGATGTCTTTTTGGCTCACTGCACAGACTTCTTGTAGCAAGCCATGATAACTGTTCCTGTTTTGTCACTGCTGACAAAGAAGCCTTTCTGGTTTCATGACTTGCATCCTTATCAAACGTATATCCTTACCAGTGGAGTATTATCTGCCTTTCCAAAATCCTTATGACAACATTCCTATGCAGTTCCTGTTTTCTTCCATTTCTTATCTTCATTACAAAGGGTTTCAGAACTTCAACCTCTCAATTAAGGTCCCACTCTTCAAGGAGACTTTGTAAGACAGACAACCTTCCCCAAGCTGGGAGAACAGGTAAAGCGTTACAGTTGCTGAAATTTCAAGACTAAAGAAGACAGCCTTCTGTCATAAAAGATTGGCTCTAACCTGAAAATTGTGCCTGGAACCCTGTAAGCAGGCCTTCATTCTGCTGCCACCGAAAAGCTTTCCTAGCAGGAACCATACCGCTCATTCCGCCAGTGCTCTTACACCTACATCATTTTCTTGTATCTGGAAATTCCTCTGTATTTTGACGTTTGGACTCCCTTCTGTGTTCCTCCTGCCTACTTGCTAGTTCTACCCGTGTGTTTAATTCCCTGTACATAATCAAATACAAAACTAGAATGGAATTACGAGTGCAGAGTCCCAGCTACAATTTCTGCTGCCTGGTATTTCCTGAGGCAAAGGAGGCTTTTTGGGGTAAAAGGGAAGAAGAACTTCCACAAACTGATTTTTAATTCAAAGTGTACAACTTTGTGGTTTTAGTGTATTCACAGGTCTGAGCAGCCATCAGCCATGGTATATCATTGTCATCACTTTTACCTTGCACACTTCCGTCCTTACTCCCCTGCTTCTCTCAGACCTAAGCACCCACTTCCAATTTCATCTATCCATGTGGATATTCTGGGTATTTCATACAAATGGAGTCATAGAACGTGTGTCTTTGTGACTCGCTTCTGTTAGCATGCTTTCAAAGCCTATCTATGTTGCAGTAAACAACCACTATTTCATTTTCTTTTATTTTTATTTAATAGGCAGAGAGCTGCTACTGACCGGCTCACAATGCCTGCAATGGTCACAGGTGGGCAGGGCTGACACTGAAAAGCCAAGATTCCTTCCATTAGTCTCCTAAGAGGGTGACAGGAACCCTACAGCCCTTACTGTTGCCCTGTGGGCTCTATACAGACAGAAGCCTCGGGCAGAAATCAAACCCAGGCCCCCAGTGTGGAATGTGAAGGCCTGGCTCCTTTATTCTTTTTTGTCTCCAAATACTGTTGTGTGAGTATTGCTACAGTTTTTGTCCATCAGTTCACGGACACCTGTGATCCTTTTTTTTTTTTTTTTTTTGGCTTTCCGGAAAAATGCTGATGTAATCACCCAGGTACATGTTTGGGTGGACACAACACTTCCGTTTTCTTCAGTATATACTGAGGTATGGAATTCTGAATATATTGATTCTATGCTTAGTCAATGAGGGAATTGCCAAGCTGTTTTCCAAGGTGGCAGCACCACTGTAGATTCACAGTAGCATTCCAAGGGTTCGGATTGTCTCTGCATGCTCAGGACTTGTTCTTCCTCAGACCTCTTGACTGCTGCCAGCAGAGTGGGTAAGAAATAGTATCTCATTGTACTTTAGATTTGCATACCTTGCTCATGCTTAATTCACCACTTGCTTGTGATCCCCCTTAAAGGATAGACTAAGTAGGTCTTCTGTCCATATTTTAATTGACTTCTTACTGAGTTGCAAGTCTTTAGTGTATGCTGCATATGTAACTTTTCAGATAAAGAATTTGTAGTTTCTTCCCTTACATTCTGTGAGTTTTCATTTAGTTGATAGTTTCCAGTGGTGCTGCAGTTTTAAATTTTAATGCAGTACAATTTATCTACCATTTTATCTACCAATTTATCTACCCAGAGCCAGGAGTTTCAGCCAGGCCTCCTACATGGGTGGCAAGGGCCCAAGTTCTTAGGTCATCTTCCACTGCTTTTCCATTCACATTGGTAAGGATCAAGATTGGAAAGCAAGCAGTTTGCACTTGAACTGGGACCCATATGAAGTGTCAGCATTGTAGGCAGGAGCTTACCCCACTGACCATGAGGGCTGCATGAGTTTCTGTGTGGGTCATTAGCTAAAGATCAAATGTCTGCACCTGGCTTGTTGTCACAGTGCCACTTTCTAAGATTTTATTTTTATTCGAAAGGCAGCTTTTACAGAGAGAGGAGAGTTTTGAGAGAGTTCTATCTGCTGGTTCACTCTCCAAATGGTCACAATGGCCAGAGCTAAGCTAATCCAAAGCTGGAATCCAGCAGCTTTTTCTGGGCCTCCCACATGAGCGCAGGGTACCAAGGATGTTGGCTATCCTCTGCTGCTTTCTCAGGCTGTAAGCAGAGAGCTGGATGTGAAGTGTAGCAGCCAGGACAGGAACTGGCATCCATATGGGATGCTGACACCACAGGGTGGAAGATTCATCTGTTGAGTCACAGCACTGGCGCCAATACTGCTTATTTGTAAAAATTGTGTTTATTTAAATAACCTTTATTTAAATATATATATTTTTATATATATTTACTGGAAAGGCAGATTTACAAAGAGAAGGAGAGGCAGAGGGAAAGACCTTGCATATACTGGTTCACTCCCCAAGTGGCTGTGAAGCTTAGCTGAGCTGAAGGCAGGAGCCTCCTCCAAGTCTCTCATGTTGGTGCAGGGTCCCAGGGCTTTGGGCCATCCTCTACTGTTTTCATAGGCCATAAGCAGGGAGATAGATGGGAAATGGAGCAGCTGGGACAGAAACTGTCACCAATATGGAATCCCAGCCCATGCAAGGTGAGGATTTAGTTACTGAGCCATTGCGCCAGGCCCTTTGTATTAAATATAGTTGCTTATCTTACTGCTTATGGTGATTTTGATACTTAGTGCTTGTTTGGCTGGATCATTGCCTCTTTTGGTTTCTGCCTTGGTGTCAAGCCTAGAAACCACTACCATCGCTAAGATTATGTTATATTTGCTTATATTTTCTTTTAGTATGGCTTTTTAAAATCACCGATTTAAAAGGCAGAGTGACAGGAAGAGGGTGAAACAGGCTGTCTGCTGACTCGCTCCCCAGATGACCAGAACACCTGGGGCTGGGCCAGCTAGGAATTGAAATTTCAACTAGTTCGCCCACATGCAAGGCAGGGCCCCAAGCAATTTAGGCTATCTTTTGCTGCTTTCCAAGTCACATTAGCAGGTACCTGGATCAGGACTCTGGTCATGCCTTAACCTGCTGCACTACAGTGACAGTCTCTCTGGTGGCTAAAGTCCTTGCCTTGAACGTACCAGGATCCCATATGGGTTACCTCTGGAGCATCGGTCTTCTTACTATTTCTCACAGAGGCACTGACACACTTGTAGCGGAGCACTCAACATCTTTCCAGTTAGCCTCTGTCTTAGGCTGACAGCTAAGAGAATTTCCAGCCTGCACCATTAATTGCTCCACTTCCAATATCTGGAAATTCTTAGTGCAAAAAAACAAAGGCAGAGACAGACAAGGGAACCCTCCCATTCAGTGTTTCCTTCCCAAGGCTGGACCAGGCAAAGGCCAGGAGCTCAATCCAGATGTTCACGTGTATGGCAGCGATTCAGCTACATGAGCTCATCAACAGTGTGTGCATTAACATGGAACTGGGAACAGAGGCCAGCATTGCGACCTGGGCACTCTGTGGATGAAGGCCTACTGCACACTTCAAACATTATGCCAAATGCCCAGCTCCACAACTGTTATCTTAGCAAGAATCAGCTGCCAGTACAGCATATCAGAGCTGTGACATTACATAAAGTGACCCACAATGTTCACTGTTAAAATGTCGGTTATAAGTCTCTTATCCCAGAACCAGTCATCTTACACTAAGCATATTTTCAATTATGGATTTCTTTTCACTGGAGAATAGCAACTAGAAGGCTCTTAATATACCTTGAAGTTATTTGTTTAATCCTTTAGGAAATAACATATATGAAGCAAAGAATCTCCGGACATTAATGGATGTCTAGAAGGCCATGTTTTCAAGCTTACAGCCACTCCTTGCCCAGCGAGTGCCTCAGAAGAGCAGGCATCTGGAGGGAAATGTGTTTTTGTTGCCTTCCGGTCTAATACTATCCTTTCTGTCTTATACCTTTAACAACAATTCTTGGGTATTTTCCACCTAGTTCTTATTTCATCTCATTCCACATTCATGTTTAAATATTTTTGTAAGAGGCAATATAACAAAAAAAGAGCATATTTACTGAGAACTTGTTTTCTATGTTTTCTACATTGCAGTCATCTCACCCCTGCTTCAATCTCTGCTCAGAATGCTGAGTTTTCAAAATGTCACAGAGCTTGCTTCAGTTTTTGTAGGAAATTATGGATTTCAACAATAGCACATCACTAAAAGCTATAATCTATGGCTTTTACTAGGCAAGAGTGGCAACTCTGCAACAGAATCACATCCATGTGGGCAGTCATACTTGTGAACTGCCAAATGATGCAAATGTATGGTACCAAAATCAGTGGTAGGAATGTCATAACCATTACCACCAAGTAATTCCTTTGTTTAGAGAATAAAAGTAACATAGAACCAGAACCTAATTCTAGTCTTTAATACTGTTGCTTTAACAGCTGCAGAGGCTGAACTACCAACTTCAGAACTGCACTAACACATACAGCCATCTTCTGCTGCCTCTCTAGGCACAGTAGCAAGTAGCTGACCAAAGTGAAGCAGCCAAGACTCAAACCAGTGCTCCCACGGCATGCCGGATTCACAGGCAGTGGCTTAACCCGGTGTGCTGTACCACTCATTACCCCTGGTTTAAGAATAAACAGTGACGATAGGAAATAGTGTGTAATTTGAAGGTTTTATTAAAAAAGGTCTTTCTGGTTGTTTTTAGGTTTTATTCATTTACCCTCTAGAAAAGTATTATTCTGTATGTAATAAAATGCCAGTAATATAGTGAGAAATAAACTCATAACACTCACTCATACTTAAAATTGAATCTTTTTTTTTTTAGAATATATTTTCAGAATTTATCACAATCGAAATGTTATTTCATGGCAAAGCTTTAGAAGTGTACACTGCTGCCTATCAAAATATTCAAAAGATTGACGAGGATGAAGATTTAGAGGTAGGACTGCATCTGAGCTCATCTCTTTATATGGGGGATGTTTTGTTTGCATGGGGGAAAGAATCTTAGAAGCCATAGTATAAGTTCCAACAGATAATATGACTAATAAGTCTATAAAAAATGTAGCATTGACTGGTTATGTAAGCCCCACTAAAATGACAGTTAACTAGTACCTGAATGGAACAACATTTGAGTGTTGATGTCATGCAGTGTCCCAAGCTTTGTCTTTGCTCATTCAATTCTTCACACAACCCTAAAAGGTAGGTCCATGCTTCTACAGGTTACACATCCCTAATGTGAAATTTTAAATACTCCAAAACTTGAAACATTCTGCCAAAACCCTCATTTCAGGTTTTAGAACATTTTGGGTTTCAAATTGTTGCTTTAGGGATGCTTAACCTAATGAAGTCTACGTTTCATTTTACATGTATAGAAACAGGCTATTATGAGATCCTCTGTGCCTATTCATGCCATTATTTCATTGGTCCAGGAAACTTAATTATAAAACCAGAATGCAGCTAAAACTAAGCTACATGTTTTCATGTATACATTGTGTTTCCATGTTCAAACTTTGATAAACAGTTTTGTATTTTCTCTTGTTCAGCAGGACTTGAAATGTGTCATTTCCTTCCAAATTAATAAAGCTGGTTTAATTTTCATTCCTTTCTATATGTCCTCCTTTTGAAACCTAGATTATCAGGAGTTAAGTTGCCATTTGCAAAACAGTATCAAAATATTTTTGTAACTATTGCTTTGGGCCAGCTACTTCAGTTGTTTTTTAACCTGCAATAAACTAAGTACTTTTTGTCTTCATACATATGAATGGGAAAACTGATGTACAGTGAGGTTAATGTTTCTGTCTCAGCAGTCCCATAGCTGGTGATAACAGAGCTGAGCCACAGAATATGGTCCTGTGGAGATCATATTTTTTATTTTATGTGTGAAAATCCAATCAGGTTAGCATTTCCTTAAACATTTCTTAAAATCTTTGATTGGCACTGGGGTACAGTATGATATTTCTCAATAAATGTTTACATTTCATACTCATCAAATCAGGGTAATTCATGTTTCACTTCATGAGCTTGCCAGGCTTAACGGGTCACATGAACCATTTCCTTTAAGAAACCACAGTATATTTTGTGGCAGGTTCAAAAGTGACTCCCACTTTTCTTGTACCACTGGGCCCCATCTCAGGTTTTCTTTGTTCTCTAAATAAGCAGTTTCTTAGTAGATAATAAAGTTTGTTCAAGTCATTTGGTCCCCAATATTTCTCATTCCAGATGATTTATACAGCCTTTTTATCACTCTTTGTAGCATCCCTTTGTTTATCACACCACTACTTAAGAATCTGCGGCCCAGGTCATCTCTGGGCTATGTAGGAAAAACTAAAGATTTCAGGGCTATGTGGTAAATGTGATTTCAAAATCAGCTTCTCCACTTTCTAGTGGAAAAATACTGAGCTTCTCTACATTTCAGATTCTTTCTCTAAAAATGAAGATTACAGTACTTACCACGTGTGTCTGTTTACTGAGCACTTATTATATGCCAGACCCCAGTTTGAATGCTGAGTGAGGACCTTAGTATTGTTAAAAATGAGCCAAGCTGACAAAGTATAAATTGAATGTACCACTGAGGCGACATTTTTTAAAGTCCTGTGTGGTTGGATATGTCCACTTCTCTAAAGAAAAAAAAAGTATGTGTGTTTGAGGTAGAGAGGGAAGTAGAAATAGGAAGATATTTAGCAAATATTTCCACCCGAAGTACACAGGAGTTGGGTATTCAAAAGTTCTGAGCTAGGACTGTTGCAAAAGTCAGTATATTTGAAATAGGACAATAGAGGACATGTTCAGTGAAACATAGGCATGAACTTCAGCAACCCAGCAGCCGGGGAGAGGAGAGCAGTCGGTGGAGGAAGGAACCTGTAAACACGTTATTTGCAAACAGCAGAATAAACAGTTCACAGAAGTAACTTGCTATTTTCCCAGGTGGCCCATGCTTTATGGTAACTGTTCAGATTTCAGAAGCAGCCAATGTTTGATAGTCTAACACTCTATTTCATTTGCTCTTCTAAAAATAATATGAGGCCCACTTTCCCCTTCAAAAACGCAATGTAATCATTTCAGAATATATTCAGATTTGAGATTAACTTCTACAATAAATCTTGCACATTGGAAAATGTGTTATTGCTGGTAGGTTTTCCTGTAGTATTTAGTTTAGTATTTTGCAATAGTAGTTAAATATTTAACCTAGTACAAATTTTTAAACCAAAGGTCTATATTTTTGTCTTTCATTTTCACTCACCTGTTCTTAGAAATATTCTGATGAAAAAAAAATCTCCAAGTACCATTTGATGAATCTAGTTTTTGCATCATTTTACAATGTCACTGTTCCATCATTAGCATCAAAATACAATTTGGTCCTCAATAGACGGTTAAGCTATCTAGTATATCTGAATTGCCTCAAAACACCTATCTCCCCTCCACAGTTATTTCCCTCAACTCGTGTCTTGCAGTTTGCTAAGGGTTCAATGAGTAGACATCTCCTCGTCTGCTTATCACCAGTGGTTTAAAATCTTTTATTGCATAAATTAATTTTAATTAACAGTACATACCAAATTGCTGTTAGATAGGAAGAGATGCAGAGATAAACAAAGACTCCTTGCAGGGCTACAGAAATTTAAAAGACACATTGTAAAGACATAGAATCAATTACAGAACAGGTAGATAAAAGCTTACCTGGTGTTATATAAACAGTTGGAACTTGTGACTAAAGAACACACATTCGATCTGACTCCTGTAGAGTAAGTTTGCTGGAATTGCAGCTGTTTTCTAGCAGTGTGTTGGCTAAGAGTGGTGCAGTTTTGAGTGAGCTTAATCCTTAGATAGCATCTAAAGCAGTTGGACTTAACAGCCATGTCCACAAGACAGTTTTGAGTAAAGATCCTACTTCAGTCTTTAGAAGACATGCTGTTTTTGTTTGGTTGTTTTTTCTTTTTTTGAGAATTATCCCTGTGTTTTTTGTTTGCTTTTTAAGATTTATTTATATTGGAAAGTCAGAGAGGAGGAGAGACACAGGAAGATCTTCGTCCAATGATTCACTCCCCAAGCAGCCACAATGGCCGGAGCAGCGCCGATCCAAAGCCACGAGCCTCTTCCTAGTCTTCCACACAGGTGCAGGGTCCCAAGGCTTTGGGCTGTTCTTGACTGCCTTCCCAAGCCACAAGCAGGGAGCCAGATGGGAAGCAGGGCTGCCAGGATATGAACCGGAGCCCATATGGGATCCTAGTGCATGCAAGATGAGGATTTTAGCCACTAGGCTAACATGCCAGGCCCAACACGCAGTTTTAAATAAAAAACTGTGTGGAATCTGTTAACTAAAACAGAAGTAATTCAGAGTGAAGCTTAACAAGAATGCTCAAGTTTGTATCTTCACTACAAAAGGAGTCTAGAACTGCACTATTCAATGAAGTAGCTAAAAGCATGTGGGTATTAAACAATACAAATTAGAGCCAGCACTGGAACACAGTAGGTAAAGCTGCCAGCAGCACTAACATCTCATGATTGCCAGCTCAGGTCCCAGTTACTCCAGTTCCGATCCAGCTCCCTGATAACATGCCTGAGATAGCATCTTGGTATGCTCCAAGGGCTCAGGCCTCACACCCACACAGAGGAGACCTGAAAGAAGCTCCAGCCATTTTGACCATTTGGGGAGTGAACCAGCAAATGGAAGATCTCTGTGTCTCTCCTTCTATAATTCTGCCTTTCAAATAAATGAATCTTCAATCTTCATGTCACATTTCATCTGCTTAGTAGCTGCCACTTTGACAGCAAACATTTCTATCATCTGAAAAAGTTCTACTGGACAGTGATAGTGCACCTTGGAACAGATAGTGTCAGGGCAGTGAAGTATATGGAGGACTGATTGGTGGAAAGCTGTAAGATCTTTCAGAGGAATGTGCAAGAAAAGTGGCCTAAGTGAAAACTTTTAAAAATACTAAATTATAAATGGTTTTGTAAACAGTAGAGGAAGAGATGTGGGGAAAAAACATAACGAAGCAGACCAGCTGACACAATGAAAGTTAAGTGAGGGCACAGGAGAAAAGTCAGAGCAGGTCAGGGATAATGAAGTCAAAGATGGCTTGGGAATTTTCTTAATAGCAATTTTAGAGGAGGATTTCTGAAAGTGCAAATTGTACTTAGTTGAAAAAAATCATTAAGTAAAATACTTCAGAAGGAGTAACATATTTGATTTTAAACTTAATCTCTAAAGAAAGGGATCTGTGGAACAGTTTGCTTCTTTGAGGCTTTATGGCAGTGAAATAGAAGAACAGGTAGGGTGGAATCAAAGCTGTGTGTGCAGCCTCACCACTAATTTGCCTGCATGCTGAGGTCAGCACCAGTTTCCCATCCCTCATTGTCTCAGATGTTCAGGCTGAATTTAGCTTTCCTCTTTCTAGCTCAAGTCTAAAATTTAGTTTTCCTTTAAATGTACCATTGGCATTTTGTCCATCTCGGGGAGAACTTGCTTCGAGGTTAACAAGGAGGTACTGAAGTTGACTATCTAGCTCTTATTTACTTAGTGGGCATTTTACAATGTTGTTTTTATCATTGCAATAGGTTTTCCGAAATTCTCTGTATCCATCAGATTATTCATCTCGCTTAGACATTGTAAGAGCAAATTCAAAGTCGCCTCTTCAGAGATCATTGTCAGCTAAATGTGTATCTGGAACAGGACAGGTAAGTTATACATCATTAAAGTGCAATCTTTAAGTATTAAAGATGTTTTCCTTCAGTCTTCACATTTCTAACTTTCTGCATCTATTTTCTCATCTGTAAAATGTTATTTTCTATGTTTTATAATTACATTTAACTCTGAAGCAAAAGTATAAAAGACAAAGGAATGATCTAGTATAATATGAAGAAAAATTCTGAAGTAACATGGCTTACGTTTACATCTCATCAAGATTTTTTTAAAGGATTTATTTATTTATTTATTTATTTATTTATATTGCAAAGTCAGATATGCAGAGGGGAGGATAGTCAGGGAGGAAAGATCCTCCGTCAGCTGATTCACTCCCCAAGTGACAGCAATGGCTGGAGCCTTAGCCAATCCAAAGCCAGGAGCCAGGAACTTCCTCCAGGTCTCCCACGCGGCTGCAGGGTCCCAAGGCTTTGGGCTGTCCTCGACTGCTTTCCCAAGCCACAAGCAGAAAGCTGGATGGGAAGTGGAGCTGCTGGGATTAGCACCAGTGCCCATATGGGATCGCAGTGTGTGCAAAACTGGATTACCATGCCAAACCCCATGATCCAGATTTAATGGATCTGAATATCATACTGAAGCAGAACCTTTCATTTAACATTATCACAGATCTAGCAGCACATATCATTAGAGAAAGAGCCAATTTTCTCATTTCTTCTACCAGCAAGACTTGAGTTAGCCTGTGTCCAGAGCAGAATCAACCTTGTTCTCTAAAGGACCAAAGATAGGCTTAAGCTTTGTGAGCCATGTGGTCTCAGTCCTAATGAACAGCAATTATACATAATACACATATCACTATGGCTGTGTCCTAATGCAACTGTTTACACAAACAGGACAATCTGAGCTGTAAGTCGCCAAACCTCAATCTACAGAGCTTTTTATGTAAAAAAAGCAAACAAAACACTTCCAAAATAAAAATTTTTAGATAAATTTGATTCAGTGCTTTCATTTTTTAAGATTTATTTCTACTGGAAAGTCAGACATACAGAGAAAGAGAGAGATAGATCTATCCGCTGATGTGGCGACAACAGCAGGAGCTTAGCCAATCCGAAGCCAGCAGCCTGGAGCCTACTCCAGGCTCTCCCATGCAGGTGCAGGATTCCAACACTTTGGACCATCCTCCACTGCTTTCCCAAGCCACAAGCAGAAAGCTGGATGGGAAGCAGGGCCGCCGGGATTAGAGCCAGCATCCATATGGGATCCTGGCTCGTGCAAGGTGAGAACTTTAGCCATTAGACTGTTGTGCTGGGCCGCAGGTGCTTTCATTATTAGTTTGTTCTTGTATAAGCATTCATTTCGTCTTTATATTTAATTAATTCTTCCCCTAACCAAATTGTTATTATTATTCCAGCATTAAAGGCTTTGCACATAATTCCATAAACTTAGTACCATATGTTTAAAATTCTATCTGGGATAATGTGTTCTAAAGTGTCCTACAAATTTAACCAAATTTAGGTATCTGTGCAACTAGATACCTAATGTTCCCCTCCAGGAGGTTTAAGTAACATGCCCGAAATCCAACAGACAGGACTTGTGAGCTGATCAACTCAGTCTCATGCAACGTTTAAATAGCACTACCTCTAGACTACTGCTTCTATCACACTGCTTCACTAAAAACTATGTTCTGGCCATATATGTTAATTTTCAAATACTATTTAAGTGATTCAAGAATATTTAATACACTGGAAGCCATGCTTTATAAATATTTTGTTATTGAAGCTGTCAGCTGAAACCAAATTTCAAACTCCTACCAAAAATGTAAGCTTTTTCAGCCTTATACCAAATTTATAGGTAACTCTCATTCCTAAAATTGGGCAAGTCTTCAGTCATTGTGGTTTATATTGCCACTGCCACCTGCAACCCATTTTCTAGCTTCCTGCTAATGCCCCTGGAAACCCACAAATGATGTCCCAAACACAAGTACCTGGGTTCCTGCTACCTGCATTCCTGACGCCTGCATGCAACCTGATTTATCTCAGCATTCTGTAGTCTTACGGGAAATGAACCAGATTGAATTTCTTTTGGTATTTTCCATCCTGCCTTGTTACATTTTCAATAAAACTTTAAAAAATGACATATGGACATTTTTCTTAAATATGTCTTAGAAGGGCACATGAAGATACCAAGCATGTAAAAATATCTTTTACTATTTTTATTTTTTAAATTGTGTAACCACTTTTAACAGGTATCCACCTCTCGACTAAGAAAGGACCAACACCACACAGAAGATGATGATGATGATGATGATGATGATGAAGATTTAGATGTTACAGAAGATGAAAATTAATTTTTCTTAATTTTATATTTCTACTTTCATCTTAGGTGACTTGAAATCAAAGATTACTAAGTTGTAAAACTCTATACTCTATTGACACATTAAACCTCAAAATGAAATTCTACCAAAAATGAAAAATAAATAAAGGGAATTTATGCTGGCCCAAACTGAAGGTTTTAAAAAATAGTGCACACCAGCCATTTCCACATACTACCTAGTGCTGTGTGATCTTTTTGTATTCAACTTTTTTTTAAAAAAAGGTGATTATTTCAAGGCATATATTACTGCCTTAGCTGTTGCAGCTGAAACAAGATGACTTTAAAAAAGCACTTTAAATTGTTAAGACTTCATACTTTCTATCACCAGAAGAGGATGACACAAAATCTATTCCATGAAGAATTAAAATGTTAAGTGTCATTACTAGATATGCAAATTTACTTTATAATACACTGAGATATCAGATTTTACAAATACATGTTCCCTTTAATAAAAAAGTCAAACAGACTGGTTTTAAAGCAAAGCTGCTATGCTAAAGCACTAAGCATGGTACCTTAGCTTTTGGGAAACCACTAAAACTTCTTTAAAACTTTACCAAGCTACCACCTAATGAATAAAAAGGTATACAGCCACTTACCCTACAAAAAACATATATCTGAACCTTTTGATGTATCTGATATTTATTTTTTCTTCTGGTGAGGAATTTTACTTACTGATCTCGCGTATACATAAAATAGAAAATAATGATTTGATATTGAAAAAAGCAATTACTCATAGTAGAAAAATACTTTCAAGAAATTTAATTTCTACTTCTGTTAAAGCACTGTTTCCTGTGAAGAGTTCTAAGCGATAACATTATTCCAACTTTAAAAAAATCAAAACATTTAAAACCCTAAATGTCTATTCTTAAGAAACTGACATTATCATTGCACTTCTGTTATTTTCTCAGTGTTTTAATTTGGTGTGTAGTTCAGGAGGGCCATGAGCAGGTTATATTACTTCTCTGGTTTTGTTACCAGTATTTGAACATGAACAAATAATTCTATTACAAAGCAAATGTTTTATCTACCTCAAAGAAACATTTGAAGAACAAAAAAGAAAACTATGCAGAAAAATAATTTCATCAATGTAAAATTACCAAACTTACTTGGTAAACTTTCTTAAAGGACCAAATGAATATAAAATGCTCTGGGGGCCAAAACTCAAAATCAAAGCTATCAAATGGCTGCTCACAAACCAGTTAAGATGTAACCACATTTTAAAAATGTATACACTGCTCTTTAAACGTCCCTGCTGTTAAAAAAACGAACTGGGCAACCAAACCAACAGATTACTTAGCCTGCAGGGCTGCATCACTTATCTACAAAACAGGAATAATAAATTAGGATAATCAGGATTAAATGACACTTAGCTCTTACATAATTATAGACCACAAATATCTAAGTGTAGTATCTAATGCAAATCAATAAACAATAGGTAATACCTATTGCAAAGATAGCAGGGTTGTGACTTAGTAAGTTATAAATGCATCAAGTGCCACTGTCTTAATGTAAATTCACACAAGTGCACACCTAATGATTTATACATTCTAGATATGCTCTATTTTCAGATTCTTCCTAGAGAGAGATGTTTTGCAGTAGGCATAAAGCTGTTTTTACCACACTAGAGAGCAACTATGCCTCTAAGGCTCCTGGCTGCCTGCTCATATAACAAAGGGGAACACTGGCTCTGTGCAGTAGTTACTGCAGCCAGGTGATGTTCACCTGAGGATTCAGTACAACACTCAGTAACAGTGTGTGTTACAAACTGGTAATAAACTGGTAACCTGGCTGGCTGGAGAAGACACAGAGAAACGCCCAAAGTTGCTGCACTTAAAACTTACCAAATTCCATGATACATACTCCCGTCTAAGTCACCCTATCACTGAAGGCAAGAGAAAGATGCATAAACATGGCTGTTAATCAGAACCAGCTTTAAGTAACTAAACCTTGATAGAATAAGGAATAAAGTATTAACAATTAGCTGGCCTTTTCAACTACCACCTTCTTACCCAGTACAAGAAGCAATTCCATTTTATGATCAATTTCAGTTTCACGTTAGCTTTACCACTAGGTATCAGAAAAGTGTTCATCTATTTGTACATTCCTCAAAAAGGTTGGTTGATGAAATTAACCAGCTACATGTTTGAACAACTAAAAAATTCCTCGCTTCCTAGGCCATGCATTGTGTTCCATTCGGGCATCACTCTCCTAGCATGCTAGTTTAAGGAGACATACTTAAATGCTTTTGAACCAAAAATACTGATTTTTTTTTTTACTATTATTAAGATATTCATTATTAAAATCAAGGAAATTTAAGTGGATTTCATTTAGATTTCTTTGGACCACTGAACATTAACCCAAAATACTCAAGATACTACCTGTCTAAGCACTGGCAACAAACTCTCCTTCTGTAATATCCTATTATTAAATGACTAAATTTCCATATTGAATTTTAAATGAATATGAAAAAAGTCTCTGAAAAAGAATTGGGGAAATAAATTTATATAAACTAGAACAGGACAACCAAACTTCAATCATGTTGCATCAAATGAACAGTCTTGAATCAGAAGCCAGCAGTATGATGGTATTCCAAAGAAAACACTGGATATGAAAAAATCTTAGTCACTTGGTGTTTTATTAACAATGTTTGAACACTCTAGGTTTATCTTTTTAAATGGTATTTTTAAAGCAGAAATGGTGGTAAGACATCACTTACCCTTCAAAATGTTTGCAGCATGGTTTTACTAAAATTGATACAATTTAACAAAATGAGGCAGCAAATGTATTAAGAGCATGAACTGGAGCCTTTGCCTATCTGGGCTATCAATCTCATTGGTGAAATAGAGGTAATAATAAGCCCTGTACTCCTTAAGGGATATAAGTTTATAAAGTGCTTATAGTGCCTAACATATAGTAATTATCCAATAAACAGTAGAGATGGGTATAGAAAATCAAATTTGTAAAATGTCTACATTAAATGTTAATTATCAAATCAAAATCCAATCTCTCAAGTCTTACAGTTGTTTCTGAGTCTCTGAACAGACACCCAAGTTTTGAAGCTAAAAAATAAGAACCTAAAAAACATACAAGTTATATATGTCATTAATAAAATCTTCCTAGAAAAGAAACTATATCCATTTGTCAAAGAATTGCCAGGGAAGAAAAAGGAGAAGAAAGTCTCCTTGGACCTAAAATTATATTCTTATTATTTTTTGAGTATTTTGTCTTTATCAATATATTAATAAATGTTGAAGAAACAAAAGTATTGCACATCACTATTATACAATATTTGGTCCCACCCATCATAAGCAGTTGAAAAACCTCATAATATTGAGCTGCAATTCTTTTTTCTTTCTATATAAATACAAGTTAACTAGTTGCTCTATTCAGTTGTAATACTTTTATTTTTATAAAACTGCAAAGTTATGAACATGGGAACTTCAAGAATCACCTAAGTGTTTTACATAAGTATATTCAGGTTCACAGTCTGTCCATTTTGAACTATTTGTAATTAACAGGAAGCTTAAAACAGTATCTCAGACAAGAAAGTGGGCATTGATTTTGAAGGCAAGTAGCAATGAAAATGCTAAACCTGAACAGTCACTGACCATCTCCTTACACAAAAGGATTTAAAAGGTGTAGACTACAGAATGAAAGTGAATGGAAAATCTGTCTTTCACAAACACAACTCTACGCAAGTCTTGAAATTTATCCGTAACATCAACAAAAGTTATTGAACTCAAGGAATCAATTATCTCTTTCAAAGAAAAAGGGCATATGTGGTTCTAAATTAGAAAAAATGAACACTAATTTCCAAGTCCAAAAGTCAAATTCTATTTACATTTTTTGTTTCACAGTTCAAAAATTAAATGCTTCCCTTCACTAGATAATTACAAGTAAACATTTTTTTTAAATGCATCTTACTGCACCAATACTGTGGAAGGTAACAATTTAAATATATAGTCGCTAGAGTAACATTAACTTAACTTTGCGGGGGCCAACTGGTCTATCATTCAGATCTTTAATAGCAGCCATGGCTTCATTATAGTTTACCATAGTAACAAAGGCTTCCCCTGTAGGCAATCCTTGCTCGTTATACTGAATTGAAACTGAATCCGTTATGACTCTATAACCATGGAAAAAATCTAAAATTTCATTAACATTAGCCTTAAATGGAAGATTTATAATCTTAATGGGAGTTCCTCTACTTGAACCACAATTTAACTTTGAATCAGGCATAAACCTCCCCTCAGGAAAACCTCCCACACTGCGTTGCTTTCCAAAATCAAACTTGCCGCCTTCTGGACGACCAAAATTCACGAAAGGACGATGACTTCTAAAATCGCCAGCCGCACTCCTAAAAGCCTCACCAGGGGCCCTAGCGCCTTCTGGAGGCCCGGGATCCTTCTCGGGGACATCCCTGAGGTCTTCCTCAGGGCGCTGTCTAAAGTCCTCATCAGAAGGGTGTCTAAAGTCTTCTTCCTGAGGGCTCCCGAAGTCCTCGTCAGGAGAGAGCCCATAGTCTTCATCAGCAGGGTCCCTGAAGTCTTCATCGGACTCGTGCCTGAAATCTTCCTCTCGGGGGCGTCTGAAATGTTCCGGAGGGGGACGTCGGAAGGGTTCCTGGGGCGGCCTTCGGCAGTGCTCCGGGGGCGGCCTTCGGAAGTGCTCCGGCGGTGCTCTCCTGAAATGCTCCGGGGGTGCTCTCCTGAAGTGCTCCGGCGGTGGCCGCCTGAAGTGCTCTGGTGGTGGTCGCCGGAAACGTTCCTGAGGTGGCCGCCGGAAATGTTCAGGGGGTGACCGCCTGGCCTCTGCTCCAGGGGAACGTCTGAAATCCTCCTCCGGGGGCCGCCGGGAGTCCTCTTCGGGGGGTTGCCTGAATTCCTCCTCAGGTGCTCGCCTCCATTCCCCATGAGGCGGCCGCCTGAAGTTCTCCTCCCTAGGCTGGCTGAAGCTGTCCTCCGGAGAGCACCATGAATCCTCTTCCCAAGGCATCAATTCCTCCTCGGGTGGCCGCCGAAAATCTCCTTCTGGAAGCCGCCTGAAATCCTCCTCCGCTGACCATCTCCAGTCCTCCTCATTTGGCCGTCTCCAGTCTTCCTCTCTCGGACGCCGGAAGTCCTCCTCAGGAGGCCTCCTGAAATGCTCCTCCCGCCGATGCCTGAAATCCTCCGGGGAGCGTCTGAAGTTCTCTGGGGAACGCCTGAAGTCTTCTGGAAGGTGCCGGGAATCCCTCTGGGGATGCCTAAAGCTTTCCGAGGAGCCGAACGAGTACACCGGTGCTTCTCTGGAGCCAAATACATGGGAGCGGTCATCTCGGTCACGTGATGGTGAATAGCTTTGTGTTTTCTCACCAGACATCACATTTACTTCAAACTCTTGCATTTGTGCCTCAGATATGAGTCTTAGTAAAACCTCTGTTCCCAAGAACCTCCGCCGGTTTAAACGTTCAGCTTTCATCGCCTGTTCTTCAGATTGAAATCTCACCAGTGCTTCTCCCAGACCAACACCTTTGTCATCATAAAGCAAGTAAATATCATCCTCAGCAAGAGAAAAGTCTGCAAAGAATTTCTGTATTTCGACTTTCGTGACATCAAATGGAAAGTTTCTCATATAAATGCAGAGTTTCTGGCCAGAAGAGCCTTCTTGAGAATTTTTTTGTGAAACACGTCCAGACCTCTCTTTTCCTGTTAACCCTGGTCTCTTCTTTTCATAATATTCAATGAACTTCAGCATTTGTTTCCTAGAAATTGGATCGACATGAACTGGACGATATTGTAAAACAGTCTTATGCAAAGTTAAAGCAGTATTATAGTCTTTCTGAGTCTTGAACATCACAAAGGCATACCTTGTCCTTCTTTCATCCTTATATAGAAATCGAATCTGTTCATTAGTCAGATCAGTATCTCTAAAGAAATTTCTTAAATCTTTTTTGTTAATACTAAGGGACAGATTTTTTAAGTGAACATAAAATCCAAGAGGGGAACGAGAGCGTGTTCTTCTGGGAGATTTTGAATGAGACCGTTTTCGAAAATGTCTATCAATTCCTCTTGCTGAAGAATGTTCATCAGAGCTTGCAGGAACACCATCCTCCTGAACTGCGTCACCTCCTAGTTCAATCCACTGTCTTTCTGAGCCTTGCATGACTTCGATAAATCTTGAACCCATAAAACTTCTGTGACATTTAAGACCTCCTGAAGCATCAATACACGAGGCAAATTTTACTATGGCATCACCATTGTTTCGGCCATCATGATGTTTTAAGAAAATTACTCCATCAACACACAAACCAGAGAAAAAGACTCGTACGTCATCTTCATTCACCAAGTAAGGCAAACCTCGGAGAAACAAGTAAGGATTCTCAGCCTTCAGTGGCCTTGTCTTTTTTGGTCTTAGATCACCACGTCCCGTACCGTTAGCATGAAACCTAGCATCTTGATTAACTGAAGAGCCATATCCAGATTTATTTCCTTCTTCCTCAATAGCCTCAACAAAATCAGACAGGCCGCCAACCCCTGATGTCCTAGATCCTGGTCGCCCTCTTCCTACGCGATCAGTTCTTTTCATTTCTATGGTCTTCTGCATTTCTGCTCTGCTACTAAGAGCGAGCTCTACTGATGAATTCTTGATAAACCCTCCTGAACGACTTACAGCACGTCTTGCATCTTCATCTGTTGCAAAGATAATAAAAGCCTCCCCTACATCCCCTCCAATTATATGCACTCCTCCATCAGGAATAGTCAATCCCGTGAAGAAGTGACGAATATCCACAGGCCCCGCAATAAAAGGAAGCCCCAGTAAACGGATGACTACAGCCATGCTGAGCTCAAACCACAGCAATAATGACCTGCAGACAAAAAGGTACAAATAGCAAGTCTTACTTTTGAAGTACCTTAACCCAAACTAAGCTTAGCAATTACCTGGTTCCTGCCTTCTTTAGCATTTGTACATGAAAACAAGATAGAAGTTCACAAAAATACTGATTACTTCTAACACTTCAACAAGCAGTACACTTTCTCCCAACTAAACTTACAAATAAACCAACTATGTTGACGAAACATTTCCTACCACCCATCCTATACAACAGGAACATCAAAAATACCAAATCTTCCTTTGTCAGTCTACCAATGTTGCTGCACAACAAGACCAAACTGCTTTTGAACTCAGAAATGTATCTGCTAAAACTAAATTTTGTAGCTGAAAATGAACTTTACAAACTGAAAGCACTCACCTAGGGTCAGTATGTAACTTCTGATAATTGCCTTCTGCTAGCACCTCTAGCCAGATATAAAGAGCAGAAGTCACAAGTAGCAAGCTGTACTATGTAATTTTACATGATTTTTGTCAAGTCTCTGTGAAAAGCCTTAAACTCTGGATGTCTTACCTTTTTAATTTTTTTTTTCTTGGAGACCTGTTAATTCTGTAAAAGCAACTTAACTGTGGAAAGAAAATGAAATATAATTAATTCTTAAACTCTTTAATTGAGCTTAAACAACGCCTGAATAGGAAATTCATTCTAGAATTACCTATCAGAAATGAAGCAATATAAAAGACCTATAATTACAGCTTTACAAAATGCCCTTCTTTGTTCAAAGAGGAACATTATCATGATTTCTAAAAGACAGATACAAAATGTGAGCAGATGTTTGCAAATCATAAAACCGAAAGCTTGCTGAAAACCTGACAATTGCTCCTTGACTGAAAGTAGGCTAAGCATGAAGGAGATGTTACACAATGTAAATGCTGTGGGATTACATGAGTATGTGAAACAGATCAAAACTATATTTAAGGTCTATGCACCTCATAGGAACGTTTCACACCCACTTAAATAAGTTCTACAAGCAAAATATCAATTTAAGAACACCAAAGATCCAAAAGTCCTCTTACTTTCCCCATGAAAACTCACCATCTAGTTCCCATTCACAGGCAACTCTTACTTTCCTCCCTTTCAAAACATCCAGACCAAAGTCTAGCAATTAAGCAATTGGTCAAAATGACACAATAAAAACCAAATCCTGAAATTCAAAAACAAATGTTTGAAGCAATTAATTCCAAACCTATGGCTACCACTTGAATATAGGTTATACATACGCTCAGCTCACACTTTGACACACAGAACCAAATTTCCTGACTCCAACATAATTGAGAAAAATACTATCCAATCCCTTAAATTTAAAAAAAAAAAATCTCAACACCATCTTATACTCCTATAACAATACCTATTAAAATTGACCTCAAATAACAATTTTGATACAGAATTTTACTATGCCAATAGTCTCGTTACATTTCAATTATTCTGTACTCTTGAGAAACCAAATGGCAGAGTAAAAGATATTTTAAAAATTCATTAATTTTGAATATTGGGTTTATCAGCATTAACTACCCAAAAAATTCTGAACTTACTGGTTTGAAAATTTTATACAGTTACTGAGAACAGTTCACATCTGCTGATTCACTCCCCAAATATCCACAACAGCCAGTGCTGAACTGGGTTGAAGCTGGGTTCTGGGAACTTAATCCAAATCTCTCACATGAGTGGCGGGAACCGAAAAACTTGAGCTAGCACTCCTTTCCTAGAGGTTACATTAGCAAGAGGCCAAAACCAGATACAGAACCCAGTTCCTCTAACTTGGGATCTGGGTATTTCAACTGCTAGGCTAACCTCTGCCTGCCTCTTACTATCTTAAGGAAACCTGAAGCACTTAATACTTTCAAGGATTGCTAATGTAGCAATATTTAAGTCCTTCAAAATTTATTTATTTCTTTTCCTTGAAAAGCAGTGAAAGAATCTCATCTGCTGGTTTATTCTTTGAATGCCTACAACAAAGTTGAGTCAGGTTGAAAGCCAGATCCCAAACTTCTACCCATGTCTTCCTTGTGGGCGCCAGGCACCCAACTACTTAAGCCATCACTTACTGCTTCCCAGGGTGCACCTGAACAGGCAGTTGCAACTGGAAGCAGAGAGCACAGTGTGGAACCAAGGCATTCTGACAGGAAGGTGCACTTTCCAAAAAGTGTCAACTAAGTTTTTAGATCTGAGAATCCAGTAATTATATTTTTTTTACTTTATTATGCAAATATGATATTTTAGTCCAATTCTCACAAATGACAGTGCTAATGGGGGCACCTTGAGACATATTCGTCGAGGTCTGCAAGACTGTTTTACTTTTAAAAAAAATATCCAGACTAAACCCTCTATAAACTGTTAGTGAAACTAACAGAGATAACAAGATGGCACTTTCTACATCAGAAAAGTAGCAATGAAATTAACTATTAATATATCTGATAGTACCATACAACAAAAGCAGTGTACGTCTTCCTTTCTTAGTAAATCAATATTCACACCAACACTTAAAAAGTATGACGGCTTCTGAAATAGGTATCTAAGTGTAAGGTTGCAAGGCTCCCTTTCCTATAAACTGTTTAGCTGTTTTTAACAATTTAAAAAGTAGATGAACTCTCCTAAAATGTTTCATTTATATTTAAAAGGCATTGGATCCAGTGCAATGGCTCAATTAGTTAATCTTGCCCCTTCAGGCACTGTCCCTGCTGCTCCATTTCTCATTCAGTTCCTTTCTTGTGCCCTGGGTGGGTAAGCAGAAGATGGCTCAAGTCCTTGGGACCATGCACCCACGTGGGAGACCAGGAAGAAGCTCCTGGCTCAGCTAAGACCTTGGCTGCCACTGGGGGAGTGAGCCAGCAAATGAAAAGAGCTTTGTGTCTCCTTCTCTCTATAATTCTGCCTTTCTGATACAAATAAATAAATCTTCAAAACTTAAAAGGTATTTGTCATGAGAAAAAATGTTCCCCCAGCAGAAATCAGATGTTTTGAGGAATAACTTCATCATTATCAAGTACAAAAAGCCTCCAAGTAATTTATCCTTCCTAACTTTAAAAGCAACCTTCTTAAATATTTTAGCTGTCAGTGACTTCGTTTCACAAAGTCAAATCTCATGGACTAGATTTCTCTTCATGTGCCACAGCTGTGCCCTTCAGCGAGACAATGTACCATTCACCCCTCCACAACACACCTTGAAACTATCCAGTGACTTCAATATTCCATTCCCTTACACATACTACCAGAGATTATATTCCTAAAATTACATAAAAAGCAAACACACAAAAAAGCCCACACAAACTAACATAAGGTACTCTGCATTTAAAAATCTTCTTAGTAAAAAGTATTTTCTAAGCATTTCTAAGTATTTTCTAAGAAGTAATACTTCTTAGTATTTTTGTGACCTGCAATGATTCAAAGACACAGTAATCTATTAGAGAGCATCTGTGAAAAATGGATCTCTCAAAGTTCATTTAAAGGTAACTCACTGAAATTACAAGCATTTTAAATGACCTGGCTGGTTTTACGCAGCGACTGATCCCACTCACTATAGCGTTGCAATATGAATTAAGGCAGGGCAGGAGACAGGTGGGGCCTGAACTGTAGTGTTACCTCGGGATAGTTTTATTTCAACTACTGAGTAAGGTCTTTTTTTTTTCCAGACATGAAGAGGGAAAGTTCTTTTACTTTTTGCCCGCAGGTATTTTCTTAAAATTCCAAGTTACCGTGAAGCAATTCAAATTCTAAGCGTGAATTTTCCTCTGCTGTGTCACTCAACCCACAGTGATTCTTTCTGATGACCTGCCTTTTACAAGGCAGGTGGCTCCTGTGACCACCCGGAGCCCGAGTCCTCAACAGGAACTGGAAGTGAAGATGAATCCATCACCCGGCACAGGATTCTTCCCGGCAACATCCATCCTCCTCCAACGGGAACTGTCCGAAGGCATCGCTTCCAGAGCCCGCGGCCTTTGTCCACACGCCCGGCGGCGGTCAAGGGCTTCCTCCTCCCACGCAAGGCCAAAGTTGCTACGCGGGGTTCCGATCTTGTCGCCAGACCTTCAGCCACAATCAGCCTTCACAAGAACCTGCACCGCCCAGCCCCGTGCCTTTCCGCGACGCCGTCCCCAAGGGCAAACATTCCACCCCAACGAGCGACAAGGTTGAACTGCGCCCGAATCCGAGACACTTCGCCCAGCTCGAGCCCGACAAGCAGGGCCCTCCGGGGCTGCACCGCCGCTACCGACTACGATGACATAAGCAAAGGAAAAAAAAATACCTAGGAAATCCTTCGAGATCTTCGCTCTCGAGATCGCTGCGGAGCGCACACACACCACCACATGGAGGCTGACGGGAGAGGGAGAGTCGGTGTTTAGCATGGAAAGGGGGTGCCCTAACGGCACAGGCTATGCTACAACCTGGCGCGGCCGTCGCCCCGCCTCGCCCTGCGCTTCCGTCTCGATCGCCAACCCCTCCCCGGCCTCAGGCCCCAAGGGGAACTGCTTCGCGCTTGGCCCTGCACACACACACACACACACACCACGGCTGCCGAGTGGGACACGCGGGCACTCCTCGTCGCCGCAGCCTCCTCAGAAGCAGCACGCCCCTCAGGGAGCCGGGAAGATGGCGCCCGCTCGGCCCCGCCGCTCCGGACACACGGACGCGCGGTCTGTCTGCCCATGCGCTCTCCCCTCAGAACCCACCGCCCCGGCGGCCTGGCCACGCCTGCGCACGAGCCGTGACGCGCGCCCGCTTCCGTGCGGAGGCCCGGCGAGGCGGGGCCTGGGGCTGTCGGCTCCCGCGCATGCTCGGACCCCAGCCAAGGCCGGAGCGTTCGCGAACAACGAGGGGGCGGAGAGGGGCTCCGGTGATTGCTGCCCAACTGCCTAGTGCAACTGACGAAAGGATGCTTGTTGTTTCCCAGAGGTTTGGGAAGCAGTCGAGGTCGGCCCAAAGCCTTGGGACCCTGCACCCGCGTGGGAGACCTGGAGGAGGTTCTGGGCTCCTGGCTTTGGATCGGCTCAGCACCGACCTTTGCGCTCACTTGGGGAATGCATCCTCAGATGGAAGATCTTCCTGTCTCTCCTCTCTGTATATCTGACTTTCCAATAAAAATAAATAAATCTTTAAAGAGATATAAAAGAACAGAAAATTTCACTGTTTGCTATTTCATTGCTGAAATTACTGTTTGGTATAAGCATCTTCTGAGACTCTTGTAAACGAAAAGACCACAGAAATGTTGGTTTTACTACCTTACTCTTGACAGCGCCTGTGGGCTTAATAACTGCATGTTGCTTAACTGACTTTATGGACACTAGTAACCTGGCGAAGTGTCCTATAAATGTGTTAAGTTGCTGCGAACCTGGTATCGTGTCAGCTGCTCCAGCCTCCCACTAAATGAACCTGGGGACGCAGGGAAAGATGATCTGTGGCAGGCCAGATGTGCTCAGCAAATCAAATCCCACCCTGGTCATTGCAGCCATTTGGGGACAGAACCAACAGGTAAAAGACATCTCTCTCTCTCTTTCAGCCTTTGCCTCACTCTGTAACTCCGCCTTTCAGATAAATGCAATCTTAAGCAAAAAGCAGAGGCTGTCCCATTGTGGAGCTAGACTGACTAGGTGTCATTTATCTTTATAATCCAGGCTTGGGTCCTTCCCTGCAGCCTCAGGGGGCTGACCTTCAATGCTGACATGTACTGAGTGTTTATTTTGTGCTGGTCCCTATGACTCATCTTGTTTTATTCTTAATTGCCTTTGGAAGTAGATACCATTTTTCCTATTTGATAAATAAGCGGAAAACCAAGGCACGCAATGTAATTTAGTCAGCCCAGGGTCACAGGTAGTAAAAGATAAACCAGACCTTGTACCCTGGCTGTTTGCCTCCTGAGGTCACCACTGGGAATTATACAGGGAGACTATGACCTCTGAAACAGGCTCCCTGTAAACAGGCACACAGAAGCAGTATTCCGGAATGTCACCCTGGTCAAGAGTCACTTCATAAGAAATCCTAGCAAAATAAAGTTGAGATCGACTTGGCAGGACTAGCACCTCTATAGATCACTAGGATGCCTTCTATACAAAGTCAAGCTATAAAAGTTGTTTGCTAAGCTTAGAAATGCAACGCGAGATGTTAGAGAATGCTAAAAGATGAAAGCTCCTGGGGCATTCCCACACATCCAGGAGCTGTCACAATGAGCACCTGATGTAGGGCTGTCACATCAAGTTCCCCAGTAAGGCTAGCATAGGTGTTGTTGGCCTCCCATTTTCCTTCCTCCGTCTGGTGGATGTCTAGGTTTTTTGCTCTGCTTCTTGACATTTTCTAAACAATTCTAATACCATGATTTTTAAAAAATATTTTTGGACCCGGCATCGTGGCCTAACGCCTAAAGTCCTCGCCTTGAACGCACCGGGATCCCATATGGGCGCTGGTTCATATCCTGGTGGCCCTGCTTCCCATCCAGCTCCCTGATTGTGGCCTGGGAAAATGGTTGAGGATGGCCCAAGGAGTTAGGAACCCTATATCCATGTGAGAGACCTGGAGGAATTTCCTGGCTCCTGACTTTGCATCGGCTCAGCTCCCGCCATTGTGGCCACTGTGGGAACCAACAGATGGAAGCTCTTTCTCTCTGTCTTTCCTCCTCTCTGTATATCTGGCTTTCCAATAAAAAATATTTAAAAAATTAACAGACCCGTCTGATGCAACTTTAATAATTTATTGCCTACAATAAATTAGAGCCTTGTCTCCATGTGTGAAAAATGAAAGGACTATGAGCTTGAATATGCTGTTAATTTTTTTTTCATTGGAAAGGCGGATATACAGAGAGGAGAGACAGAGAGGAAGATCTTTCGTCCCATGATTCACTCCCCAAGTGAGCACAACGGCTGATGCTATGCTGATCCGAAGCCAGGAGCCTCTTCTGGGTCTCCCACGCAGGTGCAGGGTCCCAAAGATCTGGGCCGTCCTCGACTGCTTTCCCGGGCCACAGGCAGGGGGCTGGAAGGGAAGCAGGGCTGCCGGGATAGAACCAGCACCCATATGGGATCCCGGGCGTGCAAGGTGAGGACCTTAACCACTTGCGCCACCGCGCCGGGCCCTGAATATGCTGTTAATGCAACAGAATAACAAATGAGAATAAAGACTGGATCATTAATAAAAGTCTCAGATGTTTTGCTGCTGAAGCCCCAGATGTCAAGTCTCTGTAAGCTGCTTCCTATTGAGGCCCAGGTACAATAGCGTAGTGGTTGGGGTCCTCGCCTTGCACGCCCGGGATCGCATGTGGGGCGCCGGTTCTAATCCCAGCAGCCCTTCTTCCCATCCAGCTCCCTGCTTGTGGTCTCAGAGGGCAGTTGAGGATGGCCCAGAGCTTTGGGGCCCTCCACCCGCGTGGGAGACCCGGAGGAAGTGCCTGGCTCCTGGCTCTAGAGTGGCTCAGCTCCAGCTGTTGCGGCTGCTTGAGGAGTGGATCGTCGGATGGGGGATCTTCCTCTCTCTCTCTCCTCTCTGTGTATCTGACTTTCCAGTGGGAACAAATAAATCTTAGAAACAAAAACAAAAAAACCCTGCTTCCTACTGAACGGGGAAGTACCACATACAAAATGCAATGTCTCCTCTGTTGAGGCTTCTTGACCTCTGCATTCTATCCCATCTCAGTTGTACCTAACAAAAAGAAGCAGGAGGAAAATCTAAGAAGGGAAAATAGTGGAGGCTGGCCCAAAGTTTTGGGACCCTGCATCTGTGTAGGAGACCTGGAAGAAACTCCTGGATCCCTGTTTTGGACTGGCTCAGCTCTAGCCATTACAGCCACTTGGGGAGTGAATCCACAGATGGAAGATCTTTCTTGTCTTTCCTTCCCTCTGTTTACCTGACTTTCCAAAGAGAGAGAGAGAGAGAGAGAGAGAGAGAGAGAGAAAGAGAATCTATAAATTCTAAAAGCAAAACAAAAAACCAGAATGCAAATTGCCGGAGTCCAGCTCCAGCTGAGTTCAGAACTCACGAAGGGTGCGTGGATGAGGCGTAAAGAGGAAAGAAAGAGATGGAGCACTAGGATTTCATGATCATAATGGACGATGCACAAAAGCTGTCCGCTTTATTTATACAAAATCAGTCAAACTCTGGCTCAGACTTTTTGCATCATGACCAAGTGGGTGTTTCTAAGGATAATTCTGCCATTAGTTTTACCTAGAAACAATAGAAGTTCCTGCTAACATTACCTAGAAGTTCCTGCTAGGATTCTTATCCTACAACTCAATCTTGTATCACAAAGAAAAGGAGAACTTAAAGATCAAGGAAAGAATGAAAGCCTAAATACAGGTCCCTTGATTAGCATAGGTTCAATGGGGACAGCCAAGACAGTAGGAATGATAAAGGGCCCTTTTTGCAAGATATTGACCTCCAAGCTCAGGCTGAGCAAAAGGTTAACCTCGCAGTAGCAAATGCCAGGATGGATTAGAATTCTTCTGCAGGGTGGTCAGGTGTCCATGCAAAAGAAGGTGGAGCTGCATTCAGGTGGTTGTAGAGACATCCGCGGGGCCAGCCCTGCCGAACAGCGGGAAATTCCTTGAGGCCCTGCCTGCAATGGAACACTCTTCACCCCCTCATGTCCCCCACATCTACTGCACGGACCCCAACAGCAAATACTGTATGCTAAGTCAGAGGGTATAGTAAGCAGTTAAGATTTTCCTGGTCCCAAGTTTTTCTTTTAATATAAAATTGAAATAAAAATTATAAAAATAAGCAAAATACGAAATTGTTTTACTCCCCTTGTCTTAACTTCCCCAGAGCACGTTTTTTTTTTTAATTACTATTTTTATTTTTACATAGTTGATTAGGGTGATTAGAGCCAAGAATTAAAGGAAGGTGGGTGAGATCACCTTTTCCACATTCTTTTTTTTTTTTTTTCCTTCCTGTATCTGGGGTAAGAGCGGAGAGAGGCGAGAAGCCACACCAAGCCTCCTAAATGCCTCTGCACCCTCGGATGGAGGGCAGCCACCCGACACCACCCCAGGGTCCCTGATGTGAGGTATGCTCTGAGGGTCCTGCTCATGAGGTTTTTGAATTACTGATTGACATAGTCCACCTGAGAGTCTCCATTTGCCCACTTAGCCAGGGTAGTAGTCCTCTGTTGTAGTACTGTTAGAGTCCCCGCCCGGACATTAGGGTGTGAGCTAGTCAACCCCCAGAAAACGACAGAGTCTTGCTGGTAATGCAAAAAGCAAACAGAGTTTATTGTGCCAGCATGCTGGGGTCAGATCGTACTTGGGGCACACAGGCCAGCCAAGCAGATCGGACTCCAACTTAACATAAGGCTGGAGATTATATACCCCATCTTGGCTGTAACATATATCAAAGTCAACTCAAAAGTAACAAATTTAGGTGCAAGCAGTCTGTTCCATTCTCACACTCATTATTTACGTTCCCACACTTATTGTTTATGCTCCACACTTATTATTTACGGCTCATCCCATCCTGGCACCCTTATCTTTATGGCTCCTCCAGACTCTGGGGCCGGGGAACTGTGCCCCTGCCTTCCTGCACCCGGGTTAGATGGTAGATAAGTTCACAGAGAAACAAGGGAGACAGATTTATCACTAGAGTGGAGCTTTCCCACAGTTCAGGCGCCTTCTGACCTAGCAAAGTAGTGGCTTCTCACCCAAAAGGGCCTAATATCACCTAACACTAATATTCTTAACATTTTAACATACTAACATTATACCAGTACTCTAACAGTACCAGGTGTCTTCTGCAGACTCCAATGGACTGCCATGTTCTCATGTGCACCTGGATCTACTGTTGAAGCCACTGAGCAGGCCCAGCTCTGATACATGTACTCCATGATCAGACCACGGAACCTGCACTTCTCTCTATGGTTGGGGTTCTAGCTCTGACTCCAGCAATTCAGTTGGGGGATCCCCAAAGAAACTTCATACGAGGCAATCCCAGAACTGATTCTGGTGTGTGCTTACCAATAGAGTCCAGCACAGTCTGTAGGCCCAATCAGCTTATGTACATGCTGGTGGTGGCAATTGCTGGGTCAGTCCTGTCTCCAGCCCTGTACTCAACCTTGCAGCCCAGCTAAGACCTGCCCACCACATACTTGGCCTTCACGTAAGCCAGTGGGATCTGTTGCCTAGTTGGAACAACCCACAATAACCCCCACCAGGCCCGCCCACTGCACTGGTTCTTGTGCTTGCAAGTATGTTTATTTTTACCGCAAAGTGAGATATCTTCCGTCTAATGATTCACTCCCCAAGTGACTGCAATGAGCGGTGCTGTGCCAACCCGAAGTCAGGATCCAGGAACTTCCTCCAGGTCTCCCACATGGGTGCAGGGTCCCAAGGCTGTGGGCCATTCCTGACTGCTTTCCCAGGTCACAAGCAGGGAGCTGGGTGGGAAGTGAAGCAACCGGGATTAGAACCGGCGCCCATATGGGACCCCGGCATAATCAAGGCGAGGACTTCAGCCCCTAGGCAACCGCGCCCGCCCGGCCCCTTTTTTTTTACCCCCACCCCCAGGTATTTCAAACAGCCCACCTCAACCCGGTAGTTCATTTAAGCCGTCGGTCCTCCCAGGCTTTGGTAACTTAGCAACCAAGCGTCCCCGGCGGAGGCTTCCGGGACCCCGACCTCGGTCGTCCAATCAGCTCAGGGCAGCCGCCGCACAGGCCGACGGGACTCTGAGGACGGCGCGTCGCCTGCCGGCGTCGGTACCATGGCGACGCGCCTCGGGTTGCCGCTGGAAATGGCGGTTTTCTCCGTGTTTTCCGCCCGGGATTTATCCACTTTCCTGCTGTTGGTGTTGTCTAGCGTTTCGCAGGCTCAGATCTTTTCTCTCCCTTTCCGGCAGCCGGAGACCTGCGGCCAGGACCAGTACTTCGATATCTCTGCGCTCTCCTGTGCCCCGTGTGGAGCCCACCAGAGGCAGAGTGCTGAAGGTGAGACGCTGTGGGGTGACCCTGGCACCCCAGTTACCGCTTCTGCCTGGGTCCCCATCCCGGCTCGCGAGGACGCCTCTTCTGCAGGGCGGGGCTGGCTCGCACGTGTTAACTGCCCACGCCCGAGAAAAGGGCTTTGGGAAACCCTAAGTGATCCTGGAATCTCGTCAGATCAGCTCCTCGTCAGATCAGATTAGCACAAGCAGAAAAGCCATAGTAAAGCCCTTTCTCATATTCTGAAGTCAGATTTTAAAATAGAAATTTGAAAGCCGTACTAACAGAGATCTCCCCCTGGTTCACTCCACAAATGACTGAAGCCGGAGCCTGGAACTCTGTCGCGCGTGGGAGCCAGGGTATCCGAGGACTGTGGTCATTCCTTGTTGCTTTCCCGTGGTCCAGCAGCAGGAACACTGGCCAAGCAGTGCAGCCGAGCCGGGACCTGAACCCCTCCTCAGAGAGGGGATGCTGGCATTTCAAGCCACAGCTTAACCTACTGTGCCACAGTGCTGGGCACCATCTGAGATGTTTTTACTTGTCAGAGTGACCCGTTGCGTTCACTTTGTGCCGTCTGCAGACTTGAGTTGTCATTCCTGTCACTTCATCGGACAGCTCATGCTGTTCAGGTCATGTGAAGTAGGGCTCGGAATTATGGCCTCCCCGTCCGTGTCCCATGCCCCGTTGCTGGTTCAGGTCACTGCACTTGTGCCAGTGCGGCCAGCAGCACGTATCCCTGCCATCCTGTGGGAAGAATTCTCACTTCTGGCTCAGCCTGGAGCTTTACAGTTACTGGGGGAGGAAACCAGCAGGTGAAAGACATCCCTGTATGTCATCCTTCCTTTCCAAGAAAAATTATAAATACGACGGATAAAGCATTTCAGACTCTAAAGTAGAAATTATTCATTTTGTAATTAGGAATCTAAATATCGTGTATGCTACACTACAGAAGGTCCTTTGAGTACAACTTCTACCTAATGACTCCCCCTCAAAAATGCTTTTCTTTCTTTTTTATTTATTTGTTTATTTATTATTTTTTATTATTACAAAGTCAGATATACAGAGAGGAAGATCTTCCATCTGATGATTCACTCCCCAAGTGAGCGCAGTGGCCGGTGCTGCGCCGATGCAAAGCCAGGAGCCCTTTAGGCTGTCCTCGACTGCTTTCCCAGGCAAAAAGCAGGGAGCTGGATGGGAAGTGGAGCTGCTGGGATTAGAACCGGCACCCATATGGGATCCTGGTGGGTTCAAGGCAAGGACTTTAGCTGCTAGGCCACGCCGCCGGGCCCAAAATGCTTTGCTTATCCAGTGAACAAATAATGCCTGCTTTATGATTTTTGCTGTCTGTTCAGAGGGAAATAGGGTTATATTTGAATGAAGATTACTTTTTGAATATGATTTTGGTTAGGTAAATTTGAATTCATTTAATATATGTGTATGATTTGGAAATAAGAAACATGAATATTTCCCACAGTGGTTTAATTGTGTGCTATTCCGTGCTTTGATTCAGGACAGTACTAGCTGTGTACCATTCTTCTCGGGTCGCGCGTGCTCACCTACAAGGCAGTTCTAGCTGTTCTCTCGATTTAACTGAAGAGGAGGTGCCCCAGCACGGGTGCACTCTAACTGTCCCAGATTTACACGCTGAAGTTGAACTGAAGTTGGAACCCAGGGAATATGTCTCTCAATTTGAACCTAGGCAGTACTGATTCCAGTGTCTTACACATCGTTTTTTTTTTAAGATTCATTTCTATCTGAAAGGCGAAATTACAGAGAGAAGGAGAGACAAGCACAGGTTTCCATTGCTTGGTTCACGCCCCAAACGACCACAATGACCAGAGCTGAGCTGCTCAGAAGGCAGGATCCAGGAGCTTCCTCCAGCTCTTCCACTGCCTTTCCAGGCCACAAGCAGGGAGCTGGAAGGAAGTGGAGCAGCTGGGATACCAGGCGGCACACACATGGGATGCCAGAGATGCAGAAGAATGCCTAGTGTGTTACTCCACAGCATCAGCCCTTGCTTTTGCAAATCTTTTTGTTTTTGTTGTTAAGATTTATTTATTGCAAAGTCAGATATACCAAGAGCAGGAGAGACAGAGAAGAAGATCTGCTGTTTGATGATTCACTGCCCAAGTGACCGTAAGGGCCACAGGATACTAACTAGCGCCCGTATGTGATCCTGGCATGATCGAGGCAGGACTTTAGCTGCTAGGCCGCCGCACCAGGCCCTGCTTTTGCAAATCTTAAGAATTGCTAAAATTTTCCTATATTGGAGTTTTATTTTTTGTTTCTCATGACAAAATTGACTCTTTTCTCTTCAGGTACGTCATGCGTGTGCCTCGCTGGATTTCAGATGATCTCTAATAACGGAGGACCTGCTGTTGTTTGTAAAAAGTGCCCGGAGAGCATGGTATGGGGAATCTATTTTCAAATAACTCTGCTGTATAAGTAATAAATTCAACATTTAAATTTTTCATGCTACAATTTTATTACTTACTTAAATACCCTCAACCTTTACATGTAATAAGTTCATAAACTCAGTAAATACGTTAATTTATGCCATTGTCATCCTATCGCTCACTTCATTATATCATGATTTTTGGAAAATGAAAATTGTTACATATGTTAATTTTTAACTAATAACATATTTCTCATTTTGGATCATTTTATATAGCATTTCTGACTTTCATAATAATGGTTCTCAACACTGTCATACAAAAAATATTAAAATCTTAGTACTTATTGAATGTAATCCATAGCCATTATTTGTAGGTCTGGTAATAGTTTGGTATATTTATATTTTTCAATATATTAATCTTCACTGAATTATTAACAATAAAATAGAAATATGCCAGGTCAGATTTGTTTTTCAGTGATATTTCAATTTTTAATAATTTTTCAATATCCCAATGCAGGAATATTAGCAAGTATAATTTTTTTAAAAGATTGGTTTATTTTTATTGCAAAGTCAGATCTACAGAGAGGAAGATCTTTCATCCATTGATTTACTCTCAAAGTGACTACAGCAGCCGGAACCATGCCAATCCAAAGCCAGGAGCCAGGAGCCTCTTCTGGATTTCCCACCGGGGGAGGGGTGTGCAGGGTCCCAAGACTTTGGGCCATCCACCACTGTTTTTCTAGGCCACAAGCAGGGAGCTGGATGGGAAGCAGGGCTGCGGGATATGAACCGGGGCCATATGGGATCATAGCACATTGAAGGTGAGGACTTTAGTCACTAGGCTACCATGCTGGACACATCAAGTATACTTTTTTAAAGGATTTGCTTATTAATTAATTTTATCAAAAAGGCAGATTTTACAGACAGATCTTCCATCTGCTGGTTCACTCCCAAAATGGCTGCAACAGCCGGAGCTTGGCCAATCCAAAACCAGGAGCCAGGAGCTTCTTCCACATCTCCCCCGTGAGTGCAGGATCTGAAGGCTTTGGGCTGTCCTCAGCTGCCTTCCCAGGTCATAGTACTAAGCTGGATGGGAAATGGAGCTACCAGGATATGAACCAAATCCCGGCGCATGCAAGACAAGGACTGTAGCCACTAGGCTACTGTGTTGGGCCCCCCTTTGTAAGATTTATATTCTTGCAAGGTAGCATTACAGAGAAAGATAGAGAACGTACACAGTTTTCTGCTTTCTGGTTCATCCCCAAATGGCCACTGCAGCTAGGGCTAGAGCAGGCAGAATCCTGGAGGCTGGAGCTCCTCTCAGGTCTCTCGTTTAGACAGCTAGGGCAAGCAGTTGGACCATCTGCTGCTGCCAGTGGCACAGGTGCTGGCCTAACACAGCAGCAACAATACCGACCCCAGCACTGTGTATATATAGGCCGTAAAATCCACCCATATTGCCAGAAAAAATTAAATTTCAAAAACTAAAATTTTTGCATTTTTAAAAACTCCAGTAATTTTAGAACAGATAAAACAGTTGTTAAACCAGCCTGCTAGTGACTTAATCCTATCAATATGTGTTGTGTTTTATCTAAAGATATTTCAGAAAACCCAATGAAAAGTATAATTAAAGAATGTTAGGTCTTGGTGTGGTAGCCTAGCACCTAAAGTCCTCATCTTACACACACTAGGATCCCATATGGGCGCCAGTTCTAATCCTTGCAGCCCCACATCCCATCCAGCTCCCTTCTTGTTGCTTGGGAAAGCAGTCAAGGATGGCCCAAAGCCTTGGGACCCTGCACCCTCGTGGGAGACCCGGAAGAGGCTCCGGACTCCTGGCTCCTGGCTTAGGATTGGCAAAGTTTGAGAGTGAATCAATGGATGGAAACTCTTCCTTTCTTCCTCTCCTCCTTTCTGTGTATCTGACTTTCTAATAAAAATAAAATCTTTAAAAAAAGGAATATTTATTCTGCAAAATATTTCTGAAAGACATGTAGTTTTACCATAAAACACATTTTTCCTGAGCTTTTTGAAGACCTTTGTATGACTTTCAAAAACTTTTTGCACTGTCCCCAACCAGCATAAGCTGGAACTGCTGGCAGAATGGACCAGCCCAGGCTACAGCACCCGCTGGCAAATGCCAAGGTGAGATGGGCCATTCCAGACTGGGCTGTGGCACCCACCAGCACATATGAGACCTGATGGCAGAGGTGCAAGCCTTGTAGGGGAGTTGTGGGGATTCTCCTTTTGGGCCACTGCTCGTATTGGTGGGTGTGAAAGCTGGGACTAGTGGCACACCAGGCCGGCCTAGGGCAATAACACCTGTTGGCCCTCATGTGAACTGTGGGTTGGAGCAGGAGAGAGCTGGGCTGGGCTAACTGACTATCCATTGGTGCAGGCATGAGACAGAGTAAAGGCAGGCTGGTTGGACTTTACCACAGCATCAGCTGGCAAGGGCTGGGACTAGGGGGCAAGTCCTGTCAAGCTAGACTGCAGAACCACCTAAATAGTACAATATCTGGGGCAGGGAATAGGCCCAGTAGGGAAATTGGGCACCTCTCTGATAGGCTGCAACTCCCAATGGTGAGCATGAGAACCATGGCAGGCCTGGCTATAGAGGTGGCACCTGCTGGCGTGAGTGTCAGCTGGAGGGATGAGTTAGGTTTCAGTGCTCAGTCATGTGTATGAGATCTGAGTGGGACATGGAACAGACTGGTCCACTGCACATGCTGGCAGGCACAGAAACCAGGGCTGGGGACTGTTGGGGATCACTCTGACTCACTGCAGCTTCTGGTGGTGTATATGAGATATGGGGCTGGAGATAGATCTGATCTAGCAATTGCAGGTACCAGTGTGGACATAGGCTGGTGTGGGTGAAAGAATGCAGTGGACCCCATACAGGTAGGCTCACACACAAGAGACGGTCTGAGATGACCTCAGATGAGATTGTTTGCAGGATCCTGTCCCCAACTAAACTGTTGGACTCATAACTCTAGTCATGATGAGACTGGCAGAACCTGTAGTCATACAACGGAGTGCAAACTGGACTGTCTCAGTGATTTGACGGAGCAGTGGACAACATACCCGGAGGCACATGGAAGATAGGTCAGACCACTGGAGCCTGCAGAGGACACCTGGTACCATAGCAGAGGAAGGAGGGCAGAACAAATTGTTTAACTACCCAAGTGAAGCGTGACAGCAAATTTCTGGGTGAACGGAGACTCAGAGGTGGACTATGTCAGTCAGTGGATCTCGGAATGATTTCCTCATCCTGGTATCTGTGAGATTGGCAGCATTTCAGATCTATCAGAACCAGTTAAGCAGAACCCTTGGGGCATGCTCCACATGGGGGACCCTCGGATGACATTGGGTGTCCATTCCCAATCCCTGCACACTGAGACGATTGTGAGGCTGGGTGTGGCTTCACCCCTTATCTCCACCCTTCCCCCAGATACAGCAAGAAGGAAAGGAAAATGTGGAAACTGTGGTTTCATGCACTTTGCCCTGTGATCCTGGACCTTTCTCACCCTGATAAGTTATGCAAACTTCATCAAAAATGGCATAAAATTTTTTTTGAACCAATATAAGCATCCATTAGTTCAGTTTTCCACCAACTTTGTAAGTATCCCTATATTTATAAGTTGAAAAATTTAAATGACTAAATTATGAAGTCAGAATCTTTTTGAACCAAAGATCATGATGAAGAAAAAAAAATTTCCAAAAATTACTCTTTTAATAGTAATCAGTAATTGTAATAACACATAATTTTATATTATAAGTATGAATTAGCTATTCAGTGTAATTTTTATTTGGAAGATTTGCAGAGAGAAGTAGAGACAGAAAAATATCTTCCATCTGCTCATTCCCTCTCAAATGGCTACAGAAACTGGAGCTGTGCTGGTTTGAAGCCAAGAGACAGGAGCTTTTTCTGGGTCTCCCATGTGGATCCAAGGGCCCAAACATTTGGGTCATCCCTCGCTGCTCCACAAGTACATTAGCAGGGAGCTAGATCTGAACGGAGCAACCGGCCTCAAAGCAGTGCTTATGTGGGAAGCTGGCACCTCAGGCAGAGCCTTAACATATTATACCATGGTGCTGGCTCCAGGAAATTCCTATACAACTAGTGTGTGTGTGTGTGTGTGTGTGTGTGTGTGTGTGTGTGAGAGAGAGAGAGAGAGAGAGAGAAAGAGAGAGAGAGAGAGACACTGATAATTGTTACATATTTTTGTGGCCTTTTGAACTTGCATGATCATGCAAGAAGGAGCTGGTCAGTTTAAACTTTTTCTTCTTCTTCTTCTTCTTCTTATTATTATTATAGAGAGGTGTCACCGAAGATGGTTGGAACTGCATTTCTTGCCCTGGTGGCTTAACTGCAGACGGAAAATGCCACTGTCCCCCTGGCCATATTTTAGGTAAGAATTGGATTATTTATGAAATGGTAATGATGACTCTTCATTTGTATTTTTTCACTTTATTTTAAAAACTCAGAGGATTTTTTTGTATTTTTACAATTTTAACGTGAAGAGAACAGTTAATGTAATTCACATACAATCCTAAGAATAGAATGACACTTTACTTCCCTTTCCTTTCCTTTCTGATTTTTGAGACAACATTTTGAATTTACGCTTTATATATATGTATGCCCTTTAACTATCAGTGTATAGTTTCTTCGATACTTTCTATTTTATTTATTCATTTTTTAAGGATTTATTTATTTGTTTACAATGCAGAGTTACAAAGAAAGGATAAGAGACTATCCATCTACTGATCCCTGCCTAAATGCCTAGATGTAGCAGCCGTGGCTGGCGTAAGGAAAGCCGGCTCCGGGAACTCCCATCCCAGTCTCATTGTGGGTGGCAGAGGCCCAGCTACCTGAGCCATCTTGGTTGCTTCCCAAGCGCATTAGCAGGGAAGTAAAAGGCAATGAGACACGTTTGCACGGACATTCCAATGCTGGATGGCAGGACCTTAAGCAGCCGCCTTGCCACAGCGATGGCCCTGTGTTTGGTTTTTGAAAGGGATGGATCTTCAATAGCTTGAGGATTATTTAAAAATATCTTACATTATTCATGCCCAAAATTAAATGATGGTTAAGACGTTAGCAGGCCTTGGAAAGGAAATTAAAAGCTCTGATTTATTTTAAAGTAAGATTGGATGACTGCAACCTTATGTGGTAAAATATGTGCCTCAACTTCTTAATTATGATGGGGAGATTGTAAGCAATCTTGTCAATGGCAGGACCTGGTAAAGATTGTACGTTGTATTCATAAGAGGGAAGGCATTTATTGGAAAGGAAAAGCTGTTAAATGATTATTCGGTAATGATTTAATTATGTGTTTAGAAAATTTGAGGGAGTCACTAAACATTATTATGAAAATAAGTTCTAGATATAAAATTAATATCCAAAAATTCTTGATTTTTTAAAATTACTTTATTTTTTTATTGGAAAGGCAGATATACACAGAGAAAGATACACAAAGAGAAAAAGATCTTTCATTCCCTGATTCACTCCCCAAGCAGCAGCAATGGCCAGAGCTGTGCTGATCCAAAGCCAGGAGCCAGGGGCCTCTTCTGGGTCTCCCACACGATCTTAGGGTCCCAAGGTTTTGGGCCATTCTTGACCAGTGCCCATTTGGGATCACAGTGCATAAAAGGTGAGGCCTTCAGCCACTAGGCTATCAGCTCCGGCCATTGTGGCCACTTGGGGAGTGAACCAACAGGTGGAATGTCTTTCTCTCTGTAAATCTGTCTGTCAAATAAAAAATGATTAAATAAATCTTAAATATTAAAAATATCTAAAGAGAAAAAAAAACTGTGGCCTGCAAAACAAAACAAAAGTCAAGTTGGACTGCATATTATGTAGTTGTTTCTCCTTTTGTGCTGTTGATTTTGAACCTCTGAAGCTTAGCCAGAATATCACTTCCATCGTAAGTAGCCTGTGTTAGATGTTAGGTTACAGTGATGCAAAACATACTCATACAAGGAAACTAGCTCCACTGTTACATGTATTTTATAACCAGTGTACTGTGTGAGTATGGCTGAGATGTGAATAGCCAGAAGAGGGACGCAGAGCAATCAGAATAGTTGGAAGTGATTATGTGCAGGTCATGGAAGGCGTTGTAGACTCTAACGGTGACCTCCAGAACTACTTCGTGTGTGGCAAGAAGCCAACGGGAGATTTTAAAAAGTGACGTGGGCCCAGTGCGGTAGCCTAGCACCTAAAGTCCTCACCTAGCATGCACCAGGATCCCATATGGATGCTGGTTCTAATCTCAGTGGCCCTGCTTCCTATCCAGCTCCCTGCTTGTGGCCTGGGAAAGCAGTAGAAGACAGTCCAAGGAGTTGGGACCCTGCACCCACGTGGGAGACCTGGAGGTAGCTCCTGTCTCCTGGCTTTGGATCAGCTCACCTCCAGCCCTTGTGACCACTTGCGGAGTAAATCAACGGTTGGAAGATCTTCTCTGTATCTCACTTTCCAGTAAAGATAAATAATTTTTTTTTTAAACGAAGAGTGACATGATCACATTTAGATTTTGAACAGTTTATAGTAGGAGTGGGTGTTGGGGACAGGCTAAACTGCATCCGCCTTATTGGGATGCTACGTTTGAGACCCAGCTCGTGTACTTCTTACCCAGTTTGTTTCTAATGCATCCTGAGAGAATGGCCCGAGTACTTGGGCCCCTGCTAACCCAGATGGAACACCCAGTGGCGTTGAAGGTGCTTGGTTTTGGCCGGGCTTAGCCCTGCTTGCTGTAGGCATTGAACCGTGAACCAGCAGGTAGGTGATTGTAAGCTAGCTTGGCTGGCTAATCTCTGTGTTTCTCTGTTTTACAAATGAATGAAAATTATCATAACGTTAACAGGATTTACTCTAACTTTTGCATGGAGGATAAAAACATCATCCTGAGTGGAAGCTTGTTATAAAGGCCCAGGTGGGAGATGATGATATTTATGGCAATGTTTTAATTGTAGAGGTAGAAAGGAGACCTAAAAGCATTTACAAGTTTGTCCATTATTATTTTAACGTGGGACATCGGGAGACCAAGGACTGAGACTTGGGTAAAGAAGTTGTTGAATGCAGTTAGTTTCCAAGTTACCGCATGTTTGTAGGAACAGTGTGTTGTCCTCCTTTATTTTTGTTAGTTATTTTTTTACGAAAAACTTCAGTGGTAAGATGGAAATCTCTTTAACCATTCTTTCCAATACTGATTCTCTGTTTCTCTTTCAACCACAAAATAATTTCTTTTTAAAGATTTATTTATTTTTATTGCAAAGTTAGATACACAGAGAGGAGGTGAGACAGAGAGGAATATCTGCTGTGTTGATTCACTCCCCAAGTGACTGCAGCGGTAGGAGCTGAACCGATCGGTCCCACGCGGTGCAGGGTCCCAAGGCTTTGGGCTGTCCTCAACTGCTTTCCCAGGCCACAAGCAGGGAGCTGGATGGGAAGTGGAGCTGCCAGGATTAGAACCGGTGCCCATATGGGATCCCAGCGCTTTCAAGGGTGAGGACTTTAACCACTACGCTAGGCTACCATGCCGGGCCCCACAAAATAATTCTAACAGCTTTTGGATATGTGTGTGATAGATCTTAATTACTCCAAGAGTTGATTCCATAGTACACCTTTTTCAGTTAACAACATAATCATTTAGACTTATGTTTTTCATTGAATTGTTTTCAGTGTTTATGTTACATAATGGATGCTATTTCAGGTTTTTTTTCCCTCATCTTTAAAGCTTTAATTTGCAAGTCAGAGTTACAGAGAGAGATTTCCTTTTTTCATATGGGATTCCAGCGCTTGCAGACAGAGGGGTCAGTCAGTTGAGCCATGACACTGACAAATCATACTTCAGTGAGTATCCTTTCACAAGGGTGTCTGTGGGTCTGTTATCCAAAAGTAAAATTGTATTGTTGTAGGGGATGTCAATTTAAAACTTTAATGTACAGACACTACTAAAAACTCTAGGTATAGAAACAAATTAGCAGTCTATGAAAATACTTGCTTTTTCATCTCGATGTTACAGGAATATATAGGTAGGGAATAAGAAAGTAAGGAAAAATATTACTGATTTATTACTATGGTGACTTGAAACTCGTTATGTATTTTTTAGCGTAAATAGGGAAGATGTCACTCTTCATAGTTTATTATGGAGATGTCTGACAAGCCTTTGTTTTGAGGATTATTGGGATCATGATGAAATGTTTTCTGAGTGTATAAAAGCTTGTGTGTTCACTATGTGTTACGTGTAAACTTTGTTTCTAACTTGTTTAGTGGAAAGAAATGCTAATGGAACATTGTTGTCTCAAGCAACTTGTGAGCGCTGTGATGAAACGGAAGATTCCTTTATGGTTGCAAATGCTTTAGGAAACAGGTAAGTGGTACACCAGGAGTTGGCTTCATTAGTGTCACCTTCCGTTTGTGTAATCTTAGAAAGAAAGCATTTTCCTGTCATATTCCTTTTTCCTCAATAACTGACCAAGGTTTGAAGTACACTTGAACAGTTATAAAGCTGGGGCCTGGAGCCCGAGACAGGGTCAAGGTCACATTGCAGTGTACTCTCTTGGGGGTTTGGTTTGTTTAGTGCAGTAAACAAACTGTATAGTCTGTATAGTCCCCTGACTGTGTCACCCCTTCTCAGGCTGCGATGGCTCAGAAATCGTGGATAAATTCCTTAGCATAGTGCTATATGTGGTTTGTGCATAATCTGCGGTTACATAGCAAGCACTGTGCTAACGTCTTTGCCTATTGCAATGTTATACCAAAGACATAAGAATAGTAATTATAGTGTAGATATATTTGATTTATAATACTATACTGCTTCCTGTTCCCACTTCTTTTTAAGCATACTACACATACATACCTCTGCATATATGCTTCTTCCCGCTATTTTAAATATATTGTATTGTTTCTTTAATTTTTTTTGGAAAATTTTTCTTTATTTGAAAGACAGAGTTACAGAATGAGAAACAGAGAAGTATTCCATGAATTGATTCACTCCCCAAATGCCCCTGCCAAGGCTAGGCCAGGCCAAAGCCAACAACTTCTGGGGTTCCCACATGTGTGCTGGGACCCAAACTTTTGTGCTATCCTCTGCTGCTTCCCCTGGCACATTAGCAAGGAGCTGGAGCAGCTGGCAGTCAGATTAGCACGTGGGATGCTGGCACTGCAGGTGGCAGCACATTGCTGGTTTCGTCATTTTTTTTTTTTTTTTAAGAAACCTTAGAAACCTACCTGATGATTTCCTTCTAAGCAGTTCTCAGTTTCCCAAATTTAATGCAGAAACTAGTTGAGCAGCTTCTCCTAGGAACAGTTCCTGTTGGATCATCCTTCCTCAGGTTTATCCAGCTGCAGCATCCAAATATGGAGCTGATCCCCGAGTTCACCTGTCTGAAGCTTCTCCAGGCCCAGGCTGAGTGTTTTGCTGTGTTCCAGACCCACTTCCTGCCTAGTCTTTCATCCAGTGATGAAGGCTCACATAAACCTGTAAAGATGCTTGCTCCTTCCTCTTATCTCATTCAGTAATGACAAATAGGAAGTGTTTTTATAGAACAAAGCTGAGCCATACTTTCTTTTCTAAAATATTAGCTATGTTTGATGAGATTGATGGTATTGTTTTTAAATTTATGCTCTCTTTCTGGTTTGTGGCAGATAAAACAAAAGTATGCCTGATGCAACTACTTGTAAAAATTGTGAAAAAAAATGATTTGTAAAAAATTGATGTAGTTCCATTTGTGTGAATCTGTTGGACTCTTTTGTCAGTTGAGTAACCTCTCTTTGTTACTCAGTATTCTTTATTCTGTATATTCTATCTAGTTCAGAAATAGTTAAATAAGTGGTTAATTTCTTGATTTGTGCTTCGTCTTACATTACAAAAGAGTGATATAAATCTATCCTGATTAGTATTAATGCTTTTTAATTTATTTAAGTAATTGTTTAAATGAGTGAATTTATTCTAATCCAGTGTTTAGGAAGACAATTTCTTAATTAAATCGGGCTAAGTATAATTCTTTAACATTTTAAAAATTATTTCTGTTGTATTGATCAGGTGTGTCCGATGCGAACCAACATTCATTAATACCAGCAGGTCCTGTGCATGCTCAGAACCGAACATTTTAGTAAGGCTACTCCAATTGATAAAGTTTATATTTTTAATTCAATTGCATATTCATGTCCATAAACTGGATCTCTTTACTCTTGTCTATCCGTGAAGACAGGGGGATTATGTTTTAGCAGAATGAACTTTCCTGCCCGTATGATTTCAACTGCACGTTATTCAGAACTCGTGAGTATGTTTTGATTTTTTTCTGCATTGTTAAAGAACTCTTTATGTTTCTTCCTGTGATAATTAATTTTGGGCTGAAATAAGAAGTATCTGTGTGTAAATCCCTGTGAAATAGAAATTATTGGGCCCGGCGCGGTGGCGCAAGTGGTTAAGTCCTCGCCTTGCAACCCCGGGATCCCATATGGGCGCCGGTTCTAATCCCGGCAGCCCCGCTTCCCTTCCAGCTCCCTGCTCGTGGCCTGGGAAGGCAGTGGAGGACGGCCCAAAAGCTTTGGGAACCTGCACCCGTGCGGGAGACCCGGAAGAGGCTCCTGGCTTCGGATCGGCATAGTATCGGCCCGTTGCGCTCACTTGGGGAGTGAATCATCGGACGGAAGATCTTCCTCTCTCTCTCTCCTCTCTCTGTACATCCGCCTTTCCAATGAAAAAATAATAAAAATAAATCTTTAAAAAAAAAAAGAAATAGAAATTATTGGGGTTGACATTGTGGCCATTGTTGAGTGCTGTTTCTGACCCAGCTTCCTGCTAGTATACCTGGGAAAGCAGCAAAAAATGGCCCAAGTTCTTGGGCTTCTGCCGCTCATGTGGGAGGCCAGATATGGGAGGCCTGTGCCAAAATGTGGAGGATTAGCTCACTGAGTCACAGCGCTGGCCCCAGTACTTTATAAGAGAGAGTTCTGAAATTGTACTCTGCATTCCTTACTTACCATTAACTTAGTAACTATAGTCTCCATTGATGATGCTTACCAAATTTATTTGATTTCCATCATTTTTTTCACATTTACTAATGACTGTGCTTCTGATAAAGATGACTTCCTCTCTTTACATAAATGAATGCATATAATATTTACACACATATTATTGTTATTACTGTCAGTATGCTCATTTGTTTTGAGCTTAACTTGTCTTATATTTGGCCAGTTGAAGCCCCTTCTGGTTCATTCCTTTGTCTTCTTGATATGTCCACATCCTTGTTTTTTTTTTTTAATTTTTTTATATTTTATTTTTATTGGAAAGGCAGATATACACAGAGAGAAAGAGATACAGAGAGAAATCTCTTCCATCCACTGGTGCATTCCCCAAGTGGCACAATGGCTGGAGCCAAGCTGATCTGGAGCCAGGAGCCAGGAGTCAGGAGCCAGAGCTTCTTCTGGGTTTCCCAGGCAGGTGCAGGGTCTCTGGTGCTGCTGTTTTTGCTTTCCATTTTTGCATATGGTTTTCAGTGTTTTTCTTTAATATTTATTTTTATTCATTTGAAGGAGAAAGAGAGCTTCCATGCTCTGGTTCACTCCCCAATTACCCACAACAGCCAGGACTAGAGCAGGCAGAAGCAGGAGCCAGAAGCTCCTCCTGGTCTCCCCGCCTCCCAGATGCAGTAGCAGGAAGCTGAGGCAGAAGTGCAGAGAAGTAGCTAGGACTGAGGTGGCGCTCTGATTTGGGATGAGGCGGCCCAAGAGGGAACTTACCCCATTGTGCTATAATGTCTGTCCCTCTTTAGCTTTTTCACTACCAGTATTTTTTCTTAAAAAATGAAAGTTTTTGCTTATTGAAGAGATAAAAACAGTGTCTCATTTGACTTTAAATTTCTTTGCTATCTGTGGTACTGTGTTGCATAGAATTTGGTAATATTACCCTGCCCATGTATAGGAGACAATTAGTCTGCTTGATGCTTCTCAGTGCCTCATGTTTCAACAAGGCATACCGATGAGTTTCCCAGCAGCAGCTCTCAGCCAGAGGTTTCTGAATGTAGCTGTCAGGACTCTTGTGTTCTTTGCTGTCACATAGAGATTCTGAGTCGGCTATTTTCTGTGCTTAGAAAATTTCACATGAAGCCCAGCATGATTTGAGAAACACCACTTTGGAGATTTGAAATCATTCCTCAAATTTCTCTATTACGTGTCAGCTTAATACAGTATTTGTATTTCTAAATCAAATTTTAGCATATCAGTACACAGTTAAAATCTATTTCTTTACTCTTTTGGCACTTTGTTTCTTGTATAAGTAAAATGAGAAGAAAGTTTTTTTTTTTTGGATATACATTTTACTTGCTTCTGTATTTTGCCTTAATAGCATTATTTTTTTAATGCAATCGTAAATCTGTAATAACTGACACTAGGTAGAAATAAATTCTTATATTACCATTAGAATCTATTTTTCTGCTAACTTTGGGAAAGTTTCTCATTCATGAATGTATGTATTAATATCTTTCTAATGGTGTGTGATGTTTGGGAATCTTCGTTTAAACTTAAAATTTGTCTCTCTGTAGGGCATTTCCTTAAATTCAGAATGGTTTGCAAAGTACTTGCAGTCTTCAGCAGCTGCATGTCGGGTGAGTAAAATGTGAAGAAAAATGCTTTATTTTGAAAAATTGTGGTATAGTCTTTCACCCAGGTAATAAGTTTGTTCTCTAATTAGATGTGTCTCCTCAAGCACTCCTACAAGAAGAATATTTCCTTTCTAGTAGATTGAGAGAGGCTGCATAAAGAAAATGTTGTTCACTATATATAAGTTGAATGTATCCTGACTTACTCTGCTGGGATTGAGTGGTAGGGGAAAGTGACTGTCATTTAATAAATGTTTATTGAGAGCCTACTGTGCATCAAGTCCTATTTTCAGGCCAGGTTAAATATTTCAGAAGAAGAAATAGGTTGCTCTGCAAGTTTTAGTCTTTTTTAAATGCCTAGTTATGGTAAGTGCTATCAAGGCCTTGAATCTGGGTAAAGAGTAGAGATTAGAGAGGACTGTTTTATATGGGATGCTACGATTGGCATCTCTGAGAGGAATTTGAGCAAGCTTGGAAGAAATGGGAGTGAAGCCTGCAAGTGTCTAGAAAGGGTATTGTAAATGGAAAACAGCATGAGCAGAGACTGCAAAGCAGAGAGAGTGGAGAGGAGCGACCCGTGCAGCGGTGTAACACGCTGGTCCTCCTCCTGCCAGCACCGATACGTGTTCCAGCTTCCCCACTTCCCATCAACTCCCTGCTTATAGCCTGGGAAAGCAACGGAAGGTAGCCCAAAGCCAAAGGACCCCTGCCTCTGTGTGGGAGACCTGGAGGAGGCTCCTGGCTTCTGGCTTTGGAATCTTTAAAAAAAAAAAAGAAGAAAGAGGAGAGGAAGTGAGATTAATGAGATCTGGAATGCAAGGCAGTTACTGTGGTAAAGACTTAGGATTGGACAATAAGATGCTGGACTCTATGCTTGGTATATGCCTGCAATGAAAGAATCTTGACTGGAATTGAACTGTAATATTGCAACAAAGTGGAGGAATCCACCGTGGGGGCGGGGGAGGGCACGGGAAGGAGTTCCGGGAATCCCAGAGCCTATGAAACTGTGTCACATAATGAAATGTAATAATAATTATTAAATAAAAAGACTTAGGATTTACCTGAAGGGAAAAGATTTTTGTACAAAGAAAAACATAATCTTACATTTTTTGGGGGGAGGGTTGTTTGTTTTACATCGGGTTTTACACTTGATCTTAGCCAGAAGGACAAGAAGCAGTTTTCCATTGTGTTTTAAGAGGCTCACTGGAGCATGGAGTAAAGAGTGTGTTGGGCAATGACAGAATGTAGGAATGCTTGGGAGAATATTGCAGTAACCTGAGTGGGACATAGTGGGAGGGTGGACAGGAGATAAACTGGAAATGAGAAAAATGGGAGGTTGGCTTTGTGGGATAGTAGGATTCTGGAATCCTAATTAGAGCACCGATTCAACTCCTGGCTCCTCCTCCTCTGATTTGACTTCATGCAGCTAACTCATGGGAAGGCAGCTGAGGATAGTCCATATGCTGGCACGCCTGCCAACATGTGGGACATCTGGATGGAATTCCTGGCCCAGCTCTGGCTGTTGAGACCAAATGGAGTGAGCTAGCTGATGGAAGATTGCGTGTGTGTGTGCTCTCTCTCTCAACCCCACCTCCCTAACCTGCTTTCTCTTCCTCTCCCTTTCCCCCTCTTTCTTTTGCTAATGCTCTGCCACTCAAATAAATACATGTTCAACAAGAAATGAGATAATTGTTTAGTTTCCAGTTCTGCTTTCACTGTTAAGCCAACAGGATTTATTGATCAATTGGAATATGAGGGGGTAAAAACATTCACTCCAATGTTTTTGACTTAACTAAAATAAAGATTGAAAGGGAAGTCCAAAAAATTACCTCATTGATGATTCATAATAAGCAGATTAAAGTGGATTAGATATGTGTGTAAAAGATCTAACATAAACAATCTTTCAAATACAAGTGTTTTATTGTTTTATTTAGCAGTTTTAAAACTATCATGCTATCAACTTTTACTTAAATTTTTTAGTGGTTTGCCTTTGTGTTTAGCCTGTATTTTATAATTGCTATGTACATATTATTCTCTTTAGCATATGGGAAGAGTCCTATTTTATCTAGAGAAAAGGTATTAACAAATTTTTTAGAAGATTGAGAATCAATAACATTAAAATTAAGCCCAGTTTTTGTTTCAGATTTGCTCAGTCTGTGAAGGTCATGTAACATGTAACTTTTCTCTTCTGCCTTCGTCTCATAGATGTATGCCAATCTAACCTCCTGTCAGACTCTTGGAAACATGTGTGTAATGAACATGAACTCGCGTGATCCTGCCACATTTGATGCATGTTGGCTCTTCCAGTCTGTCTATGAGAACACTGCTGCACTAGGCACTGTTCATTCTATTTCATTTTGGTAAGGAAATGAGTTTTACTGATGAAATGCCATTTTGATTCATAAAGTACAATTCAGTATAACTATTTCCAGAAATATCAGTAAATATTTCTTCAAGTATTAAAGCCATTGTAATTGTCTGAAGGAGGCAGAACCTTCCGTGGCTGTTCTACGGAGACCAGCTGGGATTAGCACCTCAAGTTCTCAGGACCACGCCTCTTCCTACAAACTTCAGTTTTAAAGGGAAAAATCAGGTACAAATCACAGTATCTCTAGAGAACCACATTTTGATTTATAATCTTTAAAGGTAAGAATGTTATTAGTCAAAATTTTTTGTCTTTCAGGTCATTTAACAAAATTTAGTTAGTGAGTTAAATAAGTTTCACCTGCTTAGAGGAGCTAGCCTGTAACGATTCACGCGCACAGGTATCACTGGATGAAATACATGGTCATGGCAACAAGATGTGCTGGTAGGATTGGGAAGAAGGATTTCCTCCTCAGGTGCAAAATAGCGTGTCCTTCTGTACTTGCACATTTTCAGGAAGTGCCTCCAAGATCAACCGGGGCTCCGTGCTGTTTCCTAGCACTTTGCAGATAGAAATTTCTACCTCCTGCCTTTGGGCTTTCCCCGCCCCCTCCTCCAGATATCATAAGTTTGAAAGATTGCCCATCACTAATGCTGCCTTGTAGTTTCTGCAGTGTCATTTGCCTGCAAAATATCAGTTCAGTTCTTTCATGTATATACATTTAGTCATAGAAACAATTGGATTAATTCAGCTTCAATTCGATTAATTCAGCGGGATTGAAATTTTAGCAAAAGGGATCAGTCGAAAACAAAAACAGGGTTAGGCAACTATGGTAGTTCATTTAATAATGACTACTTACTGCCTTCAAAATATTTGACATTATTTTATTCTTGCTTTTTCTCTCATCAGAATACAAAGCTGAAGTTTGTTGCTGCCTCCTATGATATCAGCGGCCGTTTTCTCCAGTGGCAGTCTTTAGAAGGAGGTGTTTTACAGGTGAGTTCAAGTGTCCCCAAGAATGCTTGCTTTCTGTGGAGGCAAAGACAGCAGGAAGAGACACGATTATGGTTGATCAGTTACACACTGCAGTGCTTTCCTTCTGCGCTTTAAGTTCGCATTGATGTAACTGATGTCCTTACCCTAGCTTTTCATACCCTTGATATATTAAGTGAACGTTATGTAGAGCATATAATCTTGTCAAGGCATGAAAACTCTTGATGTATTCAAAGAAAAGGTTTGTGAGAGATACTTATTAATTGTATTGTTCTGTTGTAGCTTTGTCCAGATACAGAGGCAAGACTAAACGCTGCTTATTCTTTTGGAACAACTTATCAACAAAATGTGAGTTTGAATTTTTTTAGTCTATATTTTACTTTGTTTTTTTTTAAGATTTTACATCAATACTAACTGGCAGAAAATTTGAATTTTTGAAACTGGAAATAATATTAATGTAATGAGTAATTTTGCTGATATACTTTTGCTATCACCTAAGCTCCCAAATTTTAATGTAATCAGCATGAAGAGACTATCTTAACTTTCCTTGAATGTTTTCTTAATCAAATGTGTATCTACTTCTGGACTAACAGGTTATATTTGCTTTATTTTTTTATAATTATTTATTGAAAGGCAGAGTTACAGAGAGGGAGGGAGAGACATAGAGATCTTTCACTCACTGGTTTATTCCCCAAATGGTTGCAGCAGCTGAGCAGAACTGGTGCTCATGAGATTCTGCAGTTAAAAGTTATAGCTTATTCCACTGTGCTACAACACTAATCCCTGGGCTTATAGGTTTTTAAAACACAGTGCCACTTCTGATCATTTAGCACTGAAGTTAAGTCTTGCTTTATTTTATTTACTAATAAAATAATTTATTATTTACTAATAAAAATAAGTTATTCCTGGTGCAGCAGCCTAGCAGCTAAGGTCTTTGCCTTGCATGCGCCGGAATTTCATATGGGCACCAGTTCTAATTCTAGTGGCCCTGCTTCCCATCCAGCTCCAGCCTGTGCCCTGGGAAAGCAGTGGAGGACTGCCCAAAGCCTTGGGACACTGCACCTGTGTGGGAGACCCAGAGGAAGCTCTTGGCTCCTGGCTTTGGATCGGTGCAGCAGTCACTTGGGGAGTGAATTAATGAATGGAAGATCTTTCTCTCTGTATCTCCTTCTCTCTATAAATCTGTCTTTCCAAAAAAAATAAAATAAATCTTTAAAAAAAATGAGTTATTCTACCACCTCCTGGCAAATAAAAATGCTCCTTTTTCTCTCCATATGTTCCTCTGTCTATATGCACTTTTGTCCTCTTATCCAGTACTGATATTCCTGCTTCTGATAACCATTTAAAAATTATAGTATGGCATTCAATAAATCATTAAATAATTTTAAATGTCATAAGTCATTGAACATTTAGAAATACTTCTTGATAAAATGTGTAAACATAGCATAGAACAAAACTACAATGAAACATAACATCATGGAAAACAGATAGAAAGGAAATAAACATTTTTTTAAAGATTTATTTATTTTTATTGGAAAAGCAGATTTACAGAGAGTAGGAGAATGGAGAGGAAGATCTTTCATCCACTGGTTCACTCACCAAGTGGCTGCAATGGCCAAAGCTGAGCTGATCTGAAGCCAGGAGCCAGGAGCTTCCTCTGGGTCTCCCATGAGGGTGCAGGGTCCCAAGGCTTTGGGTCGGCCTCAGCTGCTTTCCCAGCCCACAAGCAAGGAACTGGATGGGAAGTGGAGCATCTGGGACACAAACTGGGTGCCTATATGGGATCCCGGTGGTTACGAGGTAAGGATTTAGCCACTAGGTTATTGCACCAGGCCTGAAAATAAGCATTTTTAATAGCAATTATCTCTGGATAGTGGGGTTAGAGATGGTTTTTAGTTTTTCCTTTTTGTATCTTCTAAGTTTTTTCCCCACAAACGTTAATTTACTTCTGTTGTCAAAATGATTTATATGTTACTAATGTTTTTCTTAAAATAAATGCTATTTTGTGTTTATAATAGGCCAGAAGAATTAGCACTTGTTAAATACCTGCTGCTGTGTACCCAGCATGTTCCTATTGTTATCGTGTTTGATGCACAAAATAAATGTGACATGTTATCCAGGTTTCACAGATGATAAAGTAATGGGAATAGTAGGTAGTTTACTCAGTCTTATTCAGGAAAGTCAGTGGTCTATTCAGTTTAAAAACTGTGATAACTTAAGCCAACTTGGCTAAAACTTTTAAGTAGTTCACTCTCTAGACAGCGAAATTGTCATATAGATGGAGAGTTACAAAGAACGTGATCATTGTTGTTCTGTAGTTGTGTATATGTACCAGTTCCTGGAAAACACAGGAAAGCTTTACAGAGTGAGTGGCACTTTGACTTCTTCTTTGAGGGGGAAGAATGTTGGGCAGAAACCGCATTTGCAACATTAGGCAGGCATAGAAGAAATCACATATTGAGCACCTGCTCGTGAATTAGTGAATGTTGACCACACACCTGCAGGGAGCTGTGAGCAGGAAGTTGGTTCTGTTAGGGGAGCCAGATCGTAGATGTCATTACACGTCATGAGAAAAAACTGAGACCACATCCCGTTGAGCAAAGGTTTTTAAACCTTTTCAGTGATATGTGCTTAGTTTAGAAAATGGGACAGTCATCTGATGCAGTAGTGACGACACTGCCTGGGTCACCTGCATCCCGTATCCATGTTCTGGCTCTGCTTCCCATCCAGCTTCCTGTTCATGCTCACCCTGCAGACAGCAGATGCAATCCTGACACCCACATGGCAAACCTGGCTGAGGTTCCTGCTTGTTGCTTTCTGCTCAGCCCAGCTCATGTAGGCATTTGCAACTGAACCAGTGGTTGAAAGATGCCTTTATCTGTGTCATTCTGCCTTTCAAATAAAACGAAAATTAATAAGTGAAAATTTGAAAATAAAGGCATACTTCTCCATCTGAGCTGTAGGTCAAGAACACAGTGGTATTTCTTTGCTGTTAGTTTTTTTGGCCCTCGAGAAGAACCAAATGCATAGTATTTGTGTTCAGAAGACATGTGAAAGCACACATAAACAAGAGAGTTTGGAGACTTTATATTTTGCAAAACTGAAAAAAAAAAAACCCTGCTCTTATAAAAGGTAATAACTGTGGTTTGAAACTTTTGCTGGTGACTTTTTAATTTTTAATTTTGTTTTCCAGTGTGAGATCCCTATCTCTAAAATCTTGAATGACTTTCCCACTCCTATATTTTATGATGTATACCTTGAATATAGTGATGACAATCAGCAGCAGCATATCTGGGCTGTGCCTGTGTTAAATCTGAATCTCCAGCACAATAAAATGTTTGTGAACCAAGGTGAGACCTGCAGACATAGCATTCTTTCTCTTAGCTGAAAGCAATCAGTAAGATAACCAACATGATAAATCAAAGTCACTGCTTGTAAAAAAGGTCATAGTCATGGACTCTCTGCAACTATAAGGATTATACAGTATGTTGAAAACAATAAAATTGTGTTTTAGACTCTTTTTTACAATTAGATTTTCAGGAATATTATTCAGAAGTATTGCTAAGACTATAGCCAGAGAAAAATCATTAGAGCTGCAAATAAGGACTTTTAGCTTATTCATGATCATCTTTTCAGAGAAATTAATTTTGCTGCTGTTATTTACGTTTTAAAAGCACATTTTAAAGATAATTTGCAAGTAAAATCCTTCCAAATGGATTGAATACTTCAATGAGCAAACATTCAGATGAGTTGTAGATGGCCATTTCCAGGAATGTCTTAGAGGCCCAGCTCTTTGCAATGATCTTATCTAAACAAAATTGTAACTTGGTTTTTATTTGTTCAGCTATCTTTTTAAAAGGCATATGTACAATTTGAATTCTTTTAACTCCATTCTTTTTTAATAACAAAAGACAGTAATTCTGGCAAGTGGCTTCTGACACGACGCATTTTCTTAGTGGATGCAGTAAGTGGACGAGAAAATGACTTGGGCAGTCTACCAAGAGTCGTTCGAATTGCTACTCAGATATCACTGAGGTAAACGATTGGCTAATGAGTAAATGAGACTAAAAATATTTGGGCAAATGTTTCAAAGCAAGTGTTTACTAATTGTCATGTGAGAATAATTTATGTAAGACTTTTGAGATAACTGTGTAGATTGATATAAATCAACAAAATTGAGGAGTAAGGAGAGGGATTTTTATCTGAAGAGTCTAAGAAGTATGTTGAGAATTCATCCTTGGGGGCCCTGTGTGGTAGCCTAGTCCTTGCCTTGAACATGCCAGGATCCTGTGTGGGTGTTGGTTTTAATCCTTTCCCGGAGGCTCCACTTCCCATCCAGCTCCCTGATTGTGGCCTGGGAAAGCAGTGTCTCTTTCTCTCTGTAAATCCAACTTTTTCAATAAAAATAAATAAATAAATCTTAAAAAAAAAATGAAGGATTCTCCCTGTTGAATTAGGATTAAGAAATGTGGTGGAGGAGGATAGCAGTGAGCTGCTGTGGGCATTTTGGAAGCAGCCTGCGAGGTAACTGTGACTAGGTCCACCTCCGCATCCTCATTTCCTGTAATGGCTGTTGTAGGCTGACCCAGAGATCAAGACCTCCGTCTTCCTAGGATACGCGGAATACGACACTACCACAGAGTGATGCCATGCAGCTTGTATTTCTGTGTATTTTATTCATCTCTAAGATCTTAACTGACTTCACTCTGGTATTTTGTGATGTGCATTAGATTTTAAAGATTTATTCATTTTTATTGGAAAAGTAGGTTTTACAGAGAGGAGGAGAAGCAGAGAGAGTGTGTCATCTGTTGGTTCACTCCCCAAATGGCCGCAAGAGTCAGACCTGAGTCAATCTGAAGCCAGGAACTGTTAACCTCCTCTGGGCCTTCCATGTGGGTGCAGGGTTCCAAAGCTTTGGGTGATATCCTGCTGGTTTCCCAGGCCGCAAGCCCGGAGCTGGATGGGAAGTGGAGCAGCCAGGACATGAATAGGTGCCCATGTGGGATATTAGTGCTTGCAGACACAGGATGAGCTATTTGAGCCATTGCCGTGGCCCCAACGTTGGCATTTTAAAGCATTGCATGTACACACAGTTTTTTCCACTGCTATTTCGTTTTAATTCACCGAATAGTCTCACAAGTTAGACAGTAGGGAAGCTTGGTCATTTGTCTTGCTGATATCCAAATGTACTGCATTTTTAGCATTTTTTCAAGATGCCAATGTAGTATCACTAATAGAAATAAAATTGGAACTATTTAGGCTTTATTTTTTCCTTAATGAAGTCATGCTGTCCTCTAATTAATTGATACTTCCCCTTTTAAGTGTATAAACTGTACAATGCTAAGGCACTGAACTTGGGAAAATGTCCCCCACTCTCTTTCGTAAACATTCTAGATCTAACACATTTTTAAAGGAATTCATCTTTCTCTTAAAAAATAAGGAAGTTCTTTATCTTTCGTTAGCCATTATATAGAGCTTTTCCTGCATCTTTCTCAGAGGTAATTCATAACGGTTCAGTGGCTTTACTTGTAAGCTTCATAAGACTTGAATTAAAAAGTTTCTAATTTGTCTCAGAAGGTGTTTGAATATTACATTTTTACCAGCTAAGGTTAACTTGTAGTACTACCATTAATTTATATTTGGCCTTCTCCCTAGTTCATAATAACTGTTTGGTTCTGAGATCATCAAGATAATCTATGTTAAATTAAAAAAGAAATTAGCAATTATAATTACCTTGATGTATTTAAATAGTAGAAGGTTAAACTTGTAACTATTACCAAAGTGCTAAACCACTGTGATAATATGAGAGAAAATGGTGGGGGAAGAAAACGGGGAGGATGAAAGGAGAGGGAAGGGGAGGAATCTCTATATCTATAAAACTGTATCGTGGGAAATAATAACAAAAATAAAACATTAAAAAAAGAAAGTCTTAAATTACTGCAAAAAAATGTATACCTAAGAACCTTGATACATTTATAACTATATTTGTAAACATTTTTCTCTAAATAGCATCAACCTTGTACCCAATACAAAGAATGGAAACATCTACCCTCCCTTAATCACCATTGCGTACAGGGACATCGACACCAAAGACGCCAACAGCCAGTCTGTGAAGGTGAGTTCTTTACCAGCCACTGTCTTTATACCTATAAGTATACAAATTATTTATATTTACACAGTTTACTGCCAAAAGACAGTCTGTTTTTAAGAAATTCTTCATCATCCGTGCTTAACTTTTTTTTAATTAATGCTGGAAAGAGGTCATTTATTAGAGATTTTAATATTTTTTTAAAGATTTATTTACTTTTATTTGAAAGGGAGATATACAGAGAGGAGGAAAGACAGAGAGGAAGATCTTCTGTCCGATCATTTACTCCTCAAGCGGCCACAACGGCTGGAGCTGAGCCAGTCCAAAGCCAGGAGCCAGGAGCTCCTCCAAGTCTCCCATGCGGGTGCAGAGTCCCAAGGCCTTGGGCCGTCCTTGACTGCTTTCCCAGGCCACGAGCAGGGAGCTGGATGGGAAGCAGGGCCATCGGGTCTAGAACCGGTGCCCATATGGGATCCCAGCGCGTGCAAGGCGAGGACCTTAATCATTATACCAACGCGCAGGGCCCAAGATTTTAAAGATTAAAAAAGCAGGAGTGAAGTTCTTTAGTAGAAGGCTTACCAAGAGTTGGCCATCACTCTTAAGGGCCTTCTGGGGTGCTGAGATGCGTAGCCTGTGTTCCTCTACGCTGCGCTTCTTTTTAAGTTCTGTGTCCAGGAATTCAGACTTTACAATGGACAGTGTGGCATGGTGGGTTAAGCTGCCATCTCTTAGGACTACTGCAACGTGTCTAGGATCTGGTTCCTGCTGCTCCTCACTTCCATCCCAGCTTTGTGCTGTGCGGTCTGAAAGGAAGTGAATAATGGAGCAAGTATGTGGGTTTGTGTTAACCATGTGGAAGTTGTAGAGTTCCTAGCTGCTGGCTCCTGGCTTCATCTTGATCGCCACCTATTGTAGGCACTCAGGGAGTGAGGCATCCATGGGAAATCTGTCTCTCTGGCCATTCCTGTCTCTGTTATTCTGCAGTAACTAACTTTTTTTTTAATTTTTAATTTTTTTAAAGATTTATTTTTATTATTTTTTTTATTGGAAAGGTGGATATACAGAGAGGAGAGGCAGAGAGGAAGATCTTCCGTCCGATGATTCACTCCCCAAGTGAGCACAATGGCCGATACTATGCCAATCCAAAGCCAGGAGCCTCTTCCAGGTCTCCTACGCGAGTGCAGGGTCCCAAAGCTTTGGGCCGTCCTCGACTGCTTTCCCAGGCCACAGGCAGGGAGCTGGAAGGGAAGCGGGGCTGCCTGCACCCATATGGGATCCAAGCGGGGCTGCCGGGATAGAACCGGCGCCCATATGGGATCCCGGGCGTGCAAGGCGAGGACCTTAACCACTGCGCCACCGCGCCGGGCCCTGCAGTAACTAACTCTTAAAAAACAGTTCTACAGCAATTTTGCTCTCATCCACAGCAAATAACTTGGTTTTCTAGTTTGGTAGACAGATCAGGGTAACTTAATATAAGGAATTCTCCTGATTTTCTTTGTAACACTTCAGAGTCTCATTACTTGTTACTTTTCCTGGGAAACAAGGTTCCCTCATCTTTTAATCTAATCATCTGTGAGTACTTGCAGTGCTTTCCCCAGCATTCCTCTCCTCACCCTTTGTTTTTGCTAGTTCCTTTCTTTTACCTATAAAAAAAAAATCACAGGAGAGGGCCAGCATTGTGATACAGCTGGCTGCTTAAACCACCGCATGCCGTTCTGGTGTTTCATGTAAGCACTGGTTCAAGTCCTTGCTCATCTACTTCTGATCCAGTTCTCTGCTGAAGGACCTAGGAAAGCAGCAGAGGATGGCCTAGGTCCAAGTCCCCTCCAGCCATGTGGGAGATTTGGGGGGAGTTCCAGTTTCCTGACTGCTACCTGGCTTAGCCCTGGCCATCGAAGCTACATGGGAGTGGACCAGGGGGTGGAGGATTTCTTCCTTTCTTTTTATTTTTTTTGTTAAGATTTGTCTATTTTAATTGGAAAGGATGATATACAGAGAGGAGAAAAGACAGAGAGGAAGATTTTCCATCCAATGTTTCGCTCCCCAAGTGGCTGCAACGGCTGGAGCTGAGCCAATCCGAAACCAGGAGCCAGGAGTTCTTCTGGGTCTCCCACACGGGTGCAGGGTCCCAAGACTTTGGGCTGTCCTCCACTGCTTTCCCAGGCCACAAGCAGGGAGCGGGATGGGAAGCAGGGCCGTCGGGATTAGAACCGGCGCCCATATGGGGTCCTGGGCGTGCAAAGTGAGGACTTTAATTACTACACTATTGTGCCCATGAGGATTCCTCTCTAATTATACCTTTTAAGTAAGTAAATCTTAATTTAAAAAATCTCAGGTTGCTTCATATTACAAAGTTACAAGAACTTACCAAGCAGTAATATCTTTCCTCAATTCTCTCAGCTCCTCAGCTTGTCATCAGATTGCTTTCATTTGTAGCTAATCAGTTACTCTCCTTGGGTGTTTTCCGTCTGGCTCTTGCCATTTTATTTCTTCAAAACCTCTTTAAGACAGACAGCAATGAATCCCACCTATACTGGCTACAGTTTTCGTTAAGATTTATTTTTAAATTTTTATTAGAAGGTCAGATTTATAGAAAGGAGAGACAAAAAGATCTTCCACTTGCTAGTTCATTCCCCAAGTGGCTAAAATGGCAGGAGCTGAGTCAATCCAAAGCCAGGAGCTTATTCCAGGTCTGTCATATGGGTGCAGACTCCCAGGGCTTTGGGCTCCTTGTCTGCTTTCCCAGGCCACTAATAGGGAGCTAGATGGGAAGTGGAGCAGCCAGGACATGAACATACCCATATGGAATCCTTGTGCTTGCAAGGCAAGGTCTTTTGCCGCTAGGCTACTGTGCTGGGCTCAATGGCTTCATTTTTAGAAAAAAAAATTACTTTTTGAAATACAGAGTCATAGAGACAAGGAGAGATAGAGATAAAGAGAGATCTTTCATATGCCGGTTCACTCCCCAATGTCTCACTGGCTATGGCTGAACTAGGCTGAAGCCGGGAGCCTAGAATTCCATCAGATCTCCCATGTGGGAGGCAGGTATCCAACTACTTGGGCCATCCGTTCCTTCAGTGCTTCCCCACACACAGTAGCAGGGGGATGCATCAGAAGCAGAGCAGCCAGGACTTGAACCAGTGCTGATATGGGATGCCAGGCCTCTCAGCTGGTGACTTGATGTGCTGTGCCACAATACAGGACCCATGGTTTTTCCTGTAATTGACATTTATGCAGCACTTGGCACTGTACTAGAGACCTCCTGTTTCTAGAAACTCCCTATCCTGTGGCTCAGGTTAAATTTAGGTATTTTGCCTCTCCTTGCTCTCATAGTCCCGATGTTTCCTTTCTTTGTCTCCATTTGATGTTATCCCTCTGATTCTTGTTCAAGTTTGTGACTAATCTGGCACCTTAGAATGTGCTTGTTTGGTTCTTTGCGTAAGTGGCACTGTCTGTCGCAGGTGATGGCTTCAAGGTTACTTGGGGAGCTGGGGTGCTCGCTGCCCAGGCCCTGAGGGCCCGTGCACTCCATGGGGCAGCTGCCGTACGCTCCATGGCTTCTGGAGGTGGTGTCCTGACCGCTGAGGAGCAGGCCACCGGGCTAGAGCGGGAGATCATGATGGCTGCATGGAAGGGCCTGAACCCCTACAACTTGTTACCCCAAAGGCAGCTTCTGGCACCAAGGAAGACCCTAATTTAGTCCCTTCCATCACCAACAAGCAGATAGTGGGCTGCATTTGTGAAGAGGACAACAGTGCTGTCATCTGGTCCTGGCTGCACATAGGTGAGGCCCAGCGATGCCCTAGCTATGGAACCCACTATAAGCTGGTGCCTCACCAGCTGGCCCACTGAGTCCCTGCACTCACTGAATCAAAATGCGCTGTAAAGTTTCTTCTTCCAATAAAGGTTAGCCATTGTGTTGGCACCTCCTCAAAAAAAAAAAAATGTGCTTGTTTATCCAGTTGCCAAATTCTTGATAACCAATCCTGAGTTATAGAAAATGAAACATTAGTTTGAGTGTAACTACTGTTAATGAGCCTAATTTACCTCCAAATGAACTTTCCTCCTTTAATGTATGTTCACAAAAGATATTTAAAGTAGCACAAATAATTCTTAACAGCACATCTCTGTTATATGTAAGCAAGAGTCAAATCTAGTGATTCTGAGAAATGATAAGGCATTTATGATACAACCCAGCTATACTTGTTTTTTTATATTATATATAATAAAATGAGCTGTGGTATATATAATTTTAGTATGGCTAATTTGTTTTGTTTTTAATACCAGGTTTCTTTCTCAGTCACATATGAAATGAATCAAGGAGAAGCACATGTCCAAACAGATGTGAGTTATTGAAACTCAAACTCAAAATATTTACAAGTATATTTTTAATAGAAAGGTTAACATCAGTTATAAAATGTGATTTCTGTTTTGTAGATTGCCCTGGGTGTGTTGGGTGGACTGGCTGTTCTGGCATCTCTTTTGAAGACAGCAGGATGGAAGAGACGCATTGGTAGTCCCATGATTGACTTACAGGTATGATGGTCTAAGTGCCTAAGGTATCCTCAGAAAGTTCATAGAAAATACATACTAATCAAAGAGAACTATACAGAAGTACCATTTTTTTTTACAGCCAGTAGAATTTTTTGGAAAGAAAAGATTTCATTTTTTTTTTTTTATTTGAAAAGCAGAATTAGATACAGAGAAAATCTCTTTCACCCAACTGACCTTTTAGAGAACTGATTCTGGGGCCAGTGTTGTGGCCTAGTGGATAAAGCCTATGATAGTGACATTCTGTATCGGTCCCAGTTCATGTTCCGACTGCTCTACTTCTGATTCTGTTGCCTGCTTATGGCTTGGGCAAAGCAACAGAAGATGGCCCCTTACAACCACTTGGGAGGCCCAGCGATGACTCCTGGCTCCTGGCTTCAGCCTGCCCCAGTGCTGCCTGTTGTGGCTATCTGGAGAGTGAACCAGCAGATGGAAGACCTCTCTTGGGAAGTGATGGGGAAGGAGAGAGGAGAGGGGAGGAAAGGGGAAAGAGGAAAACTAACTGGTGTTGGGGAGGGTAGATTAGGATAGGAGTTCCAGCTGTGGGGAAATAAAGCCACAATTTCAGCTTTTTCTTGTTTTTAATTTTATTTTTAATGATGTTTACATAGTTAATTACAGTAAAAAGGGTCGAGATAGAAAGGGGAGAGATAAGGGGACAAGCCACACCCAGCCTGCCAACTGCCTCAGTATCTGGGGACGGGGAATGGCCACCCGATGTGATGCCAGGGTCCCTGGTGGTGGAGCATGCTCCGAGGGATCTGCTTTGTCTGCTTTGGTGGTTTCAGTAGTTTGATAGTTTGAAATGCTGTTTATTGTGCCAATTCAAAGATGAGAAAATCCTTTCCATATCCTTTGGCTGGCATAGTTCACCTTAGATTCTCCATTTGCCCAGATATTTGCTGCCAACATATACCTGGGGGTAGTTGACCAATCTGTTGGCTTCCTACCTGTATTTTGGTACCAGATGTCTTCTGCAGGCTCTAATGGACTGCCATGTCCTCCACGTGCATCTGGGGATGCTGTCCATTGCTGTCCCCCCTGAGGAGGCCCAGCTTTGACACATGGCACTCTACAGTCAGACCATAGTTCCTGTGATTCTCCCCATAGCTGGAGTTTTGAGTCCATCGGTTCAGATGGGGTATTCCCAAAGAAACCTTGATTAAAGTGATCCCAGAACTTATTCTTGTGTGTGCTTATCAGAATGGAGTACGGCTCTGTCCATCATCCACATCAGCCTATGCACACACTAATAGGTGCAATCACTGGGTCAGTTCTGTCTCCAGCCCCATCTGTTACACAAACCAATGATAGTGTGACTTAGCTAACCCTGCCCACCACATCCATGGCCATCATGTATACCAGTGGGAGAGATCCCCAATAAGCCCCATTAGGCCCCTTCCCAGTCCTGCTTCCTGTGTTTGTCAGTTTGTGTAGCAGACTGGTCCAGTCTTTCCCACATCCCATTCAACTCTCATACATGTCAATGGCCATTGAAACCTAGTTCAGCCCAACTAACCCCACTATCCAGCCCATGTTCATGACAGCATGTGCCACTACCAACAGGCCCACACCTAGCCCTGGTTCCCTTGCTCACCAGTGGGGGTTGTAACCGCTCAGACAGGTTCCCACAGTTTCCATACTGGATCCACTTTCCAGGTGGTTCTGCAGTCTAGCTTGACAAGACTGGCACTTGCCAGCAAATGCCACAGTAAAGCCCAACCAGCCTGCACTTACTCTGGCGTATGCATGCACCAATGGATACAATTGGTTAACGCAGCCTGACTTTCCCCCAACCTAGCTTAACGTAGGCCAGCACATGTTGTTGCCATGTCCAGCTTCGTCCACTCGCATCCTTGTTCTCACACTCACCAGTGGGAGCAGTAGCCCAGCAGAGGAGTCCTCTGCAGCCTCCCTACCAGGCTCACAACCTACCCGCAGCCCAGGTCCACATGTGTTGATGGGTCCTGCGGCCCAGTTTGGCATGGCCTATCTCACTTTGGCATTTGCTGGTGGGTAATGACCCCTGGCTTGGTCCTGCCTGTCCCCAGTTCCACCTCATGCTGGTGGATGCTGCAGCCTAGTCCAGCCCCGACATGCTTCAGTTCCAGCCCTAATGTGAACTGGATCATGTTGTATCCCAACCTGGGCTGTCCTGCAGCCCTTCTTCTTTTTCAGATCTGCTAGTGGGTGTTATGAACTGGCCCAGCTTGGCCCACCCCCAGACCTGACCCACACGTATGCCTGCATACGTATAACCTCTCCTGGCCTGGGCTGCTCCCAACATTGGTTCTTGCATTCACTTGCAGAGATGCATCCTGACAAAGGAGTGCCCCAAGTTCCACTATCAGTTTTCTTTCCAGTGGCAGATCTCACACACACCAATGGGTCCTTGGCACAGACTGACTTAGTCTGCCTTTTGTCCTGGCAGGAACAGTGGCCTGGCTCAACTGGCTCACACTCATTCTTTTCTTTTCTTTTAATTAATTAATGAATTTATTTTTGACAATCTTGACATAATTAGGGTAAAAAGGTTCAAGCACTACAGGAAGATGGGCAAGACAATTAGTTCCGTATTATTTCCTTAATATATCTGATGTAAAAGGGGATTTTAAGGGAGAAGCCCCACCCAGTCTCCCATCCACTCCAAGTCCCAGATGTGGGGCATGCTCCAAGGGTCTTGCTCAACTGGTTTTGATAGTTCAGCAGTTCCGGATTGCTGTCAATCTCGCCACTCCAAACACGATGAGGTGGTTGGAGAATCCACTGATTGACATAGTCCATCATAGAGTCTCCATTTGCCCAGCATTTTCATTGCCAACATATAGCTGAGGTGGTTGATTGACCCACTCTATCCTCTGTCTTTTCTTGGTTAGGGTTCTGAGTCTGGAAGCTCGATTGGGGAGATCCCCACAGCAACTTTGTCTGAGGTGTTCCCAGTCCAGATTCTTGTATGTACTAGCAAGTACAGGGCCCGGCACAGTCCATTGCCCCAAACAGCTGGTGGTTGCAATCGCTGGGTTGGTTCTCACACACATTCTTTTTCTGACTGTTGGGTGCTACCACCCAGCCACACCTGGTCCACACCAGAAATAGCTCTTGCATTGTTCTGCTGCTACCGAGACCTAGCCCAGCCAGTTCTACACTCATCCTGACTCTCAGGCCCCGTGGGGTAGCCTAGTGGTTAAAATCCTCAGCCTTGCATGTGCTGGGATCCCAGATGGGCGCTGGTTTGTGTACCAACGGGTCCACTTCCCATCCAGCTCCCTTTTTGTTGCCTGGGAAAGCAGTCGAGGACGGCCCAAAGCCTTGGGACCCTGTAACTGTGTGAGAGACCTGAAATTAGCTCCTGACGCCTGGCTTCTGATTGGCTCAGCTCCAGCCATTTTGGCCACTTAGGGATGAAGAATCTTCCTTTCTGTCTCTTCTTCTTTCTGTATATCTGCCTTTCCAATAAAAGTCAATAAATCTTGAAAAGGAAGGAAGGAAGGAAGGAAGGAAGGAAGGAAGGAAAGAAGGAAGAAAAGAAGAGAAGAGAAGAAAAGAGAAAGGAAAAGGAAAGAAAGAAAGAAAGAGAAAGAAAGGAAGGAAGGAAGGAAGAAAGAAAGAAAGAGAAAACAAATGAATCTTGGCTCTCACAAGCACCAGTGTATGCTGGAGTCTAGGCCAGTTTGTCACACCCCAGAACCTGTCCATACTCATACTGAGGGACATAGAAGTCATGTCTAGTCCTGCTCATTGCCCTCATTCTGGCTCTAACACTAACCAGTGGGCACTGAAACCCAGCTGAGGTGTCCCCTTAGCTTCCCAACCAGGCCTGTTCCCAGCCACAAATCTTGCACATGCCAGTGATTGCTCTGACCCAAATCAGCATAGTCCATCCCCTGTCTTGGCCTTTGCCATTGGATGCTGAAGCCTGATCCATCCCAATCTGTCCCTAGTCCAGGCTCTCGCTGGCTGATGCTGCAGTCTACCCCAGCCCAGTCTGGCTCACACACACCAGTAGGTGTGATAGTTTAGCCCAGCATGACCTGTACTCCAGCCTGTCTCTTTCACCTGCCAGGAGGCTGACATTGGCTCAGCCCTGCCCAGTCCACCCTCCTCCAGAACCAACACACACACTTGCCAATGAGTGGAGCTACCTTGCTTGGCCTGACCAACACCCAGGCCAAAATCAAATGCTCACCTCTGGGGGCTATGGCCCCCAGGGGAGTTTCCCAAGTTCCCCAACCAGGCCCACTCTCAAACCTAGGTCACACATGTGCTGGAAGCTGTAGGCCCTTACCCAGGGTAGTCTGCCCTCTCTGTCCCAGCCTTTGTATGAACTGGTAGATGTGGACCAGCCCACCCCACACCCCATTTTTTGAGTGTGCCTATGGGTGCTGCAGCCTGGATCAGCCCAGCTTGTTCCCAACTTCAGTACCCATGAATATTGGAGGGTGTCATGGTCATGCCTAGATCAACCCATCACCACCCCCAGCTCTTAAGCTAACCAGTGGAAATTGCTGTTTCCCCAAGGTGAGCCCACATATACTCCGCAGAATCTGCCCATGGACCTGATTCTTGCATACTGGTTAGTTTCATTGTTCAGCCTAACATGATTCATCCCCTGTTCCGACACTCACTGGGTGGTGTACTGTGATCTAACCCTGCCAGGCAGGCCCCAGTCCTAGCTTTAATGTGCATCTGTGGTTGGCTGTGATCCATGCTAACTAGCCCAGCTCAGGTCTCCCACGTGGGCTAGTGCATCTGTCTAACCCATAAAGGTCCTCTCCCTCTCCCTTCCAAACCACTTGGTTTCAGCCTCCTCGCTTACCTCCAAGTACTGTGGCCTTGTATTTGGGAGTCCCTCAGAAGTCATTCCTCACCTGCAATATACTCCTTTAGCAGTTCTCCCTCCCAAACATTTCCTTACTCCCTTCCTGATCAATCCACAGTCCCTTCACCTGGGAGTGCATGGGTTCCCCAGCCCAGCCTTCCAGCTCGTGGCACATGGGCTAGCCTGGGACTGTATCCCTCCACACACCCAAGATCCAGGCCCATTCAAAGTTCCCCAAACGTGGCTCTTCAGCCCACCAGGCCAGCATGCTCTTCCCTCCCCTTCCCTTGGGAAACTCCCCAGGCTTGCTTCACCTGCCTGGATCTAAGCCCCTAGGTCTCTACTCACCCCCACTAGCACTTATCCCTTGGCCCCCTGCAAGCCCACATTCTCGGACCCCCATGATCTGGCTGCTGCTGGCCCAATTTCAGCTTTCTTAGGTGTTGAGATAAGGGTTGAAAAGTGACAGGCTTTATTTATTTATTTATTTTTAAGGTTTATTTATTTATTTATTTTTTAAGATTTATTTTTATTATTTTTTCATTGGAAAGGCGGATATACAGAGAGGAGAGACAGAGAGGAAGATCTTCCGTCCGATGATTCACTCCCCAAGTGAGCGCAATGGCCGATACTATGCCGATCCAAAGCCAGGAGCCTCTTCTGGGTCTCCCACGTGGGTGCAGGGTCCCAAAGCTTTGGGCCGTCCTCGACTGCTTTCCCAGGCCACAGGCAGGGAGCTGGATGGCAAGCGGGGCTGCCGGGATTAGAACCGGCGCCCATATGGGATCCCGGGCGTGCTAGGCGAGGACCTTTAACCACTTGCGCCACCGCGCCGGGCCTGAGGTTTATTTATTTTTATTAGAAACACAGATTGGATTTACAGAGGAGAGACAGAAAAATCTTCCATCCACTACTGGTTCACTTTGCAGATGACAGCAATGGCTAGAACTGAGCCAATAAACCCAAGATCCAAGAATTTTTTCCAGGTCCCACACATGGGTACAGGGTCCCAAAGTTTTGGGGTCCATCCTCTACTGCTTTCCCAGGCCACAAGCAGGGAGCTGGGGAGGAAGTGAAGCAGCCAGAACATGGACTGGGATCCTGGTGCTTGCAAGGCAAGGATTTAGCCATTGCTCCAGTTCCAGAAACTTTTTAAACATAAGGATCCAAAAGTATCTAGGAAGGAGACTCAGTTGTTCTGTAAATTAAATGTGGTCAGGGATGATCTGTGATTAAAAGTGATAGTGTTGCTGAATGCCATAAACGTTGCATTTTTTACAGCTATAATTTTTTTTTTAATTGCAGACAGTTATGAAATTCTTGGTGTACTATGCTGGTGATCTGGCCAATGTCTTCTTTACGATCACAGTGGGAGCAGGTCTTTATTGGCTGATTTTCTTCAAAGTGAGTGAGTTTCTGAATACATTCAGAAAATGCCAATACCTGAATCATTGGAAAAATGATTTTTATAAAGGAACTATTTTATTGGAAGCATTTCTGATAAAGAATATGAAAGAATATTAAAACTAACTTCACGATTCCCTGATGGGTTATATTCATGGGATAAATGATTATCCCCTTTTATGGTTGTTTCTTCAAAGGTTTATAAATTGTATGCACTAAAAATCCTCGTGTGGTCATATTTAGCCAAATAATTTTTATTACAGGCGCAGAAGTCTGTCTCTGTTTTGCTACCAACACCTGTCCAGGAAGAAGATTTTGTCATTTATGTAGGATGCGCTTTCGCTCTGAAAGTAAGTTTCAAAGGACAGCTCTCCTAGTTCAAAAGATTGCTAATAAACTAGTAAGTCTTTAAAATTAAGCTGGTTTTTAAAGATCTTTGGTATAAAATTTACTTTGGTTTTCAAAGGAAGTATGCCTTTGTTTTACATGGGATAATCTACTTTTAGTCAAGTTGAGTTCACAGTGGGACAAAATGCCTGGAGGTGTGAGTTTGTGCCTGATAATCAAAAAGGTACAATTCTGCATGAGGTGCTAAAGGCTAAAGGTTGTTTCTCTGTGTCTGTATTCCGTCCCCCCTCGTCTTCTGTGACCATGTCCGTTGGTGTGTGAGGTAGCAGGCACAGGCCTGTTGGGGAGCTCTCTGTGTTTGTTCCCCCTCGTGTTCTGTGACCATGTCCATTGGTTTGAGGAAGCTGGCTCTCGGCCTCTTTGGGAGCTCTGTTTCCCACTTCCTTGTAATTATTAGTGCCTGACTTTCCCAGTGAGCTTTTCTGTTAGAGATTTCATCCCATACTCTCATCAGCACCTTGTATTTGATCAGGAATGCATCTTTGGAAGAATGCCTCTGTTGAAACAACTGCTTTTATGTATGAGAACAATTTACAACTTTATAAATGAGAATTTTCAATGCAAAAATAGAAAAAATACAATATCTTAAACTTTTAAGTAGGATAAGCAAATTACAAATGAAAATACCTTCTGAAGAAGTTATATGCAATACAAAGCAGAGTATACATCTAGAAGCCTTGGGAGCAAAGTCAGATATGCAAGCCCCATCTGTAAGAAGGAGGTATAGGTTTCCTGTTTTCATACCCCTATATTAAAGGAAGGAGGAAAAAAAGAAGTAAAGGAAGGAAGAGAAGGAGGGAGGGGGGAAGGAAAGAAAAGGTGAAGTGAATGTGTGAGAATGGTGTGAATTTGGTGATTTGCTTTGGTGAACTTCTCATGGTTTCCTAATAGTACATGTAACTTCAAGTAAAGGCATTTTTTAACAATTGCATGTTCTTATGTGTATAGATTTGTTCATTTATAATTGTATTTTAGATATTATTGTTATTATTAGTTTTTATTTTTCACGGTACAGCTCAGGGATTTTCCCTTCTACCTTCCCCATTTACCCTTTCCCCCAGTTTTTCCCTATGTTACTATCTAGCATGTTTCTTAATCAGTAGCGGGCTTGATTCGGATAATTTTCAGATGTCTTATTGTGTGTTGTTCTCAGGCTGTACAGTTTTTGCATAAGCTCATGTCCCAGATAACTATAGATGTATTCTTTATTGATTGGGAGAGACCCAAAGGAAAAGTTCTGAAAGCTGTTGAAGGTAAATAAAATCAGTATGTGCACCACAGTTATTTTGCTACTTAGGCTTGCAAAGCAGGGAAGGTGAAACTGTTTCCCTCATTTTATCTCCTTGGCCAGGTGAGGGTGGTGTGCGGAGTGCCACTGTTCCTGTAAGCATATGGAGAACATATTTTGTAGCAAATGAATGGAATGAAATTCAGACTGTGAGAAAAATCAATCCACTTTTTCAAATACTTACTGTTCTCTTCTTTTTGGAGGTACAAACTGTTGGATGTAATTATAGATCAACTTGTAGGTACTTCATAAATGTTGGAATAATCTTAATTAAGCTTTCATGACAGTGGACGTTTTCTCTAAGTTGACACTGTTATCACTCATTTAGAAGGAAAGGGTTGGGGTTGGCCTGGGGTTCAGTGTGTTATACCACTGACTACAATGCTAGCACCCCAGCGCCCTATGTCAGAGCGTCTTGTCCTCGTGGGTCCTGGCTGCTCCACCTTCCACCCAGCTCCCTGCTGGTGCCTCTGGCCAGGTAGCAGGTGAAGACCCAAGTGTTTAGGCCCCTGTAACCCACATGGGAGATCCCAACGGAGTTCCCTTGCTCCAGGCTTCAGCGCTGGATCAGCGCTGTCTTTATAGCCATTTGGGGAATAAATCAGTGGACAGTTTGCTATGTTGAAATTTTTTTAAATTCAATTTATGAATTTTTTCCAAAAAAAAGTTTGTTTGGAAGGCAGAGCAACAGAGAAGAAGGGAGAGATTGAGCGTTTCTAGTTACCAGTTTACTTCCCCTGTTGGGCAAAGAGCCAAAACCAAAGCCTGGGTAAGGTCAGAGTCAGAAGCAGGAAACTCATCCTGGTCTCCAAGTGCTTTGGCTGCCTTCTGTGGCCTGCTCAGGCCGCTTTGCAGGAGGCTGCATTGGAATCGCGGAGTAGTCAGGATTCAGACTGGCGGTTTGAAATGGGATGCTGCTGTCATAAGCCTTGGCCTAACCCACTGTGCAGCACCACTACATCCCCTTCCTTTTTTTTTTTTCTATTTTAAGATTTATTTATTATTAAGAAAGGCAGAGTTTTAATGAGAGAGAAGGGTAGAAATAAAGGTGTATCTAGGCCCGGCGCGATGGCGCAAGTGGTTAAAGGTCCTCGCCTTGCATGCCCGGGATCCCATATGGGCACCGGTTCTAATCCCGGCAGCCCCGCTTCCCTTCCAGCTCCCTGCCCGTGGCCTGGGAAAGCAGTCGAGGACGGCCCAAAGCTTTGGGACCCTGCACCCGCGTGGGAGACCCAGAAGAGGCTCCTGGCTTCGGATCGGCATAGTATCGACCCGTTGCGGCTCACTTAGGGAGTGAATCATCGGATGGAAGATCTTCCTCTCTGTCTCTCCTCTCTGTATATCCGCGTTTCCAATAAAAAATAATAAAAATAAATCTTTAAAAAAAAAAAAAAAAAAAAAAAAGAAATAAAGGTGTATCTGCTGGTTCACTCCCCAGAAGGCGGAAGAGGCTGGAGATGGGCCGTTCTGAAGTCAGGAGCTTCCTCTGGCTCTCCCACTTCGGTGCAGGGACACAAGGACTTGGGGCATCATCTGTTGCTTTTCCAGGTGAATTAACAGGGAGGTTTGGAGCCAGATATGATACCCCAGCCCTACAATAAGAACCCCAAGGCAGTACTGTCAAGGTATTCCATTAAAACGTTTGCAATGAAGTTTGAAAAAATGCTAGATTGAATGAAATCTTGTATAATTTCCCAGAGCCGTTATTCTGCATGAAGAAAGGTGGGAGCATGCCAGTGACTTTGTAAATGCACATTCCAAGCTTATTCAGTAGTGGCTTCCTTTTCCTGAAGAAGGTGTTTCCTTCAAAGGATATTTGGACTGTTTTAAAATAAAAGTACACAGTGTGAAACCTCATACAAGTGAAATGCTGATAACGCATGTATTTCACCGGTAGTTTGTTGAAAAAAATTTCAAATTTTCAATAGAAATGTTTTCATCTTATCTGTATGCATGGTAGTAAAGTCATATCTGGCCTATTGTATTAAGAACAATACCGAGTATTTAATAAATATTCTGTAGTTAAAATAGTAGCTGATAGTTATTTCATTTGTATGTTGTATGTGTGAACGTGGATATTGTTGTTAAGGTGAAGAGCAAACAGGGTGCCTCGATTTGATTCTGAGGGAGGTTTCTTTGTCCACATCTGTTTGATGCTTTTGTCTTTTCGCTCCAGGTTGTGGGATTCAAGAACCTAGCGTTGATGGACTCATCATCTAGTCTTTCCAGCAGCCCATCTGACTACGTCGCTCCTTACAGCCGCATCTTGAGATACGCAGTGTCGACTGCACTTTGGCTAGTCATTGGAGTTATACAGGTAACGGCAAAGTATGCTTTCAGATAGCATTGCTGTTCTGTAATTATAGGTCATTGTGCTTGCGCAGTGAGTACCCACAGATGCGAACTACTTCCTACTTTCTGAGGCATAAAGATGGCCAGAACAATAACAGTAGCAGCTGATTCTTACCTTGTATAATTATCCAGGTATTGTGAAAAGTAATAGATTGCTTTACATATATTAACTGATTAATTTTTATGGTAATCCTTATTGACAGGTTCTGTTAATATTTCCATTTTACAGATGAGAAGCCTCTGAAGTACAGGAAGGTAAAATACTTGCCTGAAGTCAGCGCAACTAGAAATGACAGAACAGGAGCTGCAGCCCCGGTTGCCTAGCTTCAGAGTTCCTGTTCTTGTCAATAGTGAGGGCCTGAAAAAGTCTTTCAGAATCTTAAGCTTTCTGCTCATAAGAGTGACTCTCTTGTTTAGTTTCTGTGCAGTTTTAGAGACAGCTAAGCTACTCTAAATACTTTCTTTAAAGCATAACTATTTGCATTTATTTATACATTACTAAATGTCACTCTAATTGCTAGTACCCCTTGGAGATTTCCTTTGAAATATTTGTTAGCATGACAAATTAAAAACGTACCTCAGCCACATGTCCTATGGCTGCAGAAGAGTTTATCTATTTCTTCTTCTCTCATCTTAAAGTCAAAAAAATAGAAAAACAGCAGCCAGAATTTCAACTCTGATATCTGTACTTTCTCTTGCTTCCAGATGCTACTATGATCAGAAAGAGCCTTTGTTTGGTTAAACATTCCTTCAACTTTTGTATTCAACAAATGAAGATAGAAGCTCTGAAGAGAGCAAGGTTAATTTCCCATGTAGCCTGATAAACAGGAGTCTGTGTAGCTTATCTAACAGCCTATTTTTAAAGACCTTTTGGCATTAGAATTCCTCTAACAGAGTTTACTCCTACAGAATTGGACCCACATGGTGTTATTCTGTAACCTGAAAATTGCCTTTTTTAAAGATTTATTTGTATTTGAAAGGCATTTTTAGAGGGAGGAGAGACAGGGATCTTCCATCCTCTGCTTTAGTCCCCAAAAGCCTGCAATGGCTGAAGCTGTCCATTAGCCAGGAGCTGCTTCTGGATCTCCTATGAGGGTACTGGACTCACCCTCTGCTGCTTCCCAGGCCATTAGCACAGAGCTGGATCAGAAGTGAAGCAGTTGGGCTGTCAACTTGCACCCACAGAAGATGATGGCAATACAGGCAGAGGCTTAGCTTACTGTGCCATAGCGCTACCCCTGAGACCTGCCTGTTTAAGTTAACATTTATTTTATTATTTTTAAAAGATTTATTTATTTTTATTGGAAAGGCAAATATACAGAGAGGAGATACAGAAAGGAAGATCTTCCATTCACTAGTTCAATCCAGCAATGCCAGAGCAGCGCTGATCCAAAGCTAGGAGCCAGGAGCTGGGAACTTTTTCCAGGTCTCCCATGTGGGTGCAGTGTACCAAGGTTTTGAGCTGTCTTTGACTGCTTTCCCAAGCCACAGGCAAGGAGCTGGATGGGAAGCAGGACTGCCAGGATTAAACTGGTGCCCATATGGGATCCTGGTGCGTGTAAGACGAGGACTTCTTTAGTCACTAAGCTACCACACTGGGCCTGAAGTTAACATTTATATTAATCAAACTTGATCACACTCAAGTTATAGGCATAGAGTGATTAATGGATAGTCAACAACAGAAAAGGAAGACAGGCTGAATTTGAAAGTGTTGGGTTTGAAATTTATCAACATAATAGTAAGAAAATACCTTGTGCTTATGGCAGTCTGTAGAGAATTTAAAGGAACTTCACCTGAAGTTCTCATATTTGATTGAATATAACAAGAGAACAGAACAAAATGAAAGTGACAAATTGGATAACTCTGATGAATAAGAGCATAGGTCAGCAGTGTACAGCTAGAATATATTTCATTATTGCTGTTGGGCCCCATAAGCCATCCATGTGCTATGAGCTCTCCAAGGTCACCTCATGGTCTTCAGGGCTGGTGGAGGTGCAGGAGGTAGTCAGGAAGATAGGCTGACCTCCTATTTCCTCCTGACTGTCTCTTTAGAAGTGCCTACCATTCAACATCTGCTCTGCTCATGCTTGGCTTCTTGGCCATACCTTGCTGTGCTGTAGTCCCTTGGAGCTCAGAGGAACGGTGTTTCTAGAACAGTGAAGGGTGGTTGGGACAGCAGCTAGCAACCTCAGCTGCACCGTTTAGCCTTGTTAACACTTAGCTGTCTGGTCTGATAGGAGAGTTTCCTTCCATGAGCAATATGCTAGGATTATCAATGTTTTGTTCCACAAATAAACTTACTTGTTCCTTTAACTTGTTCCTTTAAGAATCTATTAAAGTTATATATAAAAATTTTCCGAACTTTTGAATTCTGTTAATGTTGAGCTTTATCTTTTATTCCTTTTTTCCCCGTAAACCCAGCTTTTTTTTTTTAATGTTATATAATTTATAAGCTTTGGATAATGCAGTTTTTTCATGTCCTTTAAAGGGATTTAAAGATGTATGTAGAGTATTTAGGACAACGTTCCCCATCATCAGAGGCTGTACACTCTTAGGAGACACTGTGCTGAGCTCATGAGTTCCTGTAACAAAGTTACAGATTGTGGCAAGTTGTAAGAGAATCAACAGGGAGGTGAGCTAGTGGAGTGGGAGGTGAGCTGGTGGAGTGAGGGACAAGGGAAATAGGGTAAGGGAGCAGCTTTCAGCAAACTCTACCCTTCTCTGATAGAGACGTCTAAAGGGCTGTCATGCGAAGATCTGTTTCCAGGACTGTTAGCCCAGTCTAAGAAAACACCTCTAATGACCCACTTGCATATATGCGCTCTCCTTAGTCAAAATGCAACACTAGATCTATGGTTTTATGTGTTCTGCTGTTAGAGATTAGCTTGGAGAGCACAGTCTTCTGCAGACATGGATTTCGGGAGAAGAAAATGGCCATTTGGCTATTAATACATGGCTTGTCCAGAATTGTTTGGATGTTTTCCTTCTTCTGACACATTTGTCTTACTTTGTTTTGATGCCTCAGGAAAGTTTCTGAAAGTCGAAGTAGGCTGTTCCTTTCCCCTCCATCCCATGACTTAACACAATCACCAAACCCTTCTTCCTCTCACAGAAGGATAAGGATTTGCATCTCCTGGGAATTACTAAGATGCCACTGGGTTCTTACTGGCAACTTCTTTTTTCCTAAAATACTACACTGTAGTTATAAAAGAAAATTGAAACTTTAAAAGCTAATAAATATAAATTTGGCTTAATGTTTCAGATCGTGTTCTTTGCTGCTTTTTATGAGAGATTTGTAGAGGATAAAATTCGACAGTTCGTTGATTTATGCTCTATGAGTAACGTAAGTGCTTCCTGACTGTTCCTCGCAACTGTTATTTTCCCCTTTGTAAAGGTCATAAGTACATTAACAAAGGCTCTAAAAGTGATTTGGTGTGATTGCATTTTAATCTAATTTCCCACCGGTTGTTAATTGCAGAGAGTTTTATAAGGAATTGTAAGTTAATAGTTACTGCCTTAGTCTTTTTTCCTCTTCATTTGCTTTATTTGACTTAAGGATTTTTTGTACTGGCAAACAGTTCATTCAGATAATGGCCTCTGAAACATCTTCATGTATAAAATTGTCTTCGTTTCTTGAAAAATACTTCACTCTTATTCCCACCTACTTCTTTGCTGTCCTTTATTTCCTTTTTATCCTTCTTCTATATTTCTTAAAAATTCATTCCTTATTATTTTGTGAGAAATGAAGCAATGTTAACAAAAATTTAATTTTTTAATTTTTCTGCAAATAAGCTGGTAACTGGTCCTTTTTCTTCTTTTTTATATAGATATCAGTATTTGTGTTATCCCACAAATGTTTTGGATATTACATTCATGGTAGGTCAGTACATGGCCATGCAGATACTAATATGGAAGAAATGAATATGAATCTTAAAAGAGAAGCGGTATGAATGTGGCTTGTATTTTTGTCTTTAGGTCAAGAGATGGGCTCTCTTAATATACAATTTGTAACATATGTATGTATATTTAAGTCCTTGTTGGTAACTTTTAAAAGTTGGTTGGGTTATCAATTCAATTGCTGTCAACACTGATGAAGGGGAAAAAAATCTAATTTTATCTGGAAGTTCTGTATGAACTGTTTTTCCTGTTATTAGTAACCAAATAATTCCAGAAGGAAAGCTGTCCCAAACATGACAAATTACAAGGAATTCTAAGCTAGAAGGTCATCATTTTCTAGTCACTAATGATCTGAGAAATATACCCTGTAAGCAGCAATAAGGAATGTAGTCTATAATCAGCAGTGTTGATGGGGAAGATTATCATGAAAGATTAGGTTCTTACAATCTAGACACACTGGTTCTATCTATAAGTAAAAGTGAAGAAAACTTAAATTCAATGCTTCTTGATGTGATTCAATAGGAAGAATACCACATCACCCATCAGGTGTTCTTAGTAAGAAAATTGAACTTGAACAAAATCTATATCTAACCTCCAGTTTATAAGAAACATAAGAGCTGAAGAGACAAGTTCAATGAGACTGTAGCTGGACTCAGAATGTAGGGTGGTTCACAGAAAGTAACTCAGTGTTTTCAAACACATCAGTGGCATGAGAAGAAAAGGAGGGATGATGATGGAAGGGGAAGAGGTTACATGATTTAAGATTTAAGAAGCAAAACAACCAAATACAATAATACAGATTTGTGTTCTGATTCAACCAAACCAACTGCTTGAAAAAAAAAAAAAACCCTAAGGATTTAATATGTAAGTGTTAAATTATATCACTAAATGATTAATTCTGTTAGGCATGTTTATAGCATGGTAATTCTGTTTTAGGTGCGTGTTAAGAGATAAATACAAAAGTAAGAATAGACTTCAAAAAGTTCATGCAGAGTGCGTAATATAAAAACTTCATGAGTCTGGTGTCTTGCCACACTGGGTAAAGCCGCAGCCTGTGATGCTGGCATCCCATATGAGCACCGATTCAAGTCCTGGAGATTCCACTTCCCATCCAGCTTCTTGCTAAAGTGCCTGGGAAAACACCAGATGCCTCAAGTACATGGGACCCCTACAACGCAAGGGTTGAGTTCTGGTCTCCTAGCTTGGGTCTGGCTCATTCCCAGCTGTTGAGGCCATTTTGAGAGTGAATCAACAGATGAAAGATCTGTCTCTCCTTTTCTCTCTATGTAACTCTGCTTCCCAAATAAATAAAATATTTTTATTATTCATTTATTTATTTATTTAATATGATCAAATCCTAAGCTGCTGACCTCAGAGTGACCCTGCTCTACCTACTGTTGCCATTGGGGAGTGAATCCAAATGTAGATGAAAGATCTATGCCTCTTTCTCTGTTTTTATGCCTTTCAAATAAAAATGAAAGATTTTAAATAGAAACTTAGGAATATAGATAAAGTTGCTAAAAATGTTGGTAATTGTTGAAATTGGGTGATGTGTGATTTATTATTCTGTGTACATTTGAGACCTCTGGAATTTTTTTTTCTAAGCATTTATTTGAAAGGCACAGTACATCCCCAGAAGGCTGCAACAGCCAAAACTGGTTCAGATCAAACCTAGGGGCTGCTTCTGGGTCTCTCACACAGGTACAGGGGCCCAAGCAGTTGAACCATCCTCGATTGCCTTCCCAGGCTAATTAATTAGAAAGGAGCTAGAATGGGCTCAACATGGTAGCCTAATGGCTAAATCCTTGCTTTATATATTTTCCTTTAAGTTCTCATGCTTTTTATTTATTTTTTAAGTTTTTTTTTTTTTTTTTTTTTTTTTTTGGGAAAGGCAGATATACAGAGAGGAGAGACAGAGAGGAAGATCTTCCATCTGATGATTCACTCCCCAAGTGAGCGCAACATCCGGTGCTAAGTCGATCCGAAGCCAGGATCCAGGAACTTCTTCCTGATCTCCCACACAGGTGCAGAGTCCCAAGGCTTTGGGATGTTCACGATTGCTTTCCCAGGCCGCAAGCAGGGAGCTGGATGGGAAGTAGAGCTGCCGTGATTAGAAATGGTGCCCATATGGGATCCCGGCGCATTCAAGGCAAGGACTTTGGCCACTAGGCCACGCCGCCAGGCCCCTAAATTCTTGCTTTACACGTGCTGGGATCCCATATGAGCACCAGTTCTGATCTTGGCTGCGCCTCTTCCCATTCAGCTCCCTGCTTGTGGCCTGGGAAAGCAGTCAAGGTCTTAGGACCCTGCACCTGCGTGGGAGACCCAGAGAAAGCTCCTGACTGCTGATTTTGGATGGGCTCAGCTCTAGCCATTGCAGCCGCTTATGGGGTGAAAAGGGATGGAAGATCTTTCTCTCTGTATATCTGCCTTTTTAAGTAAATTAAATAAGTAAAAAATAACATTTAAAAATTTTAAGAAAAAAGGGAGCTGGAAGTGGAACAACCAAGATTGGAACCAGTGTCCACATGGGATGCCTACACTGCAGCAGCAGCATAAAATCCTCCGCCACAGCGCTGACATCCAGAATAAAACTTTTATAAGAACAAAATACATGAGGCCTGGTGCAGTAGCCTTGTGGCTAACATCCTTGCCTTGTGCATGCTGGGATCCCATATGGACGCCGGTTCTAATCCCGGTGGCTCAGCTTCCCATTCAGCTCCCTGCTTGTGGCTGGGGAAAGCAGTTGAGGACAGCTTTGGGACCCTGCACCCATGTGGGAGACCTGGAGGAAGTTCCTAGCTCCTGGCTTTGGATCGTCTCTGCGCCAGCTGTTGCGATCACTGGGGAGTGAATCATCGGACAGAAGATCTTCCTCTGTCTCTCCTCTTCCCTTTGTATTTTACTTTGTAATAAAAATAAATAAATCTTTGAAAAAATAATAATAAAGTAAAAGTTACCCTGAGCCTGAATAGTTAAATGTGAAAAAGAAAATCATAAGCACCCAGAAAAAAATTAGAGAATGACAGTCTAAGCAATAATGAATATTAATCGATATTATTGATATAAAACTTCTATAATAATAAAACAGTAAATGCGGATAAAATGCCAAAAGAAGTACAACAGATTCAATAATACTAAGTTATATGAACCCCACTTAAAAATCAGAATGACTAGAATATTTTTTGATATATTTTTATTTTCAATTCTGAATTTTTAAGTAAACAATTAGAAATAAATTAGTAGATGTCTAGAGCAAACTTAACTCATAATCAGATAAACAAGTTTTAAAAGTTTTTACATAAAAGCGTCAGTGAAAATGGCATCCATTGTAGGATAAATCCTTGTGGAAAGCATTTGAGCAGTTACAGCAAATAAAGTTCATAATCTTTGTAGAATTTGTGAATTTAACTAAAGGAAAAGTGTGCAATATGAACAGCTAATTGGAGTCCCAGACTTCATCTTGGATTATCTGCCAGAGAAAATATTTAAATTAGAGAATATTAAATGAGTCTACTTTTACAGTGATATCTCTTTTTTTTTAAAGGTTTCTTTTTTTTTTTTAAGATTTATTTATTTTCATTACAAAGTCAGATATACAGAGAGGAGCTTCTGTCCGATGATTCACTCCCCTAGTGAGCGCAACGGCCGATGCTATGCCGATCCGAAGCCAAGAACCAGGAACCTCTTTCGGGTCTCCCACATGGGTGCAGGGTCCCAAAGCTTTGGGCCGTCCTCGACTGCTTTCCCAGGCCACAAGCAGGGAGCTGGATGAGAAGTGGAGCAGCCAGGATTTGAACTGGTGCCCGTATGGGATCCTGGGGCGTTCAAGGCGAGGACTTTAGTCACTAGGCCACGCCGCTGGGCCCTTACAGTGATATCTTAAATAGATTTAAAATCATATTTTATAGAATATTAAATGTGGAAAATTACCCAGGACATAATAATGGATGAAAGAGAAATTAGTTGCTTGTTTGTTTTGTTGTTTTGGTTGTTCTGGGTCGCCTAGTTCCATGTCTGCTGCACTTTGCTCAGTTCAGACCCTCTTCACCCGTGTTTTGTTCCTGGGGTCCACCTTCCCCTATCCCCGTGCTATGGGCAGGCACTTCCCTGTGTCTGCAACTCAACAAATTTTGCTCACTGAATTTCTCTCACTGAATTTCGCTCAAGTCTCCGAGTCTCTGTAGCTGCAGGTGGAGCCCTCCTTTACGCTCTTGGATTGCAGTTTAGTCTTTCGTGTCCATTTCACTGCTGCCTGCCGTTTTCTCCATGATTCTCTCTTGCCCTCTTCTCTGTCAGCTCCCGTCCCCTTCTTTCCACACCCCTAAGCACATCAATCTACCACTGTTGGTCATCTTTTTTCTCCACACGAGACTATTAATTCTATGACCAGGTTTTCTGTGTACATTTAAGAACAATTAACTAATCATAAGGAAGCTAAGAATGTCAATGTGTGATAAATTTCGTTTTTTATTTTTTTGTAAGGAGGGGAGTATGCATTGGAATAAAGTAGAAATGAGTAAAAACTGAAGGGGAGTGGTAACATTGGGTAATTGTAGAAACTTTGTGCCAAATACAGTGTTGTAGTGTATGATGCCCACTAAGGAAAGTGCTGTATTTTCTTTTTGAAATAGGCTTTTTATACATGTATAATTTTGGGCTTAATTTAAGTTCTTTAACTTTTCAGGAAAATTTGTGCAGCCAGCGAGGTTTGGTACCCAACACAGATGGCCAGACTTTTCAGATGGCCATTTCCAGCCAGATGCGGCAGCATTACGACAGGATTCATGAGATGCTAACGAGGGTCAGTGTGAAGGACAGTTCAGATGCGTGTTGCCACTATTGCATGTCATTTAAATATCAAGATGTGTAGGATTCATTCATTTCTCTTTTTACATTAGAAAAATGGCCCTGCTAGACTACTGAGTTCATCAACAAGTACTTTTGAGCAGTGCATAAAAGCGTATCATACAATGAATAAATTTCTTGGCTCGTTCATCGACCATGTATGTATATCAGCATTGATATTGGAGCTAGGATGAAATGTGATTTTTTTAAAAAAGTGGGGTTGGAATATCAGTTAACCTAGGGAGTGTTCCTAGCATCCTCTTTTTTCGTTTTGTCAAATTTAATACATAAAAGATATTTCTAGTCATTAAAAATTATGGCTTAGGAATAGAATTGGGTTGTGTAAGAATAAAATGAGATTTTATATGTCTTTTAGTATAATGATAATTCTCTTTGATATGTCTGTACTGAAATTTTCTTAGCATAAAATCAAAATATGCCTGCATTATTCATTATTTGAAATCCTGCTGCTATTTCAGGATTCTATTCCTGAGAAACTTACTTTGAACTGATTTTCATTGTGTATATTTCATTTGTATTTTTCCTCCGTCTGGTTTTATGTTAATTAGAAAGCCTATATTCACTGTTTTTGAAGTTATTCTCTTTGTATTAGGTTCATAAGGAAATGGATTACTTTATAAAAGATAAATTGCTTCTTGAAAGAATTCTTGGGATGGAATTCATGGAACCAATGGAAAAGAGCATCTTTTACAATGGTACCCTTCAAATGCCTTTGCTGAATTTGATTATTGCTTCCAAAGTTGGAAGAAATATTTGTAGTTATTTTCCTTTGATATATAATCAAAACAAAGTAAATGTAATGAACTCAGTTAACCTCATAGAATTGTTTTCTGTATTCTATCTTATGTCAAGTAATATAAACTATATAAGAGAATCTATTAGAAAACAAGCTTAATTTCAGAATCAATACTATACATGAATAAGAGAGTAAAACATATTAAATCCAGAGATTTTATTGGAACATTAATCAGTGGAATATCTATTCAGCACTAAAGGAAGAAAAATATTTGTGATTATTTGTTAACACCTAATTTGGATTGTATCTTAAATTCTTTTTATTTTGTTTTACTTTTATTTTTTAATTTTCTTTTTAACATTGTTTACTGCATGGTTGAGAGGGATGCACACCCATGTGGATTTCCAGTTAGGGTGGGGAGGGTTGAGGTATGGAGGAAGCTGTGTCCCCAGCGAGGGAGGGGCAGGCAGGTGCTGCTCCTTGCTGTCAAACTACATCAACACCCAGGGATGTGGGGATGGTCATTTGGTGACACCTTAGGGACCCCAGTGTGGGGAAGAGTATGTTGAGGGTATTACTTGAGTGGTTTTGCTAGTTTACGAAGTCATCAGCTTTGTTTCACCAGGGTTCAGAAAATCTGTTTTGGGTTTTTTTTTTTTTTTTGAAGATTTATTTATTTTTGTTAGAAAGGCAGGAGTTGCAAAGAGAATAAGCAGAAGAATTTTCCATCCTCTGATTCACTTGCCAAATTGCCACAGTGGCCAGAGCTGAGCCAGTCCTAAGCCAGGAGACATTTCTTTCAGGTCTCCCATGTGGGTACAGGATCCCAAAACCTTGAGCCATCCTCTACTGCTTTCTCGGGCTGTAAGCAGGGAGCTGGATCAGAAGTAGAGGAACCGGGACACAAAGCATTGCCCATATTGGATGCTGGTGCTTGAAGGTGGAGACGAGGCACTCGACGTCCTCTGTTGGACTAGATGAACTGTCTGTCATGTTCCCTCTATGCCACTTCACAGGGATCAGCAACTGAGAAGGCCAAATCCTGATACATGCACTCCAAGGTCAGACCTCATATATTGTGATTTTCTCTATGGCCAGGGTTTGAGTCCAGCCGTCTAGTTGGTGAGTCCTCCCAAGAAACCTCACGTGGGATGTCCTCAGACTCGACTCTTGTGTGCAAGTATAGGGTTAAACATAGCTGCCTATGCTATTTTGTTTTTCTTTTTAAAAAGATATGTGTGGAAGGTGGGGAACACTGGGCTGGAGCCCACCACCATGGCCCCAGCTGGCAGGGGCAGATTGGCCTGCAGATCACCCAGGGAGAGGGATCTGGGGATGTATTGCAGTGGGAGAAGCTGAGGCATGTTTGATGGGGAAAGAATGACTTCTTTGGGCTTCCAGGGTTCCATCACTGCACTCATAGGTAGGCAAGGGAGCTGATTTGGAGTGCTTTAGAGAAGGGAAACCGGAAGGCATGTCTGGGTCAGGTCTAGGCACCCACCCACATGGAAGACCTGGACTGGACTAAATAGCATCACCCGCTGTCTGCTGGTGCACACAAAAGCTGGAGCTGGGGGGTAGGGGCATGGCTGCCTGGGTTAGGCTGCATTACCCACCTTCAAGTGTCAGAGCATGGGGTGGGCCATGTCATGCTGGGCCACAGCATCCAGTAGAACGTGAGGGAACTGGATCTGGGGGCAGATTCTATAGGGGAATTGTGGGTTTGCCTCTTTGGACTGCAAGCAGCCATAGGTTTGCACAGAGAGTTAGGGGTGGTGATCAGCCAAGCCATGCTGGACCTTGCAACTCGCCTAATAGGAACCTACATGGAACTTGTGGGAGTTTGTACTGCAGCACCTACCAGTTCACATGAGGGCTGGGGGCGGGCCAGGCTTAGCCAGGTTGTTGTGCCTGCTGGTCAGAGCTTGAACTGGGGGTAGACCAGGCCAGATCGGACCACAACAGCTGCCAGTTCATATGTGTGTGGCAGTGGACCAGGCTGTGTTGGGCTGTTGGACCCACCAGTGAAAGCTGGGACTGGGACTGGGCCAGGCTGAGCTGGGCTGTGGTGACTGCTGGTGAATGCCAAGATTGGAGTGGGCCATCTCTGACTTGTAACATCTGCTGGCACATGCAAGACTCCCTGGGATTGGAAGTGGCCTGGTAGAGGAACTTCAGGGACTCCCTTGCTGGGTTTCTTGCTTCCACTGGTGAGAATGAGAGCTGCATCTGGGGGCAAGCCAGGCTGGGGTAGGCTGCTACACCTGCTGGCATACATGAGAGCCAGAATGGTTGCAGATCAGCTGGTTTAGGCCACAACATCTGTTTGCTGGGACTGGGTGCAAGTCATGTCATGCTGGACTGCAGTACTCCCTGGCAAGCGCAAGATCCAGGGCTTGGAGTGCATCTTGTAGGGAAACTGTGGGCACTCTACTATGCTGCAGCTCCAACTAGTGAGACCCTGGCCACAGGGAACATCACAGGGTATATGGTCCAACCTTGGAGTACATGTGTGAGGACTGAGCCTCGTCAGTTGTTGATGTCTGTGCAATGGACAGCCTGTCCAAATGTACATGGAAGACATGATGGCCAGCTCTTCTAGACCAGCAAAGGCTGTCAGCTGCCTCATTCGAGGATGGAAAGCAGAACAGGTTGGACAGTTATGGCCAAGTATGTTCCTGGCTCTGTGTATACATCAGGGTGGATTTTGTCAATCAGTAGACCCCAGAAAGGTTTTGTCATCTCTGGAGCAACAAAGCCAATGACATCTGAGAGCTGTCAAAAGCACTCCGGTAATACCCTTACAACACTGTTCCCCATGTGTGGGAGTGTGGGAGGGATCTCTTTTTTTTTTTCTTCATTTTTTATTATATTTTTGACAATGTTTACATAGTAGTTAATTAGGGTAAAAAGGTTCAAGGGCTATAGGAAAGTGGGTAAAATTATTTCCATATTGTTTCTTTCATGTATCTGAGGTAAAGGAGGATATTGAGAAAGAAGCCCCACCCAGTCTCCCACTCATCCCAGGTCCTGAATGTGGGGCATGCTCCGAGATTCGTGCTCAAGTGATTTTGATAGTTCACCAGTTATGAATCACTGCCAATCTCACCACTCCAAGCACGATGAGGTCGTCAAAGAATCCACTGATTGACATAGTCCATAGTAGAGTCTCCGTTTGCCCAGTATTTCCCTGCCAACATATAGCTGAGGTGATTGATTGACTTGTTCTGTCTTCTGTCTTTTCTTGGTTAGGGTTCTGAGTCCGGCGTTTCAATTGGGGAGATCTCAAAAGCAACTTTGTCTGAGGTGTTCCCAGTCCACATTCTTGTATGTACTAGCAAGTACAGGGCTTGGCACAGTCCATTGCTCCAAACAGCTGGTGGTTGCAATTGCTGGGTTGGTTCTGTTTTCAGCCTCAACTTCCACTGGAACCAATGGGTGTTGTAGTCCAGCCTGGTTCTGCCCAGGACATACTTGGCCCTTGCATAAACACGTGGGAGCTGCAGCCTAGTCAGAGTGACCCACAATAACCCCCACCAGGCCGTCCCCCTACCCTGGTTTGCCAGTATGTGTAGCAAAGTAGTCCAGTCTGTCCCACATCCCATTCAGCTCTCATACATGTCAATGGGTATTAAAGCTTAGTTCCATCTAACCAGCTGCCATGTGGGGGATCTTTAATGTGTCATCAATGGACCGTTCCCTATTGCCGGATGCTGATGTAGCTTGACATCAAGGAATGGTTCCCTCTCCTTCCTCCCATGTAGACAAGGAGAAAAAACAAAAATTGAAATTTATGTGTTGCACCTACCTTCCTCCATACCTGCCCCTCCCCACTCTAATCGGAGACCCTTTCAACCATGTAAACAAATTGAAAAGAAAATTAAAAATGAACTTAAAATTTCCAGTCTTCTGGGCTTGGTGTCAAAGCCTGACTTATCTGCTTATGAACCAGGAAAAGTTGCTTAAAGTTTCTGAACTTGAAAGCCCTTTTTGTAAAATTAGATATTACCTTCCAAAGATTTGTATGCAGTCATCATATACTAAGAATCAAATACCAGTACCTGTTGGATAGGTAGCCAGAAACAGGGTGTTGCTACTTCTAATACAGTCATCTCGTTCCTTTCTTCTTTCCTCTTCCGTCTTCCTTTGTTTGTCCTTCTCTACTATCACCCTCTAAATAGTCTTTCCCAGCTTTATTGCAAGATGATGAGAATATAAGCTAAGGTATTTGCAGTTGGAATTAAAAAAAAGAGAGGTATTAAAGGATGTATATAAATGTAGTAGAAAAAGAGTAGTCAGAAGTTATCCAGATTTCTAGCTCATGTGACTAAATTGGCAGCTAAGTGGCACCACTGACTAAAATGGAGTGCCAGTGGAAGAACAGGCTGTGAGAAAAAGTCGGTGAATTTTTTAATGTATTGGATCTTAGTGTGTCTTTGGGATGTCCATGTAGAGGCGTCCAGTAGGGCATCCGATAGAAGAACTAGGTTTTAGCACAAAGTAAAGATACATAATAAGCTAGGGACTATCGTAGGAAGTCATTACAGGATCAATTAGTTGATCATCAAGGGAAAGCATGTAGGTTTTACTTTTTCGATTGTATGTATATATAGCTTACAGGTCACTGACTTTTCACAAACCAAATGCACTCCTCGTATCTAGCACCTGATCAAGAAAGAGCATTGCCAGCCCCCTAGATGTCCTCTTGTATGAAACGGGTTCCCATCTGGGTATTCATAAACAGTTTTCCTGGTTCTCTGGACCCCCCTCAAGTTGTTCGCAGCATGTTTTCCGGTGAAAGAATCTGTAGCTTTCATCTGAATTTGTTTTAAAGTATGTTCATATTCCCAAAATAAAGCCCACCTGTAGAGTTAGAAGATATCTTAGAGAGAAAATATTGGATACTGCTTAAGATAGAAATTTTAGAACTTCATGGAGTAGTCTTCTCTGATTTTGAGCTGTTTTGTTTAATCTTTAACTTAATCTTTGAGTATTTTTCCTAGGATTAATATCTATCATTACATTTAAGAAAAGAGAAAGGATGTTTATTAGCTCATCTTTGAAAGACATTAAACACAAATGCACACACACACACTTACAATTACCAACGCTTGGTCCAAATGTTAAAGCTACTTTTTATTAGTCCTGTGGCTATCCTTTTAGATTCATAAATCTTAATTCCTTTTGTTTGTTTTTAAGTGAACTGTTACTTCTAATGTTATTTTTAAGTATACAAAATTTATTGACAAAAATTTGGACTTGTGCTATTTTTAAATTTATAATTTGTGTCTTACAGATTGTTTGTTTATTTTAATAGATGAGGGCTATTCTTTCAGCAATGTTCTGTATTATGGAAATGAAGCCACTCTTCTTATCTTTGATCTGCTGTTCTTCTGTGTTGTTGATTTGGCTTGCCAAAATTTTGTTTTAGCAGCCTTCCTTACATATGTACAACAAGAGGTAAATCTTTCAGATTTCTCTGGTTTTTCTTTAAAATAGATAGTTTGGAAATAGTTATTTTGATAGCAGAGAGTCACCGTGTGTTCTGTCACTGGGAATTTGTGAAGCTAACAAAGTTCAGCCAATTGCATTCCACACTCCATCCTTGAGGGCCAGAGAAATACTGGGATGTAGTGGAGGGCCTTGGCTGCTTATTAACCAAACGTGATCTCGCAGAACAATTACCCAGTAGTCTGCTAGCTGCCAGAACTGAACAATTCGCCTTCTAGGGGAGCTCAACACACCAAAAACCCCTTTAGCTTGTGACTTTCATGCTTCCCAGCCTGTGTGCATACAGACAGCGGTGTGGATAAAACAGTCTCTGAGACGGAAGCTCCAAGAAGTGGCAAAATGTGGTTGTTAATCATAACCAAAATTTTTCTGCTTTGTCAAGGGAATATGAATCAGGAAGATATAATTTATTAGTCCTTAGTAGAGATCTAGAATTATAAACAAATTTTGCCTGTAGTAGGTAAAATCTTTTGATGTTCCTATAGCTTTAAAAATTTTAATAAAGTTGGCTTTCAAAATATTTGTAAATATATTCTGTAAACATAGAGGATTTGTATTAATTGAGAAGTATATATTCTGAATAGGAACTGCTTTGATTTTATGAAACAGCATAATAGAATAATTTGTATCACCATGGTATTCAGATGTCTAATGTGCGAAAATAGTTAGCTAGCTTAACTTAGATATTTTGATATTTGCTTCATATGTTTATTTTCATTCTGAATTGTTTTACTTTTCCAGATATTTAGATTCATCCGTAATACAGTAGGACAGAAGAATTTGGCTGCTAAAACCTTGGTGGATCAGAGATTCCTGATTTAATTTGTTGAACAGACTCAATTGTAGCAAAGAATGTCATGATGTTAAGTTAGTCTGCCACATATTTTTAAATTTTTAATACAGATTATTCTGTTTTTTATTCATTTTTATCTGCACAAAGATTTATTTTTATAATCTGTGACTGTATGACATGTTACAATGGAAGATGTCATTTTCTCACTGTATATGGCACTTCATACTCTAATTAGCACTTCAGTGAAACGGGAAAATGTGTTTAGTGTGACAGTTTTAACATTAATCAAAATCATCGCCATTTGTCTTCAGATCATTTTATAAACTATGACATGTCTTTATTTTCTCGCATTGACATAATTATTTCATTCCAAATTCAGCACTAATTTTCAGATAAGTGTTTTTATGTTTTACCTCTTTGTGGTTAAATGTTGAAAGATGTTTCCAAATTTCTAAGGTTACGTTTATTGTACTGCTAATTGCGTTGTTCACCTGGCTTGACAGTGAGCTAATTCTCATGAAATGGGAATTCCTTTACAATCTTGCATTAGTTGAGTACTTTTTCCACAAGGTGTCTTACATCTCTAATGTAACTGACATTTATGAAGCCAGTTTGCTTTTATATGCATTTTTAACAACTTAATCTTTTAAAGGTACTGCTCCAAAGCTTTGCTCTTTATGCTAAAGATTGTAAATTACAAACTGTGTCTTTCTTGTGTTATATTGACAAGGTGTTTCACTGAGCTAACTTGGGCTTTATAGGTCAGCAAGCCTGCATTTTGGGGGAAAAAAATACACGCAAAGTATGATTCAAGTGAATTCTGAACGAAGGATTTCAGTTACATGATTTTTTTCTTCAGTACTTTTAACATTTTCCTCATTGTGTACCTTGTACTTGAAAGGCCATACATATTTGAGGTATGATGGCCATCAGCTGCTGAATCAATGCTTCATACTACTTTCTGTGTTAATTACATGTAAATACTTAATTGCAATCCTATGTATTATGTTTGCTTTTAAATTGTAAATATGTAATAAACCATGTGGTGTTTCAGTGTCCAGTTTGTTTATTGTGTAAATTATGAACTAGCACTTAGTGGTGTAGTACTGTCAGTTTCTAGACACTGCCAATGTTGGATCTTTTACTTTTCTCTGAATCTTGAGGATCACAAAGGAAAAAAAGGGCTGATAAACCTTGGAAATGCAGTTGTGTAAAAAGGAATATCTTTATAAAAGCTGCAAAGATTAGTGATTTTTAAAACACCACATCCAGAAGCATATGAAAGAAATCCAACCCTCATGAGAAGTTAATGCTAGTACAGATGTTTTCAAAATGGTACATATCAAAAAAGTACAGAATCAGTTGGCATACTTTTACTTTGCTCTGACGCATAAAAAAGTGTTCAGATTTTCATATTTTGTTCATTTGAAAGGCAGACTGACAGGGTGGGGTGGAGGGGAACAGGAAGAAATCTTTGGCCTGGTGGATCACTCCCCAGTGACCACAGCAGTTGGGTGTGCCAGGCTAGAGCCATGAGCCTGGCACTCACACTGCTCTCCCATGTGAGTGGTCGGCACACAGATACTTGGGCCATCTTCAGGTGTTTTCCCAGGCACATTGCCGGGAACCAGGATGGGGACGCAGAAGGGCACACTGAGATGGGGTCTCAGCATCCCAAGCAGCAGCTTAACAACACCAGCCCCACACATTGCCACAGTTGAACTGTTACGACCACGCATACAATTAACTATCCAGTGTTATTGTCTGTGTGCCTCTAACACCCAGTTACTGCTTTTTGCATCTAAAGTGTCAAGTTTTACTGATTACTTAGAATTATATTTGACCCTAGAATGCTTTTTTTTTAAGTTGCTGTGTACTTTGTTTTGGATATTTAGTTATCAAATAGCATCTTTACTCCAGTCATCATATTTTCCTACATAAAATAGGCAGTTTGTCATTCAGCAACCAGAAACTTTGACCGTGCTGCAGGAAGTTGCAAAGGTACTTTCTTTTTTTTTTTTTTTTTAAATAAATTCATTTTATTTTTAATGATGTTTACATAGTTGAGAGGAATGCATGCCCATGTGACCACAGATTAGGCTGAGGAGAGTCAAGGAATAAAGAAAAGTGGATGAGATCTCCTCCAATCTCCTTTTTCCTTTCTGCATCTGAGGAAGGTGGGGAGATAAAGGGAGAGGGCTGTACCCAGCAGTCCAACCACATCAATACCTGGGGATGGGGAATGTCACCCGATGCTATCCTTGGGTCCTGGAAGTGGAGCCTATTCTGAGGATACTGCTTAAGTGGTTTTTTTTTTTTTTAAAAAAAAGATTTATTTTTATTATTTTTTTATTGGAAAGGCGGATATACAGAGAGGAGAGACAGAGAGGAAGATCTTCCGTCCGATGATTCACTCCCCAAGTGAGCGCAACGGTCGATGCAATGCCGATCCAAAGCCAGGAGCCTCTTCCGGGTCTTCCACATGGGTGCAGGTTCCCAAAGCTTTGGGCCGTCCTCGACTGCTTTCCCAGGCCACAGGCAGGGAGCTGGAAGGGAAGCGGGGCTGCCGTGATTAGAACTGGCGCCCATATGGGATCCCGGGCGTGCAAGGCGAGGACCTTTAACCACTTGCGCCACCGCGCCGGGCCCAAGTGGTTTTGATAGTACTGAGATGCTCTTGACTTCACTGCTCCAAGGTTGAACAAGTGACCTTCCAAGGGTCTGCTTGCTGACATAGTCCACCTTAGAGTCTCCATTTGCCCAGATACTTATTCGCTGTCAAAGCTTGTCCAGGAGAGCTATCCAATTTGTTCTGTCTTGCTGGCACTAGACATCCTCTGCGGGCCTCAATGAACTGATTGTCATGTCCACTGTGTGCATCTGGGCATGCCATCCACTGCACAGGCCTCAGCAGCCATGGAGATGCAGTTCTCAGATATGCACTCCACGCTCAGACCACAGATCCTGTGATTTTCATAATGGTTGGAGTCTTGAGTCCAGTGATCTATTTGTTGGTGGGGGGAAGGGTAGGATTCCCAAAGAAACCTCACGAGAGGTGACCCCAGACCTGATTCTTGAGTGGGGTCCAGCTCAATCCCTCACCCATGTCAGCCTACGCACTATCTTGTAAGCAAAAATCTCATGGGCAAACAAATGGGTGCTGTGGCCTAGCCCACCCCTGACCACCACTTGGCCTTCATGCACAGCAGTGCAAACTGCAGCCTAGTTGGGGTGACTCCCAGTAATCCCCAACAGGCCTGCCTCCAGCCCTGGTTTTTGTGCATGCTGATATGTCCAATCTTGTGCATGTCCCATTCAGCTCTTGTATATATCAATGGGCATTGGAGCCTAGCTCAACCCAACTGACCCCACTATCCAGCCCACACTCATGCTGGTGGGTGCCAGCATGTGTCCATCCAGGCCCGCCTACAGCCCTGATTCTCATGCTCACCAGTGGGATTTGCAGCCCATTGCAGAGGTACCCTCAGTCTCCCTACTGAGGCTACTCCCAGTCTCAGATCTTATATTTTCCAGGTGATTCTGAGATCTAGCCTAACAAGTCTTGCCCTTGCCCCAGGACTTGCTAGCTGGTGCTGTGGCAAAGCCCAGCCTGCACTTACTCTGGCTCATGCATGTACCAGTGGATGCAGTCACTTAGCCCATGCTGGCTCTCCCCCCTCAGCTAACTCACATGCAGGCCAATGGACTTTGTAGCAGTTCTCAGGGTGGTGTGCCACCAGTCCCAGCTCTCATGCTCACCGATGGGAACAGTGGCCCAGCAGGAGAGGCCCGCCAGCTTACTTGCTGGTCTTACCCTCTATCCCAGGTCTTAAATGTACTAGTGGGAGCTTCAGCCCAGACTGGCATGGATTGCCTCACCTCAGCACTCACCAGCATGTCCTGCAGGCTGACTCAGCCTACCTTGCCCCTATTTCCACCTCATGCTATTGGGTCCTGTAGCTTAGCCTAGCCCAGCCAGCTCTCAGTCCTGTTCCTAATGTGAATTAGCTGGTGGTGTGGCCCAACCCATCCTGTCCTGCACTCTTTCCTGGTTCTCACATCTGCCAGTGGGTGCTATGAACCTTGGCCCACTCTTAGGCCTGACCCACATGTATGCCTGCAGGTACTGTAACCTGGCCTGGTTTGGGCTGCTCCCAGCCTTGATTCTTGCGTCCTGACAGAGGAGTTCCCCAAGCTCCTCTAATAGGTCACCTCCCAGTGGCAGATCTTGTGCACACTGGTGGGTTCTTAGTCTAGCCTGACATGGCCCACCACCCGTCCTAGCAGGTACAACGGCTTTGCCCAACTGGTCCACACTTGTTCTTTTTCATACTGTTGGGTGCTACAGCCTGCCACACCTGGCCTATCCTCAGACCCAGCTCTCACATGGTTCAGTGGATGTAGAGACCTAGCCCATCCTGGGCTAGAGCCATTTGGATTCTTGTGAGCACTATTAGGTGCTTGAGTCTAGCCCAGTTTGGTACATTCCAGAATCAGTTCACACCCATGCTGAGGAATACTGAAACCATGTCCAATCCAGGTCACTGCCTGCATTCTGGCTTTCACACTCACCACTGGGAACAGCAACCCACCTAGGGCTTCGCCTTAGCTCCCTAGCCAGGCTCACTGCCAGCCATAAGTCTTATACATTCCAGAGGTTGCTCCCACCCAACCCAGCATAACCCATCACCCAGCTTGGCCTTTGCCAATCAAGTGATACAGCCCGGCCTGCCTGGCCTGCCCCCTGTCTCAACTCTTGTTTGTTGGTGCTACAGTCCAGTCCTGTCCAACCTGCCCCCATCCCTGGCTTTTATGCAAACCAGTAGGTATGACAGCCTAGCCTAGTTCAGCATGGCTCACATCATACCCTGGCTCTCACACATGCCAATGTGCATTGTTTGGCCTGGACTTGCCCTGTTTGCCCCCTGCAGAGCCACATAAACACATAGCTGCCAACAAGTAAAGCAGCCCTGCCCAACCTGACCAACACCCAGCCCTGGCTCATGTGCTCAGCAGCAGGAACAACAGCCGACTAGGGGAGTTGTCCAAGTTCCCCCCACCAAATGCAGATCTCAGGCATGCCAGCAGGTCCGAGGCCCTTTCCCAGGGCAATCTGTCCTTGACTCCCCCAGTCTCGCCCTTTGTGTATGCTGGTGGATGTTGTGGTTCAGCCTGCCCCACACCCAATTATTAGGTGCACCTGCAGGTGCTATAGCCTGGACCTGTTCCCAACCCCAGTACCCTATCTCCCAGTCTTCATCACATGCAACCCTTGAACAAACTAGCTGGTATGGCGGTCCCACAGGGGTGAGCCTACAATCTTCCAAAGAATCTGCTCCCAGACCCAGTTCTCACATGAGCTGGTTAGTGACATCGCCCAGCCTAACATGATCCATATCCTGCCCCGACACTCACTGCCGGGTACTGTTGTTGAGCTCTGCCAGGCAGACCCCCTCATCCATGGCTTTTTGTGTGCAATTTGGCAGTGGTTGATACCAACAATCCCAGCCCGGGTCTACCATGTCGGCGGGTTATTGGTTTGGCCTCAAAGGTCCTCTGGTTTCCCTCCTCTAAACCACCTGGTCTCAGCCCCCTATTTACCTGCATGTGCAGTAGTCTGGTTGATAAAAGTCCCTGAGATGTAACTCCTCACCTGTCATGTTCTCTCTCAGTAGTGCTCCCTCCCACACATCTCTAGACCTCCTTTCCTGGGCAATCCACAGCCTCCCTTGCTCACAGACTCCGAAATCTAGTCCTCTGGCAGTGTGCCATGCCAGGCTGGAGTTGTCTACCTACCCAGGGCCCATGCACATTTGCACGCAGGTCCCTGAACAATGTTTGCTGGCATGCCAGTGTCTGTCTTCCATAAATCTTTTTTTTTTTTTAAGGATAGGCAATTATTCTGGCACACTAGTATAGTTAACACAAATTTAGCATTAACCAGCCCAGGATGCTTACCAGCTATTAGTTGCTTTTCTCCCAGCAGTGTAACACGTGCCTAGGTAGTTGCCTTCAGCTGGGGTGGATTTTTTTTTTTTTTTTTTGCTTTTT